CCAAACTGATCTTCTCCAAGTACATCCTCTATTTTCCTTTCAATTCTTCTTTTAAGTATCTTTGCTATTATCTTTGCTGTATGTGCAATAAGACTTATTGTGCGATGGTCGCTGCATTTTGTAGCTTTTGTCTTTTTCTTTAAGGCAATCATTGTAACTTCTGTAAAGTCCTTGGGCCACTCTCCACTTTCATATATGGTGTTCATTAGTTTTGTCAGTGTTTTCAGACCACCTTCTCCCAGTAACTTGAGCACATCTCCAGGTACATCATCATCTCCTGTAGCCTTTCCCTTCCTTATTTCCTTGATAATGCAGGTATATTTAACAAAACAAAGCAATGGCATTAATGCTTGTCTATGCCATAACAATTCCACTCTTAATAAATAGTATGTGATTCTGCAGTATAACATTTCTGCAGCTGGTTTTCTTTTCTGGGAAGAGAGATGTATCTGCAATAATTTTATAACAAGACCATTCAATAATTGACGATGAAAATGAAAGTACTTTGCAACTCCAAGCTGAAGAACATCTTTGCTATTTCATTATTATGTGTTTCTTGCAGGTTCAAGGATGGCCACCCTGTTCGTCCCACTCAGGCCATCAACTTTGTGAACCAGCCTGGTGGCATTATTGGCTTACACATTGATGCTGTGAGGCCAGAAGATGCTGGTAATTATGCTGTTACAGTAAACAACAAGCTGGGTGACCTGACAGGTGCAGCCAAAGTTACTGTTGAGGCTCGTGAAAAGAAACCTAGTTTCCAGGCAGGGTTGCAACCTAGCACAGTTGTTGAGGGCTTCCCTGCCAGGTTAGAGGTGAAAGTCATTGGACACCCCCCACCTACACTCAAGTGGTAAGTACTGAATATTGTCATGTGTAAGTGAGTACATGTGACAAAATGGCAGGTTCTAGTTCAGGTGATTAAATTTTTAGTTTATTAGCAGCTTGGTTACAGGCACTCTTTTAATTACACTCAAATTACAGCACTATCACTGATTTACGCACATTTCATAATCTGCTGTTACATGCACACTAGTCCTCTCTTGGTAATGGATCTCAATATAAACTAGTGCTTCAAATCACTCCAAATATCTCTGCACCACAGCACACACAGTCTTCTAAATCACACTTGACATCCTCAGAGGGTGACCTCCTGTAGTCTTCTGTAGTCCGTTTGCGTGCTTCTCTCATAAATGACTTTGTGAACTCACTCCAAGAACCTCTTCTTAGGAATTACAGTTTCTCCTATAAACTCTCCATTGGACTAGTGGAAAATGTACCTTGCTTCGCTATTGCGTAATTGCTATGTTTACAGAGGCATTGCTAGGCAACACTGTTGAGAGTTCTTTACTGCAGTGCTACATAGCAACCAGCACGGTATGGCTGGGCTTGGCTCAGCTCGGCATGGCATGGCATGGCATGGCACGGCATGGCACAGAAAAACACCACTTTCCTTGTTGTTGCATAATAACAGTGTTTACAGATTTCTGTGGCTTAATGTTTCCTGCATGACATAAATATGCCAAAATATCACAAGTAAATAATCAACTTTGCACTAGTGACTAACGCGCGTCTTTTCTAACTGGTGGAGATTTCATGTTTCAATATACGAACACAGTCTTGACAGCTCAGTTTTGTGCTTTGTGTGATGGGAGCTCGGGATAGGATCGTGGCCCATTTTGACTGGCTGTAACTTAAAAATACATCAGTCAGAATGGCAAGTATCAGCTGGAATTAGTACTTCCTGTTCTGCAGATACTACATTTGCATGACATCCTCTTCAGATCTTGAACATGCAACTGTGAAAGCTATGACATTCTTTATTTTTGGTCACATGATAACATTCTGATGTTTGAATGCTGTACTGCTAGAGACATAACTACTCGTACATTCAACGGTTTTTATGAATTCATACGGTAATCTGCATTTCTCTGTCTGAAGGACTCAAAATGGCAAGGACATTGAGCCAGATGGAAAGAGTGTGAAGATTGTGGAGCTGCCTGATGGCACGACAGCACTTGTGTTGGAGAAGGCAAAGCCTGAGGATGCTGGAGACTATGAAGTGACAGCAACAAATGAGAAGGGCTCAGTTTCATCCAGAGCTCGTTTAGATGTTTCAGGTTAGAAACAAATTTATTTTTTAGTTCTTCCTGCTATCTGTTTATTAAAGTGCTGTAAAATGTTATTTTAAGCACACAGAGTAATGAATCTTAGAACTTGTTTTGTGGCACTGAAAGTTCTTGCCCTTTCATCTAGCATCATGTTACTGGTGTAGAATTCTGTTGAATGTGGGATCAGGTTATAGTGTACAGTACATTTTCTTGGCTGATCGGGTTTTCTCACTCACTCGTTCAAGGAGCTGAGCCCTTCTTGAGAAGCCACCAATTGTGCAGCTACTCAAGAACTTCCCAGCATTTTATGGAACCTGAAGGTTCATTACCGTATTCACAAGATCCCTGATTGGTTTTTATTCTTGGTATTAAAAAAATTCTCTGCAGCCCACTTGTATTATTTCTAATGGGTGGAAGAACATGTATCCTGTTATATTACCAATTATCTGTAAACTTGCAGATAAGGGCCGTGGTGATGCTCCAGAAGAGAAGCCTGCATTTATCCATGGGCTACGTGATGCAACAACAGAGGAGGGAGATATCCTGCTGCTTGGAGCACCCTTTATTGGTAATCCTATTCCTGATGTCAAGTGGACGAAGGATGGAGAACCTGTTACGCCATCTGAGCGCATCATGCTCACTTGCGATGGAAAGAAGGTATTATAAAAGGCCTCTTCTTTCTCTCTGTGGATAATATACTTTATCTATTCTTCTCTGGTGTTATATAAAATATATTATTGGTCAAATGTGCGATTCTGTTGTCATTCATTTTACTTTATAACTTACTCTGCCTCACTGAAAGCATTTTAACTAAAACTACTCTTCTTGTGCCAGTTCCCTTCACACACTCATTAGAAATGGAGACCCATAATGCTAAATATGCAAGTTGTAATCAGAAGATTTTTAAAATTAATTTATTTCTTCATGCTTAATGCAGTTAATGACTATTCCATACTGTCTTCTTCAGAGTACTTTCCATGCAACCTGATACAGTGAGTCCTGTAGTGATGGCATCAGATCTCCTTTTGAGATCAGACTCAAGTTTTAGAATCAGAAAAATATTTGATGGGACTAGGTCTGTGGGGTACTGTGGACTGAGAATAACCACATGGTTTCTGCACAGAATTAACAGAAACAGAAAAATTGTCTTGGTGCATAAATCAGTCTGCACTGTGCTATATCTAGTGATTTTTATGCTATGTATCTTCCTGTAGACACTGTAGAACATATGTGTAGAAATATTGATTCATGGTTTGTCCTCATGAACCACAATCCTGATATACAGTTCATTGTCAGAAAATAACTCTCTAACTGTTCAATGACTTCAGAAGTAATTTGACTTTTCTCCTTCAGAAACCACCTGAATGTTTTTGTTGTTGTCACTGTTTCCTCCAAGAAAGCAAGTTCCAACATGTGCAGGGCCTGTAGCAGTTCTGCCTTCCTTGAAACAGAACTGGATACATTTAACTATTCTTTAAAATCTGTATTTATTTTAAAAAGCACTGATTTGAGATAGCATTACAAATGACCTCACTCCACAAGGTCACTTGTGAATTATACATTGTACAGTTTTGGAGGTAAATGATTCATGAGATTGTGTTGTGCCTCCATCTAGCAGAGGAACTCTGTAGTAAAAAGTGTAATCTTTCTTGAGAATGTGCTATCATGTAGTCCAGTAGAAGAATGTACTAGTTCTATCTTCAGGATTGAAGCAAGCAAATAGGAAGCAAAGTAACATCAGTAGTGTCATGTAGGGGACAGTCTGAAAATTTTTATCACGCCATGTGTTCCACGTCTTTTCACTGCAATGCAGGAAAGAAAGATAGATAGCTAATTCAACCATTTAAAGTGTGAAGAAATTAAAAGAACTTAGGAATTGGAGGAAAGAAATGAAAATTGATATTGAGATTGAAATTTGGAGCAGATTAAGTTCATTTGGGATATTTTATTTCACTATGACCTGTCTAAAAGGGTGAAGATTAAAATATGCAATATTATAACTTCACCTGTTGTTTTGTATAGATATGATTTCTCACTAAAAACAAGAACAGAGATTGAGGGTGTTTAAAGGCAAAGAAGTGATAAGATTATTTGAACCTAAGAAAGAGGAAATTATAGAATTACATTATTACGTACTTCACAACTTGTACTGTACTGTCCTCTTATTAGGAATGGTAAGTCGGGTGTGAATGAGAGACATGTAGCATGCTTTGTAAATGTGTAAAAACTGTACAGAATTTTAAGAAAACTTCAAACCAAGAATTCATTTTAGAGACCTAGGTGTGGAAGGGAGGATAATATTAATAAAACTACAATAGAGAAATATGTGTTAATATATGGTTGGATTCAACTGGCTCAGATTAATATTTGTTAGCGGGCTTTTTGGACTCTGTGCAATAGAAGCAAGGAATTCCTTGACCGCCTGAGCAACTAGGAAAGGCTCTGCTTCCTAGAATTAATACTAAATGTGTTTGTGCCTAAGGTGGGCCTGGAGGTTAAGCCTGCGAGGCTGAGTGATGCAGGCAGCTATGTGTGTCAACTGAAGAACCCCTTGGGTGAGGATGAGTCAACAGCAAAAGCTTCTGTGAGGAAAGTGTACCAGGCCCCCAACTTCACACAGAAGTTTACTGACCTGCAGCAGGTACATAGGTTTAAGGGTTTTCATATAAAAAAAAGCAGAAAACAGCATATCACAAGATAACAGCTTAAAACATGGCCTCAGATGAATACCAGAAGTTTCACCAATATAATTTTTAGTAGATTTTAGGAAAATTTAAATTAGGTGTTATTTATGCTCTCACAAATTGCGAACTATTCTGACCAAACATAGATAAGGTAAGCATGAAATGAGGGATATTGCATTATGAGAAGTTTTGTGATATGTGCTGATCACTTAGTATTGTCAGTGTAGTCAGTCAATGGGCTCTCCATGAGTTCTATGCGTGGCTTTGGTAGGGAAGACAACTCATAGTCATTGAGTGGATGTTTCTGGAAGAGTGGTTGCTTAGAGTCCCAGTTAAGGAGGTGGGAAGAAAGTAATAAAACAAGTCTTGCAATCCTAGGGAAGGAGTATGTGATGCCATGAACTGGTTAGCCCCACTTTTTTTAAGACTATTAATTTGCCTATTAAGCTATCTGTGTTTTGTAAATTGAATGTGTATCTGCCTTATGCTTAACCAAATACAAATGAAAACATATCTCTTGGACCTTTGGTAGAGGTTTGAGTGTACCTCTATTGAGACAACCAATGGAGTAAAATCATTTTGTTTCCTGTTTAACTGGATGGAAATAGAAACAAGTTCCAAAACACGGTGGTTTTGACAAACTTGCAGAATGAACAAAATCCAAAATAATAGTTTTAAATGATGTGGTGTGCCATTGGAAGCCTTAAACTTAATTTAGTTTGGACTAGCTTAGGTTTGTATTGGGATCTGTTGGATACTTAGATATAGTTGTCAGAAAGACACTTGGTTGGTTAGCCATTGTTTGCAATCACCTGTCGCTGTTATTTACTGTGTTATTGTTCCTATTGTGTGAATGGGACTCTGGAATTTCTTTATTGTTTTTTGAATGGTTCAAGCTCATTTGTTGCTTATTAAACCTTTCTGTGCTGATTGTTTCTTTCATAGTCACACCTGCAGGACTTTAAACACAGTGTGTGGTTTTTGTTGGAATGGTGGTGAAAAGTTATTAGTGTAGATGAGTGGAAATTATTGTTAAATATGTTGACATTACTAAAAATGTTCCCCAATAATCTCACACAAAAACGGGGTCCACTTTATGTGACAGATATTCTGTTATTTGACAGACTTTCAGGTGCAAGTAAATAACATAATCTTGACATTCTTGAGCTTATAGGCTTCTGTTTGATACATCTAAAAACCAGAATTTTCCTGTTAGCACTATAGCAAACCATTCATATAATATCAGTGTAAATGAGATTGAAGAATTGGTCTTTGATGATACTGATTCTGAAGCACACTTTATCTCAAACAAATCTGATGAGGAATCTATATATGAACTTTTGGAAGTTGATGGTAATAATGTTTCAACAGATCAAGAGTAATGTATTGGATTTGTTTCATTCTGCTCCGTCACACTAACAGTATTATAAGAAGATAAAATTGTTCCATCCAGTGTGACTGGTGAAGATTTTTCTTATTTCAACTCTTCATGAAGAATAATAATCATGGTTTATATTCAATTCTTCATGAAGAATTGAAATAAGAAAAATTTTCACCAGTCACACTGGATAGAACTGTTTTATCTTTTTATGACAAGAGTAATGTAATAGAAGAAGTGCTTCTGAGGTTACAGTACCTGAAACAAACAAGCTTAGTGATCTCTTAAGAAAAGCACTGCCATGTTGCCAGTTTGAAGTTTGATTTTAGTCATACTTTGTTTTTACTTTGATAGTGTTCATAAGTGTATGATCCAAATGTCAGTTATTTTTCATTCTTTATTAATTTCAGTGGTTGAATAAAGCTCTATTATATGATCACATTTCCCTCATACTCCCTCATTAATTTAATCACATTCATGCTGCTACATGATTTGTTAGTTCATATGAGTATTGTTATTACTGTACTAGATTAAAAGATTTTATGATCTGCAGTAATAATTGGGCCATCTTCATAATTTCAGTAATTGGTTGTGCTGAGGCAGGCACTGAAGTCTTATCAGCAATCTATACCAAATTCTTGCATTATATGATGTACTGTGAGAAGCAAGCACAGTGACTGTTGTATAAAAGTATGTTATGTTATGTTCCCAATTAATGAAAATCATTTTTTTGGTACATTGTTGAACTTAGAGTGACCTAAACAAGTTAACATTTTTTTTCTAATTCAGCTCCCAACGTTTGATGCCAAGTTCCCGGCTCGTGTGACTGGCATCCCACAACCAGATGTTACATGGTACTTTAATGACCAACTCATAGTACCTGGTACTGGTGCAGAGTCTGATAAGTACCGGGTGAAGCGAGATGGTGATGCCGTCTGCCTGTATGTGAGGGACTGCAAACCATCAGATGCTGGGTGCTATAAGTGCAGGGCCTCCAACTGTGATGGAGAAGCCTCTTGTGAGGCTAGCCTCGAGGTTGTGGATAAGATGTGAGTATGCAGATTTTTTTCTTTGGTGCTACGGTCCGAATTTGGGCCTTGGCCTACCTCCATGAAAGTCTCTGTTTCACTTTGGTTTACTAGATCTTAGACATTTGGTAGGACTGCTTGGATGGGTGGTCAGCTTGTCATAAGCTGTCATAAGCTGTACACAAACACAGAAAAACTCGCGCGTGCGCACACACACACACACACACACGCAAACACTCAAACACTAAACATCCATGCCCTGAATGGGATTTGAACCCATGATCCCAGCTTCCAAGTGAGCAAAGACAGTGCATGCCTTAAACCTCTCAGTTACTGTGACCAGTGAGTACACAGATTGTTTTGTGTAATTATAATGTTTATGAGAAGAAAGTTAGAGAAGTTGAAAATTATTTTTATTTTATGATGGGAATTGTGAGAGGTAGCAAGTCCCATTTTTCCTTGCAACAGAGTGGGGGGAAAAATAGTCCAAACAACTGTAATAATTGTATAAAAAACTTTTTTTTATATAATGTAATGGTCATCTGATATACCTATTTTGCTATGTGGACAACACCTTTGTCATCTGGTTACATGGACCCAACAAGCTGAAGGACTTCCTGACCCACCTGAACAGTATCCAACAGTGCATTCAGTTCACCATGGAGACCAAAACTCAGGGCCACCTCCCCTTCCTTGACATAGATATTTACAGGAGACCCGATGGTTCTCTGGGCCATAAAGTGTACGATAAACCTACCCATACCAACCTCTACCTTAACGCTGGGTCCCACCATTACCCATCCAACAAGCAAGCTGTACTGTCCACACTGGTGCACAGGGCTAGAGCTCTATACAATCAAGACAGCCTACATGCAGAGTTAGTGTTCCTGAGGGGCGTTTTCAGGCAGAATGGTTACAACGACCGGCAGATCCAAAGAGTCCTCAACTGTCATCCGAACGTCGGTCAGCCCGATGATAATCCAGACTCAGTCGCCGTCCTGCTATATGTTGGGACCAAATCAGCAGAGTGCTGTTCTGGCACATCAGATCAGTGGGCCTGCCTCCCAAGAAAGTATCTAGTTTCATCTGGCTGGACAAAGATGACCTGGGACTAAGGACACTGGGTGTATACAGAATCGCCTGTGAGTGTCGCAAGGTCTACAGTGGGCAGACAGGCCATGCCATAGATGCAAGGTTGAAGTAGCATCAACGGCACATCCATCTTGAACATGCAGACAAGTCAGCCGTGGCTGAACACAGCATCAACTTGGAACACTGCATTCAATGTTATAATGCCTCTGTCCTCACCACTAAGACCCAATATGTGGATCACTTCATTAGGGAGGCCACTGAGATTGGGCTCCATCCCAACAGTATGAACAGAGAGGTGTGTTTTTATCTCAGCAATCCATGGAAGCCTCTCATCTGCTCCCTCAAGTAACCTCCAGAACATGATGTCAGATCTACAAGGCTACGCAGGTCAGTCCATGCTTGGCAGTTTAGTCCCGAGGCTGTTGGGTCAACGCTCACTTGGTAGCCCTTACATTTTTATGTTTCATTGTGGATAGTAGTTCTGGTATCTGGGTTGATGCTGAAAACTAACATCCTTTAGTTATCCTCAGTAAGATTTTAGAGATACAGGAATCTGAAGATCTGTTATCCATACTTATGTTCCACCATTTATGTTATTTATAGTTTCTGAGTTTTCCCTGAACATATCTTCCATTTGAAAATTATTGCCTCTGAAGAAATTCATTGTCTTGTAGTGAGAAGAAACAGAAGATAGAACCTCCAGAGTTCCTGAAGAAGATAGGCGACTGTGAGGTGTATCAGGGCATGACAGCCAAATTCACAGCCTGTGCATCTGGTTACCCTGAACCAGAATTTGAATGGTTCCATGATGGACAAAAGATTTACCCCAGTGATCGGATCCGTATGGAACGTGAAGGATCAGGTCTTCTCAGGCTGTCCATTGAAGGTGTGGATCCATCAGATGTGGGCAAATACAAGTTGCGGATTTTCAATCCTCATGGCGAGACCAGCTGTGAGGCAGATCTCAGTTATGACTGTAAGTATATTTAACAGCTGGAAAAAGGTGGCAAAGCACCGAAAGTAACAAGTATAATAACAGTTCTATTTTGTTGTCTTCCGGGTTATGGTGTTATATAGCCTGTTAGGTGTAGCCACCGTTTCAGAGAAACATGTTGCTTCCATTTTCAAGGTACAAGTGAGTGATGTTTGGAAGGTGGCTGGTTGTATAGGATAAGTAGGACACCTCTGATTCTGAATACCTTGAAGGTTCATAACACATTGTGTTTGTAATTTTTAACTTATAACAAAATATCACACAATATTTGTAAATGCATTTATGATGTATCTATTAAACAAGTTTCGCTTTCCTAGATGCAGTGGTTCAAGCAGAGAAAATTTAGTAAGATGTTTTATATCACTGTGCTGTCTTTTATATTTACATACACACATGAACAGAAAAAATGCCATGCTATGAAGAGAGTGTGTCTCGCAAAGCGGTATCATCACACAAAGTATTAGGGCTGTAAATTAGATATTGCTCCCACCTCTTAAATTTCTGTGGCTGTCATGATAGTTTTATGGGTGACAAATGCACATGGTCTTTGTGATGCCTTTCCTAAACAGTACAAAAAATATCTTCAACATGTATTGTGCATATTGTTCATTAGTGATTCCACAAAATAGTTGCAGTGTGGTTGGCACCAGTTCTCTCCTGCCCTTTAGGTCTGATGATACTAACCTGATAAATTAAAAGATCCAGGTCAAGATTTAACTATTCTGCCATAAATATCACATAAAGTTTCAAGCGAGTTGTTCTTTTTTCAGATCTTTAATCAAAAATAACAGAAATTATGCGAACCTCTTTATCTTTCAAGAATAAAGGTGAATAAAATGCATATACTACTCTTGCTACGAGAAGCAAAATGTCGCTGATTAATGAACCAGTTGAACAAGTTAATCCATTTAAATACCCTTTGTATGGTATAAATCTTAACCATAAAGGAATTCAGTGTGAGATTTAGTACTTTACAGTATAAATTTTAACCAGGTTAGCTCAGTCGGTATAACCACTGCCTACAGGCTGGGCGACTGAGGGGTTGGAGTTCAAATCCTGGTAGGATCAAGAATTTTATTTTCCCCTTGTCATCCAGACTGTCTCTGGGGCCCATCCAGCATCCTATATAATTGGTATCAGGGGCTCTTTCCCCAGGGGTAGAGCAGCCAGGGTGTGAAGCTGACAACTCAACTCCAGCTAGTGTTGAGGTGAAGACAATGTGGATGTATACATCCAGTCCCCCATACACCTTCATGGTATAGTGTTAAATTAGTTATGCACAGAGACAAGATCTAAATATATCTTATGGCTATGACCATCAATGCAAGAATAAAGTAGGATATCTTAAGGTGAAGACAAAACCATCTGTTTTGTCTTCACCTGGAAATATCCCATTTTACTGTTGTTATTGTTCTTGTTCTTTTATTTCAAATTCAGGCAGATGCAGATGCAGGTTGGGAAGTAGATTCACAAACCATTGGATATAGTAAAAGCAAACGTTCCAATTAATCACTGGAGCAAGTCTAGGTAACATAACATGAAAATATACATAACACAGACATAACATGAATAACATGATTACAAAAAACTGATTGCAAATGAAAAACATGTTAACCATTTATACAATAAAATTCCTCCAGTTTGTAAAAACAGAGCAACGCCAGATATCTTCTTAAGGAACTCTTAAAAATTTTAGGCATCTGTGCAAGCTCTTGTAATTCAAGTGGTAATTTATTAAAAATTTTAATACCAGTGTAGTAAACACCATTTTGATACAATGGTAGAGAGGAAGTAGGAAAATATAAATTTTCACAATGACTAGTCTTTACATTATGCCTATCTATCATAATTATTAATAAAAAAATCCCTATTCTTTGTGTTTATGATTATGGTGATACTGAGTGTAATGATTATGATTATGATGATAGTGACTGTAATGATGATGACAGCAACAGTGATGATGCTGATGATGGTATAATCCTTGGTGCAGTTGACTGGTAACTGCTCTAAGCAATAATTTCAGACAATATATTTTTTTTGGGAATTATGGGGTCTGGGTTCTATAATGGCAATCAATTTTCATTCGGATTCTAATGAATAATGGGTAGCCTCCAATTTAATGACCTTCACACTGAATGACTGTTCACCCATAAACCAGATTTATGGGGAGATACACAGTACACCCACACAGACACAGTGAGCCTGTAAGCCTTTGTTTTGTTATAGAGTGGGGAAAGTAACATAGAACATTTCTCTGTGGCCTGTTTGTAAAGAAAGTCATTCATGTGGGGTATTTCAGCTCTTGACAGTAAACCGAAGCGGCCTGTGGGAGACTTGTACACAGACTTTGACAAGTTCCGCAAGACCGGGGCTCCACTACCTCTAGCAGATCGTCCAATCATCAGCCGTATGACTGATCGTCGTCTCACTTTGTCATGGAAGCCTTCAATTCCCATTGGACCAAGAGTGCCTGTAACATACAGAGTGGAGATGTCAGAACAGCCTGATGGTGATTGGTTCACTGCCCGTACAGGTAAAAATTACAGTAAAATATATTCATCTGTTGTAGTGGATGCATTTAGTCACAAAAAGACAACTGCAAAAATTAGAATTAAAGACTAATTGGTTGGGATAGAACAGTGTTACAGTTCTCTCATGAAGGGATGGTGCTCTAAGGCTCTCCTCCACTTGCATCACAGAAGGAAAGAGAATTCTTCATTTACAGTGAGATTATCGATTAAACACCAGATGGACATTGCCCAACAATTATTGTAAACATTGTGCAAACAGGCCCATTATCAGACATTTGGTGATGCCTTAAAAATGAATGAATTATTCAATTCTTAAAATTTAAGCAGAGTCATTGTTTGAGGAACAAATGTAGCCATAATTTACAGCAAGTGAAAATGTCAGAAGTTGGTGGTATCCTGAAATTTCAGAGTTTTATTTTGTGTTGATCCAGTGGTTTTGGAACTTTATATAGGCGTTTTTCTTTCTTCAAGTAATACAAATTGTCACTCTGTGCCGTGTTTCTGACCACATCTGATCATTATTCAGGACTTATATATCTTATATATCTGTGAGATTTATTGCTTGTACTTGGTCCTTACTATTGACATATTGATATTGATTCTACTTAAATTCTTTGTGGAATGTTGTCCACAATTCCCTCTCCTTTTGCTTAGAATCCATTGTGTTTTAACATCACAATTGTAATCTGATCCCAGATTTTGTTTTTGAGGAATATGTGATTTATTTTTGTAAATAGAATAGAATTATCATCATTATTTAAGAAACAAAAGCAAAAAATGAGGACTTTCATAATCTGAAATTATAGTAATACACATAAAGCTTATGAAATATGTTTGAAATTACGTATGTTATATATACAGCACTTGAGTTTTTCTCATCTTTCTTTATGATTAATGCTTTGAACGAGCCCTCCAAAATATTCTGCCTTCAGCCTTGTGCTCAAGTGATGTGAAACAAATGCTTACAAGGTTATCTACAATATCATGCATTCAGAGCATGTTAGATAACTGTCAGTCCTCACTCTGTCATTTGCTACAGTTTGCAGCCAGTGTCTGAAAGCTTCAATCAGTCATAATAAAATAATGAAGTCAGTTTGAAAGTAATACTGTTCAGTGAAAGTAACTGAAAATAATGCAGTCAGAACACTGATTTCTGGACAAAAATTGTCTAATCATAATTCACTGAATTATTGTGGTAGTGTCTGCTATTGTGTATTTAGTCTTTCCTATTCAGATCAGCTGTGTTATTACCAGGGGAACACCCACACTTCTGTGTTGACATATTAGATGATTTTGTATTCTCTTTATTTAACTAAATTTGTATCAACACTTGGCAGTGTATATTACTGAAAGCATTCTGTATGGGTTATATGAATCATACACAGAATTTTAAGTGTGACTGGTAGATTTAATGTCTTCTCTGTGCTTAATTTTTCATCTTTCTTTTGGATTCATAGTTTTTCCACACCCAAAATATCTTGGGCACGTTTGTATATGGCAACAAATTTTTCATGGTGCTTGTTTTATGTGTCTTAGTTTACATAGTTTGAGTATCAGTGTACATTCATGAATTTATCTGTTCCTTGTTTCACTACTCGTGCAACTCTTTTTGCACTCTTCATTTTTTCAGGACTAAACTTGAGGATTATCATAAACTTTTAATGACTGTCTTAGCCCTTTCAATATTTTTATTTGGGCTTGTATTGGATTTTTGCCTCAAAACACTTGATCTGTGTATAGCTTAATGAATAAATAGTGTCCTGCATGAGTCATGTACTGGTAACAACACTCAAGGGCTAACATCTGAATTTTGTTATAACACAAAATCTGTCTTTGGTTCTTAAAATAAAATAAATCTTGTACTCAATTTACTGTGCTCTGTCTGTAGTGTTTTTGACACAATAATCCCTAACGTTTTCTAGTCCATATAGCCCATACAGAATCCCTTCCGTTCCCATCAACACTATAGTCTTAACTATATATTATAGGCTGGCATTTTTCTTTTTTTCATTTTTATTATCATTCAATCATTGAGATATCTACAAGCTCTTATAGGGTATAATTTTTAGATTGTGGTCTCCTGGACTATGATAACATAAAGACCTGCTGGCACTTACCAGCAGTGGAACATGCTGCCTCCATCTTCACTGTTACTCTGAAGAGGGTAGCAGTGAATTCCTCCAGAGACCACAATCTAAATTTTCACTTCTGAAGACCTAAAATCTCTTTTGAAGTAGTGCCCACACACATACAACAGAACTCATAATAGGAAGAGTATGGCATGTTTATGCATACTGAAGTTAATATAAAATTATTGTATATTGAAAATGCTGAAGCAGCAAGCTGTTTAAATCATATCTGATAATAGCCATAAATTAATATTTAATATCAGATACATTAAAATTGCTACTGATAGAGTCACAATACTGACACTGCTCTAGAAGTTCCTCTTAATTTATTGACTAAATGGTGACTGTCATTGTTTTGACCAGTTTCATAATTGCTATTGAAATTCCTTGTATGGCATCCACTAAGCAGAGAAACAGAAGAGAAATATGGATATAGATGTATGAATTTTCTTTCTGATATGCACTTTATATTACTGAACTGACTGTCAGTGGCTGGTTGAGTGCACAGAGCAAACAGAGAAAGCTCAGTATTTCAGGTTGCTTCGGTGTTTTTGGAGGCTTATGTGTTATTGCCTAATTATCATTAGGGCAATAAAAATGAGCACATTTTATAATCCAGATTTTATCTTACAAAACTGTTGATATAAGATTGTTTATGATTGGGACATGGTTTAATTGTTTGCATGAGCTCAGTTGACTCGGAAACATTTGGTTAATTTTATTTGTAATCATAAAAATAATATACTATTCTTAACTTTCAAATTAATTTTATATTTCTTTCATGCTACTTATTTAACATATTTGTCATATATTGTACTCGGAAGCTTTTTAACACTGTAATAGGGGGTATGTAGTGTTTTGCTATGAAGTATAAATAAATTAAATAATATCAGACTGCAGTGATGGATTTTTTATTTGTTACTTAATTGATATAGAAGCAATAAATGTGTTTATCCAAGAAGCTGTTCCTTTGAAATGCCGATGTGGGTCACTACTTATACTTCTAAAATCTGTCTGGTTACAGATGAAAATTATTTTTACTCTGTTTTACATTGTATTTGAACAGTTCTTATTTATTATGATCATTTTGAGGTATAACAGCAATTTTTGAGACAATATTTGTGTTTGTTATTCATTAATCTGTAAACGGTGAAGAAATTATAGTTTTCATAGTCTTACATAGCAATGCAGGATTCAAATTCTCCATCAGAGCAGAACAATTTACAGGTAGGTGAGTACTGCATTGTGTTTGACTGGTATCATAAACCCCTTTGGCTCACATTCGGATGCTAACTCATGAAAACTGCAGATGCTGGATGTACATACACAAAGCTGATTTCCAAAATAACTTTCCTGAATTAATTTTTGAATTTAATATACAAATTAAACCACTACTGAACTCCACATGAATGTTCATGTCTGGCATGCTTACCCTGTTTTCATTTCATTTTTATTTGGCATTCATAACTGCTACAACAGTAACACTTGAACAAGTCACATCATTAAATGCATCATTCTTGAAATTCTTTTGCCCAAATGCCTAAAGGATTAGAATTTTGTCAACAATATATAATCACGCTTGACATGGTTAAGAATGACTGCTTGGAGAAACCTATAAATATTCAAAGATTCTAGCAACCCTCAGAGGAATGTCAGAATTCAAAATCACCCATTTGAAGTGGATGACTGAATAATAAGTAATATTTCGGATGCATTGTAAGAAGGATCCCTGTTAATGTGAATTAAAATATAATTAAGGGTATTGTGACATTACCAGAGGGTGCATTCCCTTTTGGCCAGCTAGAAATACATGTTGTGGGAAATGAATTTCCCATTTTCACCTCAAAGTTTGAATGTCTGGTATTTGTGTCTAATGAATGAGAAAAATTTGTTCCATGTGATAGTTTAATGAAATTAAAGGAATCATAATTTATATCTCTGTGCAGAGTAATGTGGGTACTTTTCATTAGCTTTGTCAACAGTGGGCAACATCGTAACATCAGTAATGATGAAAATTTGCAATGGGTACTTTTGCAAAATAAGTTTTTCTAAATTAGAGTTCACCATCCAACTTTCAGTGTAATATCATTTCTTGTTTTGAAATTTGTATAAATGTTATAGCTGTGTAGTCAATTTGTAAGAATTATAATCCAGTTACATAAAAATGTGTAAATCACTTTGGGTTTGTATTGAGTGATTAATTTTATCAGCACAGCAAACAAAAAGTTATGGTAGAATGCAGTTACATTCCATTACTCCTAATTATATAATTGAAATTAAAAGAAAATGGGTCAGAGATCTCGCCAGATTATAGGCTGTTGGGGAACAGACATTGTTTGCACAAAATGGAATGTTAAGACAAGTGGAGAAACTCTTTACTTATAAATTTGTGTGTGTAATGTTTCCTATTCTGGCATGAGCTGTGTTTTTCTCTTATTATAATTGCTATGGGTATTTTGTTTTAAGTCAAAGTAGTGTCTGTATGATTACTTGCTGCAACCTGTTATGTCTGAAACTAAAGTTCCCTGCTTTTGCCACTGAAGCACTAACATTGTACTTAATGAGCAAGGTGTATGACAGTTGGCAAACAGCAAATGGCAGCAGTGAACATTAAAGGGAGTTGGTTGAAACAAGCGATATAATAGCACAATTTTGGCAACTGTATATTGCTTGTTATGAAGGCCCATAGGGTTGTGTGATGTTGAGGCTCCCACATTTTCTCTAGACAGTCGGCTCACAGATGGCAGTAAGGTGCGCTGGCCGCCCTTTACCCCCAGGAAAACTCCTGGTACTCATTTTTGTTAGAGGCTGAGTCAACCCCAGGGCTATAGTGCAGCTGGAAGGATTACGTAAATTAAAAAAAAAAATCCACCACATCGGGACTTAAACCCCACAACCTCCAGCTTGTAGCATAGTGCCTCAAACAACTATGCTACCGCTTGCCCCTACAATGTAAATAAAAATGCTAATTTATAACCTTTTGTAAAATAGGCTTTGTTAAGTCTCCAGTATATAATTTTAAAAAGCCAGTCTCATGTTTAGATGTTGATACTTCACGGGCAGTTGGGCATACCTACATAGCCTTCACATAAGGTGCTCTTTTTCTGTAACTGGAGTGCAGAGTAAATTATGAACACAAATGAAATCCTAATGCTTGTTATGCCAACTGCTTTATGTTAATTACTACAGATGAATCTCGTGTTGTTCTAAGGCTCTAACAGCAGTGTGACTCTTTGCATTGACTTCTCTGCAGTTAATCATTTTTTGTTTTTATCGTTTCAATGGAGACCCATTGCCATTGTTTTGTTTTATGTTGTGCTGATAATATAGTTTACGTTGTTGCTGCAACACTAATATACAAGTGATCAAAAATATTTTAATTTAGTACTAAAGACTATATTACACATTAGGATACAGTTTTGTATTAAAAACTCTTGTGAAATAACAGTACAACAACTTTCAGACATGCTCATGAACAGATCTGTGTGTATATATATATAGATTATTTCATTCTCTAAATGGATAATTCCACTTTTTCATATTTTTATGTGTAAATTGTAAAAAGTTCCTAGTATACTTCTGTTTTTGTAGAAGACAATATAGGCCAAGTTGCTTCACCATCCAAAAGTTTATAACAGCAAAGGTGGTGTCAAGTCATAGTAAAACATTCAATAACTAGAAACGAAGTTTAGTAACTAATACAGTGAAACATGTTAATTTTGGACTAAAAAAGGCAGAGAATATATGCCATTTGTCACAGTTTTCCTTTTCATAAAGGTTCTTGCAAAACTACAAATATATGGACACACACGTTACATGTGTAGCATATATCATAATTTATTACAGCAGTCAAAAGAATACACTCATAAATTTTTATTGTAAAATTATCATTGTATATTAGGCTGCAACAAATGCCCCCCCCCTCCCACCCCATTTACTTTTCTCTTTAACTCTGACAGTTTACCACATTCTTGCCTTCAAAACAAGATGTTTTCTTTGGAGGAGTTAATGAAAAACAAGCCAGTACCATTAGCAGTGTCCTTGGGTTCATATCTTGATGTAAAAGAAATACAATTTTGCTACGCAGTTTGTTTGTCCACATCTCCAGCTTCTCTGCAGTCTATTTGAACAGAAATGTATGTCTATTTTTGAAAAATTTTTAAGCTTCTAAGGTCACTCTTCTCCAATTTTGGCAACTTTCTTTGCTTGCCCTTCATGTATTGTTTCCCAAATTTGAACTTCTTGGTCCTGTATTTATAAACTATTCACACAGAATTTCGTCAGTGTCATCATTTCCAGTTATTCACAGTTCTAATTCCACAGAGCATTTACACTAAGCCATTCTGTTCTTATATACACTTTTTTCTCCCCTTCATAGGGTAACTGACTGGTCCCTCTGTTTCAAAACAATTTGTTATTTTCTACAAGGCCTAAGATGAGAATGTATTTAATGAATTCAGTCAAAAGACATGTGCAGTGTTTTCTAACACGTGAAACTAAAACAGTTTCAATTTTCAGTTTTTTCAGGTAGATTCCAAAAAGTATAGTGCATAATGAAAGTATGTGACTGTTTTTGGTAATTTATATTTTCATATTACCTTTTATATTATTAATTTTTCTTTCTATGGCCATATTAAGCAGTTTCCACTTATTGGATGAAATGTTACACTAGACTTTTCTCTTTTATTTTGGGGTTAGAGAACTTTCTGGTTGACAGATTTCCCTTTCATACCTATACTGTTTTAGGCAAGTAAAATATAATCTTGACAGTTATTTATGACATATTATTGCGTGAACAAATAATTTCTTTCATTCCATCCCAAACATATAAGTGGAATTTGAGTCCTCAACCCCCCAGAAATGTGTTTAAAATTCACTGGGGAAAGTTGTATATAGCTTACAAATAAGGCAAAGTTAATGCAATGAGTCTTCTGGGGCTATCCCTAAACCAGTGGACGTTTTGTGATGGGTATCAAACATATGCAGACAAATTCAGTTCTATACTTTGAACATTGGTGGCTTGTATTTTATATTCACATTGTAGTATCTGAACATATTTTTCTGCTGAATGTTCTAACTATTTTTAAGATTGTAATTATATATTTATCTCAGATTTATGTCAATAATTACAGCAAATTGTTCCATAATTTGGAACCTTTCTGCAGGTACCATGGAAATGATAGGAATAGCAAATCATAATATTGCATATCAGTTATTTGACAGATTGCTTCCTGCTATGAAGGACAGTTCTAACACGGTTTGCTTTCCCATGAACAAGTGATATAGCAGTGACCGTGTGTTTCATACCCTTACACATGGGCTTCGTGATTCCCTTGTCTGGTGATTGGCCACTGTCCTGTGGGAGAGAATTATGTACATTTTTATGGATCCCAATCTCTTAAAATTTCAACAGACTGTGATGGATAAAAAATGTCAGAATGCGTTATCCATATATAATTAGTTGCTTGTAGAACTGTAAATGGGAAAAAGGAAAGATAATAGTGACCTGATTTCTTATGGAAAGCTCCCTGGCTAAATTGGTTAATTTATCTCTAAATAGTTTTGATTCAGTCAGTACAATGACTTATGTAGGATTAAATTGTTTAAATTACATGAACCTTCATAATTTTGATGTAATTACTAAAGTGCATATGAACATGAGGAATTTCAGTCCATACTAGCTGTAAAATTCCTGTAAGAAATATCATAGTATCACATTTCAGAAGTTAACTGTACAGGTTATGTTTGTGTTACAGGAATTAGAAGCTGTGCCTGTGATATACATAACCTAGAACCATTCCGTGATTATAAATTTCGTGTACGGGTGGAGAACAAATATGGAGTCAGTGATCCTTCTCCTTTTGCTGTTACTTTCAGGTGAGTGGTGTTTATTATTGTCTTGATTAAAATGTATGATTTTTCGTTCTGATAATATTCAGCAATGCAGAAATAAATTCGTTTGATATTCTGAAGACAAGTAGAAATAGAAATTCAATAATGGGTGATGTTTTTTACTGCCTCATAATTATGCTCTTTTACTACTTGTGATGATTTCTTTCTTGAGTCCTGTATTTCACTTGTAAACTTCAAGAGAATTTTCATGATTCTCTATCATTGCCATTGTATAATTTATGACATTCTTATCTCCTTACTGCATCACTACAGTTTTTCTGAGTAACTATACCACTAATGACTTATGTAATTGTAATGTCAGTTTTATTGTGATGTAATTGCGAAGTCCAGCAAGACATGACATAAGGTGAGCTTTGTTCATCCCTTCATCAATGTAGTTTTTGGCATTGTGATTCATTGTAAATTGGTAACTTCAAAATACATTAAATGTGCATTTGTTTTGGTCTCTTTGAGCAGGTTAACAGTTCTTACTGGAATCTGAAACTAGTAAGATAGCTTGAGTCATATAAAATAGTTTTGATTTTTCCCCTGTTTTAAAACAAATTGAATTCAAAAAGTACCTCATTAATGTTTCATAAGAGAACATATTCATGTCCCTTCATCACTAAGGACTGTTTGAGCCTAAAGTTTTATTCTACCGATGCATAGTTCAGAAACTGTTGTTGACATGAGTACACTTCTGTAGAGAGAAGTTGGAGCCTGACCCACCAAAGTTCTTCCCATATCTTCAGCCAGGCATTGACTTCCGACCAGAGACGTCCCCGTACTTCCCAAAGGACTTTGATATTGAAAAGCCGCCACATGATGGATACGCTCAGGCTCCAAGGTGAGTTACAAAATGATGTTACAATTTATATTTCTTAGCTGAAGCAGGTAAGCAACAGACCAGAACAACAAGAAAGAGAATGAACAAAATCACATGCTCAATATGAAGATGTACTTCACAGCATACCGCGACTTTATTCAGAAGAGGTGTTAAAGCTTAATAGGATACTTGAAATGTGCATTCAACATGACAGATTTAATTTTCACTGTTTGCTGTAACTTCTTTATTAGAGTCCATTGCAAAACAACAATTGTTGTGTTGCGACAGACTCTAATAAATAGTTGTATATGATAACACAAGAGGATGCATGAAATGAAAATTTCCTGTAACTATTATTTTATAGTGGAACTCCTACTTATGGTGTCTTTTGGGAGCACTGAATAATACCTTAAATGGAGAAAAAATTAACTTTGATATGATTTACTTAGGATCATAAGAATTGATCTTTAAATATGGGGTAAACTTAAACTGAAAAACATTAACTGTATTTAGCAAGGTAATATAAGGTTACTTTATTGTGGATCATACTCTATGAGTAACATACAGGACTGAGATTGGATTGTATGTATCTGTAATTAAATATGATTTAATAAGTGGTACTGGTTGGCTGTTCAGTTATTTTATAAAGCCAGATAAACTGCTGAATGTGGTGGAATAGCATGCAAAGTTGATGTGATGTTGGCAGATTCCTGAGGCAAGAACATGATACTCAGTATGGCGTCAAGAATCACAACTGCAATCTATTTTGGTTTGTTTATGGCTACCCCAAACCCAAGATGACATACTACTTTAATGATGAACTCATTGAAACTGGGGGTCGATATGACACTAGCTACACAAGAAATGGTCAAGCCACTCTCTTCATTAACAGGTATGTACCTTGTATATTGGACATTTATATGGAAAATATATTTTCCCAACAAATCTCTGGATTTTCTGGCCTGCTGTAATTATGCCATGAATTTAGGATGCAAGATAAAACATCTATCATTTAACATTGAAAATTGTAAAAGTTGGGATGTTTTGCTGGTGCATGTGAAATTGCTTCTGAATTCAGCATGGCCATATTTGCTGGAATGTGTGGTAGAATTTCCACAATATTGAAGGTTCTGCAATTTCAAAATTTCCTTAGAAGATGCTGATATCTTGGACTAGAAAATTTTATGATATGAAAAACTAAAGGGTTAAAAATTAGAGGTAGGGGCTAGGATACAGAGAAACTATAATTTTAAGTAAAAGTTATATCATAATTAAAAAAATGGCAAATATATTTAATTCCTGCTACTGCTGCTACTACTACTACCACTACTACCACTACCACTACCACTACCACTGTCACCACCACTGCTGCTGCTGCTGCTGCTACTACCACTATCACTGTCACCACCACTGCTGCTGCTGCTACTGCCACCATCACCACCACTGCTGCTACTACTACTACCACCACCACTGCTATTGCTGCTGCTACTACTACTTCTACTACTTCTATTTCTGTTTACAGTAAACTCCAAGTTATGTGGTATCTTAGCCTCTGGAATTCTTGTCAAATTGTGAAAAGTTTTGAATCAAATTTACCATTTTTTAAAGTTTAAAGAGAAAATGTGATGTGCACCTGTCATGTGGTAGTCCTCGCACCTGCCACTAGCAGCTCTACCTCTCATCATCCCTCATGCAGGTGCCATTACAGCAGAGGCTGGTTGAATTGGTGATTGCTTTGCATTAGATATATTTTTCAGCCATCAATTCACTACATGCTCAGGAAGAATCCCATGCAAGAACTGAAGCAAAAATATCTTCTTGTGACTTTGTATTCAGTTCTGTAAGAGTCTGTTATGCAACTGGCAGTTTCATGTAGACGACATGCCCAATTCCTCATACGCTCTAGATGACAGAGAATGAACCATACACTGAAATTTAGTTTTTATTTTTAATTACAAGTTACTTAAATTTGTTTTAGGTCTTTTGGTATTTGAGTCATAGGAGATCTTCTATAAATACTGTGACAATAACATTTGCTTTGAAACCTTATATTAAAGAGGACAGTGAACATTGTACCCTGAAATTATAAGATAGAGACTTTCTGTTCATAAAAAGTTGTTGGATGCGTTTCCATTTTTCAGAGCTCTGGAAATGCAGTTTAAGGAGCCTCACTTTTTCTATGCCAGAGGCTGACTTGAATATATGAAAAGTCATCATTTATCTCCATTGACTCTAAGGTTCTGAAAACTAGCATCAGTTCAGGATATATCAGTTTATTGTCTTGAGTACAATAAATTTTTTAATCAATGGTGAAACATTAAAAATTAAATATTATTTCCATATGATTTAGAACTTTCACAATGACTGTATGCAAGATATCTTCTTGGAGGATCTGCCCTGTCAGAATGGAGGTAATAACCACCATTTTGAATGTTATCTTTGACTCTGCCAGCAGGGATTGATAATGGAGACAAAGACAGTGTCTGAATTATTGGATATTAACTCCACATTGACATTCGTGATCACCTGAGAATATCTAGTTGCATATATTTTCATTGAATGATGGTGCAGGGTTTATATATTTCAGGATGCTGGATCGTGATGTGGGAGCATATGAGGCAGTCGCAACCAATGAGCATGGTGAAGCTCGGCAAAAAGTGAAATTGGAAATTGCTGAATATCCAGAGTTCATCAAACGACCAGAAGAAACAGTCATCATGACAAGGAAATCTGGACGCATTGTTGCCAGAGTGACTGGGGTGCCATATCCTGAGATCAAGTGGTACAAAGACTGGCAACCCGTTGCATCCTCTAGCAGAATTAAGGTCAGGAGGGATCCATATAAATTTAGTGTTCCAAATTCTAAATTCATACATCCTAAAATCACCCCTTACACCTCTTAGTTCAGGGCCATCTTCATTGCATTATGAGGCTACAAGAAGAAATGGATTCTTTGCATTCTACATTAAACTTTACTTAATTGGAAATTATTATACCCTGTAAAGTCTACAAACTACATATCTTAAATCACTGTAATTTTATTTCCATGCTTAATGTAGGATACAATCAGTATCTCAGGCTTCATAGTGTCATATGGTAGGACACTTGGTGGATAAGGAGTTGGAAAGGATTTGGATGGAAGCAGTCATGCTAATATTAAGAAACTATGTCATAATTTACCTGGAGGGTGTGAGGAAAGCCATGAAAACTCCCAGGATACATGGAGTCCTGGCCAATATTTGAACTCAGGAAAGTCTGCAAATACAAGTGTATGGGCTCAATCAGACTGCATAGTATATAACATGAAGTTTTGTTAATTATTTCAGGAAATGTTAATATTATAAATACAACGTGGTAAGAATTTTAGAATAAGTATTTGGTTGCATTAGAGTTTGTAGACAAGAATAGGGCTGAATGTGAAACCCGTTCCAGGACTAAATAAACACTATTTGATGAAGAGAAATTTTAAAACTGGCCCATAACAAGAAAAAATACTACAAGTTTATATTGTCTCTGGCTATCACTTTTATTGGTATCTTTATCACCATTAACAGTGTTGTAAAAACAAACTGACATCAGATATTACAAAAAGAAAGAGTGAATTCGCTCAGAAATATATATTAATACTAATAAATGTTATGAAACCTAAAGAATTGGTTGCTTTTGTACTAGATGTTGTACAGAAATTTTCAAATTTTACATGCCCAGCTAACTCCATGGTACAGTACTTCTGAGCACTTGATAGTTACTTGGCAGGTCAAGGCTGTGCCATAGCTCAAGCGGTTAGTCGCTGGCTTCCCACTGCGGCGGCCCGGGTTCGATCCCAGATCTGGTCAAGTGGGGTTTGTGGTGGACAAAGTGGCACTGGGACAGGTTTTCTCCGAGTACTTCAGTTTCCCCTGCCAATCTTCGTTCCACCAATTGCTCCACAATCACCCTCGCCTATCATCTGGGGCTGGTACAATAGGCCAGAAGTGGCCACAGTACAAGGGACTTAGTCCCACCCCACTAGCAATAAAAAAATACTTGGCAAGTCAAGTGCTTCTCTGTTATGGAATATGAACATTAATTACAATGTTCATCAAGACTCACCCTATCACATGAGCTAGAAGCACCCATATTACATCTTCAACCCCAGTTTCTTTAAGATCATTTTAATATACAGGGAGATTGAGAAGTCGCGCACATCACACTAAGGAATTATATTTTGCTGGTTTAATGTGCAAACTACAAGACATACAGCACTTACAATTAATGTTTATAACCTTACATCTTAGAAATTCAAAATCAAATCATGTCTTTGCAACATATGCTCAAACTGGCTTCCCTGTTCAGCAACGCATGCACAAGCTCTTTTTACCATGTTTGAGGCCACTTTGTGGAGCACCTGTAAACTAATGCTGTTAATTNAAGAAATGGTCAAGCCACTCTCTTCATTAACAGGTATGTACCTTGTATATTGGACATTTATATGGAAAATATATTTTCCCAACAAATCTCTGGATTTTCTGGCCTGCTGTAATTATGCCATGAATTTAGGATGCAAGATAAAACATCTATCATTTAACATTGAAAATTGTAAAAGTTGGGATGTTTTGCTGGTGCATGTGAAATTGCTTCTGAATTCAGCATGGCCATATTTGCTGGAATGTGTGGTAGAATTTCCACAATATTGAAGGTTCTGCAATTTCAAAATTTCCTTAGAAGATGCTGATATCTTGGACTAGAAAATTTTATGATATGAAAAACTAAAGGGTTAAAAATTAGAGGTAGGGGCTAGGATACAGAGAAACTATAATTTTAAGTAAAAGTTATATCATAATTAAAAAAATGGCAAATATATTTCATTCCTGCTACTGCTGCTACTACTACTACCACTACTACCACTACCACTACCACTACCACTGTCACCACCACTGCTGCTGCTGCTGCTGCTACTACCACTATCACTGTCACCACCACTGCTGCTGCTGCTACTGCCACCATCACCACCACTGCTGCTACTACTACTACCACCACCACTGCTATTGCTGCTGCTACTACTACTTCTACTACTTCTATTTCTGTTTACAGTAAACTCCAAGTTATGTGGTATCTTAGCCTCTGGAATTCTTGTCAAATTGTGAAAAGTTTTGAATCAAATTTACCATTTTTTAAAGTTTAAAGAGAAAATGTGATGTGCACCTGTCATGTGGTAGTCCTCGCACCTGCCACTAGCAGCTCTACCTCTCATCATCCCTCATGCAGGTGCCATTACAGCAGAGGCTGGTTGAATTGGTGATTGCTTTGCATTAGATATATTTTTCAGCCATCAATTCACTACATGCTCAGGAAGAATCCCATGCAAGAACTGAAGCAAAAATATCTTCTTGTGACTTTGTATTCAGTTCTGTAAGAGTCTGTTATGCAACTGGCAGTTTCATGTAGACGACATGCCCAATTCCTCATACGCTCTAGATGACAGAGAATGAACCATACACTGAAATTTAGTTTTTATTTTTAATTACAAGTTACTTAAATTTGTTTTAGGTCTTTTGGTATTTGAGTCATAGGAGATCTTCTATAAATACTGTGACAATAACATTTGCTTTGAAACCTTATATTAAAGAGGACAGTGAACATTGTACCCTGAAATTATAAGATAGAGACTTTCTATTCATAAAAAGTTGTTGGATGCGTTTCCATTTTTCAGAGCTCTGGAAATGCAGTTTAAGGAGCCTCACTTTTTCTATGCCAGAGGCTGACTTGAATATATGAAAAGTCATCATTTATCTCCATTGACTCTAAGGTTCTGAAAACTAGCATCAGTTCAGGATATATCAGTTTATTGTCTTGAGTACAATAAATTTTTTAATCAATGGTGAAACATTAAAAATTAAATATTATTTCCATATGATTTAGAACTTTCACAATGACTGTATGCAAGATATCTTCTTGGAGGATCTGCCCTGTCAGAATGGAGGTAATAACCACCATTTTGAATGTTATCTTTGACTCTGCCAGCAGGGATTGATAATGGAGACAAAGACAGTGTCTGAATTATTGGATATTAACTCCACATTGACATTCGTGATCACCTGAGAATATCTAGTTGCATATATTTTCATTGAATGATGGTGCAGGGTTTATATATTTCAGGATGCTGGATCGTGATGTGGGAGCATATGAGGCAGTCGCAACCAATGAGCATGGTGAAGCTCGGCAAAAAGTGAAATTGGAAATTGCTGAATATCCAGAGTTCATCAAACGACCAGAAGAAACAGTCATCATGACAAGGAAATCTGGACGCATTGTTGCCAGAGTGACTGGGGTGCCATATCCTGAGATCAAGTGGTACAAAGACTGGCAACCCGTTGCATCCTCTAGCAGAATTAAGGTCAGGAGGGATCCATATAAATTTAGTGTTCCAAATTCTAAATTCATACATCCTAAAATCACCCCTTACACCTCTTAGTTCAGGGCCATCTTCATTGCATTATGAGGCTACAAGAAGAAATGGATTCTTTGCATTCTACATTAAACTTTACTTAATTGGAAATTATTATACCCTGTAAAGTCTACAAACTACATATCTTAAATCACTGTAATTTTATTTCCATGCTTAATGTAGGATACAATCAGTATCTCAGGCTTCATAGTGTCATATGGTAGGACACTTGGTGGATAAGGAGTTGGAAAGGATTTGGATGGAAGCAGTCATGCTAATATTAAGAAACTATGTCATAATTTACCTGGAGGGTGTGAGGAAAGCCATGAAAACTCCCAGGATACATGGAGTCCTGGCCAATATTTGAACTCAGGAAAGTCTGCAAATACAAGTGTATGGGCTCAATCAGACTGCATAGTATATAACATGAAGTTTTGTTAATTATTTCAGGAAATGTTAATATTATAAATACAACGTGGTAAGAATTTTAGAATAAGTATTTGGTTGCATTAGAGTTTGTAGACAAGAATAGGGCTGAATGTGAAACCCGTTCCAGGACTAAATAAACACTATTTGATGAAGAGAAATTTTAAAACTGGCCCATAACAAGAAAAAATACTACAAGTTTATATTGTCTCTGGCTATCACTTTTATTGGTATCTTTATCACCATTAACAGTGTTGTAAAAACAAACTGACATCAGATATTACAAAAAGAAAGAGTGAATTCGCTCAGAAATATATATTAATACTAATAAATGTTATGAAACCTAAAGAATTGGTTGCTTTTGTACTAGATGTTGTACAGAAATTTTCAAATTTTACATGCCCAGCTAACTCCATGGTACAGTACTTCTGAGCACTTGATAGTTACTTGGCAGGTCAAGGCTGTGCCATAGCTCAAGCGGTTAGTCGCTGGCTTCCCACTGCGGCGGCCCGGGTTCGATCCCAGATCTGGTCAAGTGGGGTTTGTGGTGGACAAAGTGGCACTGGGACAGGTTTTCTCCGAGTACTTCAGTTTCCCCTGCCAATCTTCGTTCCACCAATTGCTCCACAATCACCCTCGCCTATCATCTGGGGCTGGTACAATAGGCCAGAAGTGGCCACAGTACAAGGGACTTAGTCCCACCCCACTAGCAATAAAAAAATACTTGGCAAGTCAAGTGCTTCTCTGTTATGGAATATGAACATTAATTACAATGTTCATCAAGACTCACCCTATCACATGAGCTAGAAGCACCCATATTACATCTTCAACCCCAGTTTCTTTAAGATCATTTTAATATACAGGGAGATTGAGAAGTCGCGCACATCACACTAAGGAATTATATTTTGCTGGTTTAATGTGCAAACTACAAGACATACAGCACTTACAATTAATGTTTATAACCTTACATCTTAGAAATTCAAAATCAAATCATGTCTTTGCAACATATGCTCAAACTGGCTTCCCTGTTCAGCAACGCATGCACAAGCTCTTTTTACCATGTTTGAGGCCACTTTGTGGAGCACCTGTAAACTAATGCTGTTAATTGCCGTCGTAATGTTCATCTTGAGGTCATCCAGTGTATGCGAATTGTTTTTATAGACAATTCCTTTGAGGAAAAAATCTGCGGGTGACAAATCGGGTGAACACGAGGGCCACAATCCTTTTGAAATGAGACGGTCACCGAAAAACTCGCGCAAGAACTGCATGGTTTCATTAGACGCGTGACACGTGGCACCGTCTTGCTGCAACCAGCACTCACGTTCATCAACTTCAAGAAGTGCAATAAACTGTGTAATGATGTCTTGGTACACTGGACTGTTCAGTGTTGTGTCAAAGAAAATTGTGCCCACTATTTGACGACATGATACAGCACACCAGACTCCAATTTTCTGACAGAGCAAGGGCGTTTCATGTAACACATGTGGATTTTCAGATGACCAAATCCTATTGTTTTGACTGTTCACATAGCCACTAAGGTGAAACCACACTTCATCTGCAACACATGCATAAAAAGACTGGCAAAATAATGTTCCACAATGAAAACTCATTGTTCTTGAGAAAACGACGTGTCTGTCATCGAATAAACAAAGCTATACTGCAGACGTTGTATGACTTATACACAACAGATAGCGTCTCTACTTGTTGTTAGTACTTCTACTGTACCATCTGGTGGTAGGAGATATAATTATAATAACTGCAATACAATTTATAACAACTTCTAGTTTGATGTGTGTGACTTCTTGATCTCCCTGTAACTTCCCATTATTCCTAGACTTGTTGAATGGCCTTATTCGTTGAGGTTCCCTAACAAAAATTTAATTTGTTTCAATTCCCCTATATATGCTACATGTCCAATGCAGTAGGATTTATAAACATGCCTCTGTTTGTTGCGCTGTAACACTTGCTATGCTTTCTGGTAAAATATCCTGGCTGAATATTTCTTTCTTGAAAACAGATCCAGTTTATTGAGCCAGACACCTGCATCCTGGTGATCAATGATGCTATAAACAAAGATGAGGGCCTGTATAGTCTGAGTGCCCGCAACATTGCGGGAACAGTGTCTTCCAGTGTGATGGTGCATGTAGAGGAGAGTGAACAAGAATATGGTTACCTTACATACAGCAAAGGGCGCAACATCAAGCCCAAGAGTAAACCGTTTGAGGAACAGTATGACATTGGTGATGAGCTGGGCAGAGGTACCCAGGGGGTGACATACCATGCCGTGGAGAGGCTGACTGGTAATGCAGTTCTTTCAGTCATCTCCTTGTCATTATATTTCCCACAAGTGCCCTCAGTCTTCCTGTTAAAGTCATCACAACACAACTTTCAGGAGAGCAATAACTAATTCTTCAGAAATTATCCCCAGTTAGAAATTTAAATATGCCCTTATTTTCATTATCATTACTGTTTGCACTGCATTAGCTGATTTTTAAGGGTAGATTTTTCTAATTGGAGTGGGTTCCATTTTTCAGTCCTCAAATGATGGTAGGTTACTGGGAGAATTTCCATATTCGGTGCATAGTCGCTACATAAAACAAAACTTTCTTTGTAAGATTTGAGGCTTTTACGGCTGTGACTATGAAGAAAGCAGTCTTCTGGGATTTGGAACCGTGTTTATGTGATGTTAACCGACATTTCGGAGGAACGTATGGCCTCCATCTTCAGGGTAGAAGGAAAAATATAAATCTGCAAGTGGATGGAGATGGAAGATGGAGGCGATACGTTGCTCCGAAATGTCGGTTAACACCACGTATACACGGTGCCAAATCCCAGAAGACTGCTTTCTTCAAAACTTGCTTTCACATCATGATCAGAAGAAGACAGTGTCTCAGCAGAGTAGTTGCCTGTTTGAAAATCTGAGTTTATAACTAAAATTCTGTTTCTGACTTGACTTCTTGTCCACAAAATTGTTCCTCTTGATATTTATTTCTATAAATATAACTGTAATCTGCTTGTTACATGAGATTCTGCATGTATCATGAATACAAAAATAATGTTCCTCAAATAATGGTTTCTCTGAAGCATTTAATATATTTGAGGACTAACTATGAAGTTATAATTTCCAAAAACTGTTAGAAATACAAAACCAGTGTGTTTGCTAGGCCAATTAATTGTAAGTGTTACTCCATTGTTGCATCACTGTTTTTTGTGCTGTAATGTAGCAAAGAGTGTCTTCTCTGATTAAACTCTTTCGACTTTCAAAGGACATGCCACCATGTGTTGCTACTATAGTTGTAATACAGGGTGTTGTATTTTTCAGGTCGTAACTATGCAGCAAAAATCATGCATGGAAAATCTGATCTGCGCCCATTTATGAACAATGAACTGGAGTACCTGAATTTGCTGAACCACCCCAAGATCATACGTCTGCATGATGCATATGAGACTAACCGCACTCTCACCCTCATCACAGAACTGTATCCTTCAGTACATGAAGTGGTTTCTGCAGACATAATATTTATATCATTGTGTACTGTGTTTCTCAGGAAACAAGTGTTTTGAGAAAACAATTTTCTGAGTTAATTACTCTTATGTTCCAGTAGCTTATGAGTGTAAGGGAATCATATTTATGGTAATTTGTTGCTGAGATAACCTGGACTGCTGACTTCAGCATAGTAATAGTATTGTCACGATTTTATGGAGTGACTATATACAGGGTTTGGTTTGGTAATTGGATTTGTTGAACACTTACAGGATCATAATTACAAGTAACAATAGCGCTATCACTAATTCACACACAATTCTGCAGTTCACTACAACGTTTACTAAGTCTTCTCAGCCTGCTGTGTTTTCACCAGTCGTTGTGTGGTGACCCTCTATTTCTGTGCTCGTGTTCTTACTGGCTGGTGACTCTACCACAACTAACTCATTGCTCCAGTTGTGTAGCTCCCAGGCTGGAAGCAGTCACACAAACCTGCTACTCTTCTTGCTACCATCTGAAAACTCCTCTCTGGCAGCTGGCCCTTGTTATATAGCCTCAGCACAGACCGCACTGAGAACATTGCTTACAACAGCTCTTCTGTTGTGAACATGCCTTTTGCAGCTATTACCTAGCAACTACCGTTGTTTACAGAGCCATTATTTAGCAATGGCTGTTGTATAGTGCTTATTTCGCGATCGTTGCCTAGCGATGGGTCTACATGCTGCGATATAATGATTATGAAGTGAGGAAATCTGGAACATGGATATACACAAATTCTTACAGTTTCCAGATAGTGTAACTACTGCAATGCCACCATACCAACTGCATTTATAACAGATTTGGCAGCAAGATTGCTTTATGTGAAAGCATTCATTATTGGGAGACCTGTTCTTGCTGAATGCTTAATGTTAAATCTGTATTACAAAGCTCAAGAATGGAATTGTATTTTTGGTTTTAGATGTCACAAGAAGAAACTCTGAATTTTTCATTTATCGTATAAGCTTGGGTTGAGATTCTGGGTCAATGCAGAGTTCTTTGTGAGACCTGATTGTTGGCTCCTTAACCACAACTTATGCTAACAGAGCTAGTGGAGGAGAACTGCTGGATAACTTGACAAAGCAGACATATATAACTGAGACGGATATCGCTGGCTATATTCGTCAGGTGCTGTGGGGACTAGAACATATGCATAGCCAGAACATTGCACACCTTGGTCTTACAGTAAGTGACTGAACTTACATTATTGGCCACTAGACTGTGTTTGAATTTATGTACATCTAGTTTGAACAAACATTTACAGTGACGATTAAAAAGGATGTTTGAGGAGCTAGGTTAACATTATCAAATTTTAAATTGAGTAACGAAGAAGAATGCTAACCTAAGAAGAAAGTAGTAATGAAAGGCTGAGGAGTTGATATAATGAGAAGCTTCATAGTTTAAACTCTTTCCTAAATATTATTTAGGTGATAAAATTAAGGAGAATGTGGTGCACAGATCATGTAGACGTCTAGGTGAGAAGTGAAATTCATACAGAAATTTAGTTGAAAACCCTGAAAAGAAGAGCCCACTATGGAAAACAGATGTTAACGAATATATTGTTGTGTGTAAGGTGGTATGTGCAACGAAAATGATTGATTCTAGTTTGGATGATTGGATTTATTAGTCCCTTGGTTACAGTCTCTCTTAATCACATTCAAATACAGCACTATCACTGATTTACACACACACACACACACACAGGTCCTCTCCTGGTACCACAACTAAAACACAGGAACTATAACAGTCTCACTGAATCACACACTTCAAGTATTGCACATGAATGAATCCTTCTAATCACACTTTAAATCTTAACAGGTTGACAAACTTTCCATGGCTATCTTCTACTGAGAACTCAGAACTGCACTTCAAACTGAAAACTGCTTTATCTGTAACTGTCATTATATAGCCTCTGCACCAACACAGTCCTGTTGTTGCATCAAGAAGACCACAGAGAAACGACTCACATGATAGATACCTCGCCAGTCCATTGGTGTGCTGACTGTTGCGTAGCAGCGAGCTATAAACATTCGTCCTGTTGTTGAGTGAGCTTAAGCAAGAAGGTGTTGCCTAGCTATACACGTTACAGTATAATATTAAAATGGATCGCAAAGAAATAGGATATGAAGGTGTGGACCGAATTCATCTGGCTCATGTTAAGGACCAGTGGGGCACCTGCAGACAGTAATGAATTTTGGATATTCATCCTTAAAACCTAAGTGTCTCTGAAATTATAAAAATTAAAATATTGTATTTGAGCACAATATATCTTTACAGATTGGAGACCTGCTTATTTCACATCCTGGTGGAGATGATTTGAAAATATGTGACTTTGGCCTATCAAGAAGGATAGCATTTGGCAAGCTTGCTGCTCTAGATTATGGTAAAATGAATTTATAGATTATGCTATCTTGAGAAAATAAAATCAGGTTATGCATGCTTTTAGTTAACATTAATTGCTGAATGGGATAATGTTCTTCACTATGTAGTATGCTGGACGTGAAAGGTTATGACTCCTGCTGCGTGTGACCCATACAGAACAGCAGAGAAACAGTTGACTTCTTTCAGTTAATGTAGAGTCGGTGGGAGGCTGAGGTATCAAACTGCAAGGGGAGTTCCAATTGTGATCTCCTGGCTTCTCACCATGTATTAGTTTGGTGGGTGTTTACCAACGGTTGAGCAATGTGTTGCCTCCGTCCTTAGTATACACCTTTACACTGAAGATGGAGGCAGCACATTCTCCAAAATGGTACACAATATTATAAACCAGGAGACCGCAGCTTAAATCTTACCACTCTGAGGCACTAAAATGATATATACTGTGTGTCAGCAATATCAGACTGCAAGGCCTTGTTTATTTCTTGTGAAGTTAAAACTTTAGATTTGGGGTCTAACAAAATCCAAGTTTTATATACTTAGAGAACAGGAATTGGAAATTCAGTGTTTCTGCTTAAGAATGCTTCAAATTGCGTAGACTGGTAACTAATAAGGATTTAGTTGAGCAATGAAAATGTTAGGATATTTTGAATGGAATACAGCAAAAAATTGCCGTTCTGTATGTATCTTTAAAGGATTCATGGAATAATTCTGAAAATGCTGACTGAGCTCTTGTGGTGGGGTCTGTAAACCTAATCGTTAGTGCCACTTTGAAATTACATAAATTGTGGTCAAACTTGGTAAGAACGTTTTATTAATCCAAAAGAGGGAAAAGATAAGTTTTGCACGTTGCACCATTGATCAGTATTCTCTTTGAGGACTGTAATGATTTCATTGCAAGTTACTCTCTGATGCAGCAAGTATAAAGTCACCTAGTTTTGGTTTTAAGTGATCTCATATTTTGTTAATGTCCAGATCTGTATTTGGATGAGTGTTACTGAATGTAACATAGACACTATAAGTATAAAAAATGAAGGAACTTCCTTTGTTTTAATACCACAACCATCCTGAGATATCATTTCTCTCTCACTGGAGAAACCTGTTGCAGCCCTATACTGTGTGTGTGTGTGTGTGTTGTTTTTTTTTGTTAGTGGGGTGGGACTAAGTCCCTTGTACTGCAGCCACTTCTGGCCTATTGTACCAGCCCTAGATGATAGGTGAGGGTGATTGTGGAGCAATTGGTGGAATGAAGATTGGCAGGGGAAACTGAAGTATTCGGAGAAAACCTGCCCCAGCGCCAATTTGTCCACCACAAATCCCACTTGACCAGACCCAGGATCGAACCCGAGCCACCGCGGTAGGAAGCCAGCCACTAACCGCTTGAGCTATGGTGCGGCCATACTGTGTGCTTACTGCTTAGTGTGACCTGGCATTATCATTCTATAAACAGTATGAGATTTACACTGCACAAGCTGCATAACACTCAATTCCATTTCAAGTTGGTGACATGTTTGTCATAGACTGACTCAAATTATGAGTGGAGATCAGCTCATCCTTCATTTTATGCAGTAGTTTCCATCAGTAATATATATCTCATTTTTTATAATAGGAGAGCCTCATATTTAGTTGTCAATAAGAAATTCCTGAAATAACCACAGAGGCAGGAAAAACATTAAATAGGATGACATGAATCCTATGTCCAAGGCACATATTTTGATCTGAGACTCCTTAGTCCCATGCTTCTAGCATCCCCTCGGCTCCCTCTACAGCCCTGGACATTAGCAACGAACTGTTATGTTAGTTCACATCAGATATAGTATCAGCATTTGGGATGCAAAAAGAAAAACATTTACAAGAATTTATGCTTCATGCACTTTTTGGCGTTCATGTGGCTCATATGCTTTTTTCAACACAGTGTGGCATAAGAGTTTTGGATGTAGTTCCAGAAAGGCACTTGCTGTTCTTATTATATTGCAGGCATGCCAGAATTTGTGGCTCCTGAAGTTGTTAATGGAGATGGAGTGGGGCTGGGGGCAGACTTATGGTCTGTTGGTGTTATTACATACCTGCTGCTTTCTGGTCACTCTCCCTTCAGAGGGCCCAATGACCGGGAGACACTGACTCGTGTCAAGGAGGGGAAATATGATTTGAGATTCGAGTGGTTTTCTGGCATCTCTGCTGAAGCCAAAGACTTCATCCAGAAATTGCTGGTGTACAATGCAGATGGCAGGTCAGTAGATTATGATATATGAGATTTCAACAGAGTGTTGCTCTCTGCCCTCTAGCGCATTAAAATTCTTGAGATTGAACCTCTCCATATGTACTCTGTGTGTTGTTTGTTTACTCACTGCCAGTGTTTCCCTAACCTTTGTCACCACCAGGCAATGGTCAGTATCACAGTCTGCTGCCCTGAATGATCAACCATCCGGTATACTTGAATGCTGTCTCCTGTCTATCAAAATATGGTCAATCTGGTTGTGTGTCTTCCCATCAGGAAATGTCCTAATAAATTTATGAATGTTATGATGTGGTTACGTTGTACTTTTGACAGTAAGATTCTTGGTTCCGACAAAGTTTACTACTCTGACTCTATTATCATTACTACTTTTGTGTAAACTCTCATTCACAGTTGTTGGTTTGAAAATGTCTTTCCTACCTAGTTTGGTATTGAAATCTCATAACAGAATTTTCATATGGTACTTCAGGGATTTATCAAATAAATGTTCTAGTTCTTCTTAGAACCTGTTCTTTATATCATCAGTTTTATCTTCCGTTGGGGCGTGAACATTCGGAATGATAATATCACACCAGTGACCTCTTAGTATTATGTATGACATCCTATCACCAACAAACTCTACTCTCTTAACTGCTGAAATGATTATTTTATCATAATTTGTACCACTGAGAAAGTAACAAATCATACCCACCATTATGTTATTTACAGGATGGATGTGAAGACTGCACTGAAACATCCCTGGCTACAAGTTGCAGACAAGATTCCAGTGGACCAATACAAGATTGGCACAGAGAACCTCAAAAATTACTACAATCGCTACCGGTAATTTAACACTTACGAACAAGGAAGTGTGATAATGTGCAGTGCTATGGAGCAGATAATTTAAAAGCCTGGGATTCTTCTAGAAGATGCAGTTTAATTCTACATTTATCTATATATGCACCCTCTTTTTCATAATTCATACTTAATAATTCTTTAGAGATGATTCATTGCAGTGAAATGCGTTCTGAATATTTCAGTACATATTAGTTACTGATATCATTTCACCAAATATTTGCATGTTTTACTATTTTAAAATGTAAGGGAGTTTTAAAATATTGAAATATAGCAGTATATATTAGTAGTAGTATATAATTGAAGAGATTTGACACTAGAAAATTAGTCACACGAAAGAGACAACTTGTGACATTGGAATCATTCTTCCTAGAAACATGACATAATATGTTTGAATTAATCTGCTTTTATTGCTTTAATTTCCTGTCTCCCAAACATAGTCAGTAGCCTAAACTAAGTGTCCATATCATGGCACACATTTCAAAGTCTGGTAGACATGGACTGGAATTCAAGCACCCAATGTAAATTTCCCTTCATACCATCAGAAATTTTCATACGTCATATGGTTTGATAGCACTTAAAATTATTTTTCAGTGTCCACAAGAGCAAAATTATCTTGTGCCATAAACCAGACATCATACAAGTTTTTCTTGGAAGTATTTATGTCTCTTTGTCCCATAATGAGCTATGACAAAATGGAAGAGAAATTTGTTCATATGATTTGTATGTTTTATGGGAAACATTGTTGCTGTTTATTTCATTTATTGACGCTCTTAGCATCTCAAAGTATATAGTGTCATACGATGAGATGATTAAGTAAACAGAGAATTGAAAAGGATGCGGAAGGACGCGGTCCTGACATAAGTTTAGTTACTGTTAGTTCCTCAGAACTCTAGCCATGGTAGAGGGGTCATACCATCTCTTGCGGGGCTGGGGAAGCAGTCTTATCAGCTTACGTCAGCGTGGGTACTACCAGTTTTGAATGTAGCATCTTGGAGTGTGGTCAGGTGTATAGTGCATTGTGTTGCTTGTTAGTTGGTACCAGTCATGTGACTGTATTATGTGGTGTTCATGTCACTGTCATGGCACACCGACAATCGCATGGAACAATTCATAGTGAGGCCACGGAAGTAATAGCTAATGTTTTCCGCTCAGTGAGTAGCTCTGAACATCACCACGGCAAGCGTACAGCTTCGTGTGCTCCACAACAGCGTCTACCTTTCCGCTTGGCTAAAGTTACGAGGCACTAACTATACTGTAGCCTCATTTGCCTGGAAAAACTAAGTGAAACTGCAGAAACCTCAGTCATGACAGTCAGTGTCCAGTCTGAGCATTGCTGTGTGCCATAATATAATTTTCATAACTTCCAGTGCATGATGCATGTATTCTTTTATTCATATATTGGCCCATTGCAAGGGTTTTGCTTGTTGTGAGAAAAGCTATTTCTGCATTAAGCACCTTCCAATTTAAAGTGCTGCTGCCAATACTCAAATGGTTAAATATCTGTTCTGCTGATTTATTTTATCCGTCTTCTAGTGCATACATTTATTTATCCCCTCCTTTCACTCTCACTACATGTTTCGGCACCAATGTGCCATCTTCAGGTGCTGATCCAATCCACGACAAACTAATTCATTGCATGCCTTGTCTTTACATACTAAAATAACTAAAATATATATTTATCATATATACTGACAAATGTCAAGTGTTAAAATACTAAAACTGTACAGCATATTTCTTTCCTACGTCGTGTTTCATTACGCGAGTCACGTCTATCATCCTCTGTTGGAGCACTCTCTCTTTCACTATCGTGTATCTGTAACATGAATTTGTTATTCATTAATACCGCGTTCTGCAGCCTATCTATTACTTGTGGTATTATGATTTTAATGTTTAATACTCACTGTGCTCTGTGTTGCGTCTCGCTCCTGTGACTGCGTGTGTTATACTGCTGGACCTGCTGGGTATGTGTGTGTGTGCTGTCTTCGTTTTGAGTGAGTTATGATGTTGTGGGCGTAGTTGTGGTGGGGGTACTTGGTGGGGTGTTGTTATGTTGTTCTGTGTAGATGTTGCTTAATTCGTGGTATATTGGGTTATTTATTTCTTTATTTATATTGTTCATGTGTGTGTTTTTCTTTGTCGTTCTATATATATGGTAGTTCTCCAATGTGTTCAAGTATTGCCCCTTCCTACCTGTTGCTATGATATCCATAGTGTTTTCTATAGTACCATATGCATGTCCTGTGTTTAATATGTGTTCCGAGTATCCTGTATTGCTGTTATTGTGTCTTATGTCATGTATGTGTTCTTTATATCTGGTATTAAATTTCCTCCCGGTTTGTCCTATATATTCCTTGGGGCAATCTAGGCATTTCATACTATATATGCCGCTATTGTTATATTTATTTATTTCTGGTCTTGATTTTAGTATATGTTGTAAATTGTTCTTAGTTCTAAATGCTATTTTTAATTTTGTGTCTCGAAATAATTTTGTGATATTTCTTGTTTCTTTACCTATATATGTGAATGTTGCCCATTTCGTTTTTGTTTTTTGTTCTTCTGAATCCTCTGTGATGTTCTGCTGTTTTGCAATGTTTTGTTTTCTGTTATTTGTAGTTAGTTTTGTAATTATATCTGTGTTGTACTTGTTATTTATGAGTATGTTGTTTATAGTTTCCATCTCATTATCTTTTGCTACTCTGGTGATGGGGTAGTTATGTACTCGATCTATGAGGTATTTAATACCAGATATTTTGTGTTCATGTGGGTGACATGAGTCACTTGGTATTATTATGTCCGTTGCAGTGTGTTTTCTGTGGATTGAGAATTGTAACTTTTCCATTTCTCTATATATTTCTATATCTAAGAAATTTATAGATCTATGGTTCTCTTTCTCTATTGTGAATTTTATAGTTGGCTGCAGTTTATTAAATTCCACAATCATGTTGTCGATATTTGTTTTGTTTATATCGTACAGTATTAGTATGTCGTCAACATATCTGAAATATCCAATTATTTTCTGATTTTTTAATATGTTGTATATTTGTGTGTGCTCCATGTTCTGGATATATATTTCTGCTAATATTGCAGATGTTGGAGCTCCCATAGCTAAACCATCTGTTTGTTTGTAATATTTATTTTCATACTGAAAATAATTTTGGTCTAGTATAGTATTCAATATGCACATAATTTCTCTTTGTGTATTTACGTCTGTATTATGATTGTGTTGTAGTATGTTTTTGGTTATGTTCAATATGTTTTTCTTAGGTATGTTTGTATACATGTTCTCTATATCAAATGAACATAATCTTATATTTTCATTTATTTATTATTTGGATCAGCACCTGAAGATGGCACATTGGTGCCGAAACATGTAGTGAGAGTGAAAGGAGGGGATAAATAAATGTATGCACTAGAAGACGGATAAAATAAATCATGGACTTAAATCAGTGCAACAGGACGCTAAAATATAACATTATCTGTTCTGCATTACTCTTTCTAGTACTGAACTCCTGTCCCATTAGCATTGGATGTGAATAACATGACACTGGAGCAGATAAGATATTCATAGTGATATATTTCATTATGAACATCAGCTTCTTGAAGTGTGTTTATAATGACAAAATTTGCTGTGTTATGTAATGTTATTTAAAAAATAAAATTTCTGTGATAAACAGTTACTTAATTTATTACTATAGAGATGAATAATAGGTCGTAGAATAATCAACAAAGAAAGGGCAGGTTCTTTAGCACCAAGCAAGATTACAGTTTGTTGAATTAAAATTGATACGTCTTCCACTAGCCCTTATGCTCTTGACATTGTGTTTAATTTTGTGTAATATTTTTAGCATAATAGATAAAGGACTGTTTGCATGTGAAACAGCAGAAGACCTCTAACCCTCAAAGGGTTAAAAGAAGGTGAGTAAGTAAGAAAGTAACCCACAATACTACTTTTCTAAAAGGAAATATAAGTAACAATTTTAGTACTTTTTTTCATTTTCAGGGATTGGTATCACAACGCATCTTGTCGAACATGGTTCAGAAGAAGACCGCTGAGTGGTGCTTTCACTCATCCTTCCAAAATGGTTTACCCACCAGGACACATATACACACCAGAACCAACACCTGAACCCACACCCAAGGAACCAAAGGAGCCTAGGACATGGGAAGCCCAGCTGCCACCAAGGCCACCACTTGATTATGAAATTGGCAGTGTAAAATCAGAGAGTCAGTAAGTGAACTGACATATTTAAATCTCTGATGATAATTCAAAGCCAGGCAAGAAATATGAAGCAAGGAGCTCAGATTGGAATATATTAAAAGTGTTGCTGCGCTGATATGATTTAGGATTTAGAACAGTTTCCCTTCATAATGGTCTTTTAAAAGAACCATCTTACAATGTGGACATTGCTGAGAAACCTCTGTTATAAATCCAAATGTATTTGTTATGTAAGATCTAAAAGTTTGTGATGATGGTATATTGCTACAAGTGCTATGTTTTTGGACATTATCCATCGTCTTGTCTATTTTCTAAAAAACCACCCCATTTCTTTTTGAAAACACATTTCGGGGACTCCGAAACGTTGTGTTTTCAAAAAGAAATGGGACGGTTTTTTAGAAAATATAAAAGATGATGGATAATGTCCAAAAACATAACACTTGTAGTATTGTACAGTATTTATCATTACTCTGTTGCATTCGTGTAGCATTGCACTCTATATGAATAGTGAATAGTTGTATTCAAAGTTCACCTGCAGTTCAGTCAATGTAGTGACTCTTCTACATGCTGGATAGCCAAGGAATCAGGGTTCAATTCCCAGCAGAAGCAAGAGATTTTCTCCTCTCCACAGTGGTCAAACTGACCGGTGTCCACCCAACCACTTATTCAATGGGTACATTATTTTGGGACATCTCACCTCCATCTAGTGCCGAAGTTGTACCTCAACACCTCCATATTTTCTCATGGTCTGATGCTTAATAAAGCATGGGAATAGCTTCCTCCTTTGCCTACAGCTATTGCAAGTAATATTACTTTTATTATTGTCAAATCAAGAAATGTGAGCGCGTTCATGCATGCGTACATGTGTGTAAAAAGGAATATGCAGTTCATAGAAAGAGTTTTATATCTTAGATGAATGAGAATTTATCTCTTCAAATTCTTATCTATCATTTCATCATAATAGTGAGACTGAACAAACTGCAGTTTCCTTTACAGAAGTGAGCAGCAGCAGGACAGTTTGGAACCAGATAGTGATGTGATGCACACAGTGCATATATACATATTATGCAGATCTAATTGCTATTCTGCTTAGATTTGCCCATTAATAATTTTTAGTATATGCACCAGAAGTTACTCTACTCTAGCCACAAAATCCTGTAAAATGTGAACTATATGAAGTGATCCGTTGGAAAATTTTCACCTCAATATGCCATCCTGAATGCTCATTGAGATTGATGATGGATGCAGTCTACACAGATAAATGTCTTAGAAGAAACATCTGTACACATGTTGAAAATTTTAGTAAAAAGGTACATCAGCTTTGTATGGAGTTTGTAAGAAAGGAAGAAGGTTTTAAGTTGGTGTTACTTACAGCTATCAGTATGGGCCTGACACATACCTCCTGCAGTTGCGTGATGTTGATTTCCCCGTGAGATTGCGGGAGTACATGAAAGTGGCAGCCAACAGGGGTCCAGTTGTCGGAGCCCATGACAACATTGACTGGAGGGTGTGTATCACTATCCTGTGCTTCTCAGGAATTGTTTTATGATTTATTTTGTAACATGAGAGTGTGTAGTCAATAGTACCAAGTGGTAGGTTGATTGATGAGATGGATAGACTTGGAAGAAATTAATTATGACTGACAAAGACACTATCCCATTGTTTGCCTCGAAGGATTGAAGAACACCAAGATGAACATCAGTCAGGATAGCTAGTGTCTCATTCAAAAGTCAAACTCGTCACCTCCGGGATACTAATCTAGAGTGTTACAGCTACACTGACAAATGTGCTCAGAAGTCGTTATGTTTTCCCACAGAAGCATAAAGAAAAGTAATTTTGTCACTATAAGAGTCTCATTCTTTGTCTTTCATTGAAAGCTGCGTGTGAATATGTTTAATGTCCTGAACTGTCCTGTCATATGACGTGGATAATTTAATGCAGTGTTTCTTTTCCATAAAGAAATCAGATAATATTATATATAGTCTTTATATACCTCAGTTTACAATTATGTTATATATTTTATGATATATTCAATTGTGTAAGCATACCATACTTGTGAAAATTTGTTGTGTACCATTCAATACCATGAAAGGATAATTTTGTTTTTTTATTTCTTTTTTAGTATTCTTTTGCAGTTCTGTAAAATTGTTTTACATCAACCTTCTCCTTTCCTGCAATTGTATTTATAGGCATAAAACTAAAATCCAACAGACTGTATATTAGTTAAGTGTGCTGAAAACCAGCATATGTCACATGCATTTGGCATCACAGATGGGATGATTGATCTGCGTATCGTTTACCTTCCCAGTTTTGGTCTCAACTTTGCATAAAAAGATCAACCTATACTTTCATAAATATGGTAAATTGCATGAAAATATGCCAGTATGAAGATAACCATGCATAACATTAATCATTTTCATAAAGATTTATTCAGCCTGTATACATCAAAATTTGTCATACACGTTTATATTGTGACGTGTTTTGCCACTGAAGACGCGGTTCAGATTGTTAATTGGTTTATTTAACAACCTACAAGGCGTAACTGCAATTGATTATAACACTCTTGCGGGTTTAGACAATTTACAAACCCTACACACTAATGTATTCACTCTATCTTCAGTAGTATTCACGTATTTATAACACTCCCAGTATAACTGTACTACAGCACACACAGTCTTGAAGTCACACAGTAAGTCTTCACTGGCTGACTTCTCGGTTACCGCATACTATCACTGATTACCATGTGTTCGGTTCTTCCTGCAACTGCTGCTATATTTCAACTCATAACGTTTTCTTCACGTTCACAGTTCACTCACTACAACTGAACTCGGCGACTGCTAGACTTCCACTGCCCTCCTTAGGCATTCCAGTTTCTCTTATAAACCCTCAGTCAGACAGATGAAAACGCACCTCGCTTCCCTGTTGCGTAATCGCCATGTTTACAGATTGCCTAGCAATAGTCGCTGCATGGACTCGCCTGTTGCATGATGTCACATCCTAGCGGGGAGGGGTTACATTATGTATGTTGTCTAAGTCTGGTAAGCAAATGCTCCTCACGAGTTCCAGTTATCAACATGTAATGAATGATTCCTTACAGACCCCAGTGATCCGTGAAAGACGCCGCTTTACAGATGTTATGGATGAAGAAATTGATGATGAAAGGAAGGAACGCATCAACCAGTATGGTTCTAGTGATGTGTACTCCCTTAGGAGATTAAGGCGGGAACTGGGGACACGACTGGATGGCCATGCCGAGGCTGAGGCTTTAATAGAATACAAGCGGGAAGGGCAGGTATGCATTCTTGAAATAAACACAGAGAAAATGTTTCCCAGGTTATATATTTCTTGCCTTGACTTTTGGGAGGAAAATGGCCTGTTTCTGTCTATATTTATATCTGATCTGATTAGAGAGAGTTTACTGACTGTTGGTATGAAGGTCATGCCACTAGTATATCCTGCACCTCCTTCCCAGAAGCAGTAGTGTGATGTGATTTTATGTAGTTTTAAGATTGTATGATGGTATAACTGTAACAGATATGAAACTGTTGTGGTTTTTTAATTATGGAAAGCAATAGCACATGGATCACAGGCTTGCTGTCTGACGTAATAAAAACTTAAAGAAGTGTATGTCAGATTTGGCAAGGTAAGTAGATATAAATGTGATATAGCATAGTAAAAGAATTATAATTTCATGCTTACATAAGAGATTTAATTACATCTCCAAAAAATGCCAATGTAGCAAAGAAAGGATGCTTTTAAAGACTACTGTTTTCTGAGATATAATTTCTGACTTTCAAAATCAGACTCTGCTTGCTTTCGCGCTCAGCTTATTCAACCCTGAAGATGGAGGCGGTATGTTCCTCCGAAACGTCAGTTGACTTTTAACGGACTACATGGCATATCCCAGGAAATAGTACTCTTCATAACCACTGCTGTGAGAACCTCAAATCCTACAAAGGATGTTTTTATGGAGATAATGAAAAATATCCACATAAAAGTGTCATTTTTCTTGCATAAAAACTGACGTCTAAGCTTTAAGGTGTCCTGAATTGTCCCCACAGCCCCATTTTTGTGTCATATACATGACAGCAGCAGAAACTGACTTTCATGAACTTGTGTCCTTTTACAGTAGTTCACACAATTTTTAAGTAAAATGCCAGATAGGAAATACATCTACAATTGTGTGAGAGCTGAAGATTTCATGGCAGCTCAGGTTATCAGCCATTTTAGTTGGTTAAATTATTACCAGTGTTTCAGGGACCATCCCCATCCCTTGCATTGGGATCTGACATCTGATGTCTACAGCACACTTGTACCATCTACAGTTGGCAAACTTCAGACATCAGACACCAAACTCTGATGATGGAGAGAGAAATGGACCCTGAAACATCAGTATTACCCAGCTGTCACACCAGATAGCTTGAAGAAGATCCTGTGAATATAGAATCATTATAGCAGAGCTGAAATTCATGAGATGGACTGTAAATTACACATGAAGAGACCATGAAAATAAACTAGAATTTTGGAAGAACTAATGGTTGAACTAATAATAACCAACAATTTATACAGAAGCAAATGAACTTATGGGCGCAGATTGCAGAGGGAGCCAAGATAGTTCAGTCAATATAGTTACTGCCTACAAGCTGCACATTTGGGGTTCAAATGCCAGAAAATGAAGGATTTTTCTGTTTGCCACCAGATCAGCTCTGGGGCCCACCCAGCCTCCTAGCTTATGGGTACAAAGGTTTCTATTGCTAGGATTAAAGCAGGTGTTGTGTGACTGCTCACCTCTGTCGGGTGCTGAGATTTATGTTGTGTGGAACCTCACTTCCTCCCTCCCATATATCTTAATACCATGATGCATAGTTAAGCAGAGAAATTGCAGACTTCCCAGATTAATGGCGGACCTGCTGAGTGAGCAGTGACTACTGACTACAAGCAGTGTGCCTAATGAAACATGATTCAGACCCTAAATATCTAAATACCTGTGATTCCATGCTCAATGTAATATTCAGTCAGCCCATTACTGTGCAGTAACATAACTGTTTAGAAAGAATTGATTGCAGGTCACACTTCTGAGTTCTTGTATGCAGATGTATCTAGACTTCTTACAGTTTCCATGTGTGGACATTGAGATTTCTGTCCCCTATTGTCTACAGCCCATCTTGCACAAACTATTTGTGTATGAGTGTGGCATATGTACGTGTAAGTCTCTAAAATACTGATACATTTAGGATGTAACAAAGTAAGGATTAGCCTTTCATATATCAGATGCAATTAGAGAATATGCATCAAAGTATTTTTGTGATTTCAGCCTCCATTTTTCCGAGAGAAACCACAGATTCTGCCTATTGTTGATGACCAGCCTGCAGAATTGGTCTGCTTTGCAGTTGGAGACCCCAAGCCTTCTGTCCAGTGGTTTAAGTAAGATCCCTTTTAAAGTTTCCCTGTTGTTATGAAATTTAGAGCTTCAGCATTTCACGGATAGTCAAAATCAAGTTAATCTTCACATTCTGTTCCTTCTTAAGAACAAATGTAGTGTTATCCTCTCATAAATGCTTGGGTGTCGTATGTGATCTCCATGAGATTTTTCAAACACAGTAATGTACCATTTTACTGCTTCCCCAAGTAACCCTTATAATGTTAGTTAAATGGTACTAGTTGTGAAGCTTGGAATTCTGTAATGTTTATGTCCCTTACTTCTTGTCTCAAAATTCACCTCAGTACTTTATGCCCAAGCAACTCAGTCACTGTCATTTGGTCAAAGTGAGAGCCCAAGTTAACCATTCCAGTTTATCTAAGTCCTTACCTTCCCTGATATTTCTGACACAGTGTCATTCTTCCTTTTATGTTACCTGTCTGTCGCGTTTCAGAAATGCGTTTTATTAGTCCAGTGTATCAGAGCTTTATTATTTAATGATTCTCAGGAATGACTTAGTCATCACTGAGAGTCATCGGGTGAAAATCCTAGAGGATGCTGAAGGCCGCTCTCTCCTGAGATTTGACCCTGCTTCAAATGTGGATGTTGGCATTTATAAGGTTGTTGCTCGTAACAAAGTGGGTCAGACACAGGCTCGTACAAGGTGAGAACATGTGCTGGTTATCCAAGTATGTAACGTTCAACTAATCTTTGTTTTCTGTATCTTGAAGAGGTTTTAACTGATTTAACATAATATTCTATGTAGATTAGTAATGCAGTTTCACTGTTTGACAGTATAACCTAAGCAGGTATGATCCTAAGCAGTTTTAGAAGTGTTATACTTCTAAATACAAAGTTTCACAATTTTTCTTCTCAAAATATTTCATGTGGAAAACTGAGCCTTGATGACAATGATGTGATGATACAGGATTTTTTAATAAAGAAACAGCTGCTAAATGGAACAAGGTGTGAGTTCTACATCACAGTCTTTTTGATTGGTGGTTATAATGACAGCACAAGCCACACTTAAATATCATAGGAAACATATGTGATGTCAGAAGTTCGGAAATTTGGTAAACTGAGTTTCAATGAGAGAGTTTGTTATTATTTGGCATCTAGGAAACTTGGTATTAAGGAGCAGGTCAACCAAGTGGCCACCCGGGATGGTCCATCAAACAATCTCTTTACTTTTGACTATTTGTTAAATGTAAATTAATTATTAGTCATTTAAACATGTTACACAGTAATGTAAATACTACTGTAAACTTGAAAGTGTTGTCTAATTCTGTAATCTCAGAGGGCAAGGACACTGCTGCTGTCACTGAATGGTGCCATATTTTGATTACTGTCTTTTACTGTTTTAAGAATTGAGATACCAGTGGCACTTTTCATCACAGTGATGGGGATTTTTATATTCTTAATTATTATGAAGTACTGAAAGAAAGTGGAGCCATTCTTAATTTTGGGGCAGGAATTTCTTATCACCTGGGGTGACGTTTAAACTTTAACTTGTCCTGTATAATAATGTATAGTAGCAAACAAACTGACAGGTGTTCAGCAAAAATTCCATGGAAACTACAGTAGAAATCTGCTGCAGCAGGAAGAAATGTGTTTTTCTGATGTCTCCTTGTTGGTTTGCAAGCCACATAGAAACATATTCTGCTAACTGTGGCTTTGCAACTGTCTTTCTGACAAAGTCACCCAATTTCTTCCTTTTGTAATTTAACTTCACAATTTTTGCATTGAAATGAGTGTTGATGATGGTGAGGTTGTATGTGAATTTATAATTTAGGAGAGAAATTAAAATAAGGATTACAGTTATCTAGTTTAATTTGCATGCTGCAGGCTGGTTCTGGCAAGTGTCCCCTCAGCTCCAGACTCACCAGACGTTGCTGAGGTTTCAGACACTGAGGTTCTGCTGAAATGGAAACAACCTAAAGATGATGGCAATTCTGCAGTACTTTGCTACAACCTGCAGTACAAGGAAGCTGGTTAGTTTGTTCCCAAGGTTATACAGTTGTGGACAGTAAGACAGTAGGAATATGAGAGTAGGATGTTGGTGATGGCGTTTTTCTGGAGGTGCTGAGGAAGACTACTTGAACTTCATGCTTCACATTTCTTATACTTCAGCTAATTTTCTTGGCATTGGTTAGCAATGCTGGTAACGATATCTGATATTCCTATATTCGTAATTATATCTGTAGGTTACAATTTAATTTCTGCCTATTCCAAATATAATGTTTAAGATTCCAATTAAGAATATTTAAAATCCTAAACATATAAATATTTTCATCTCATTCACATGCATGGACTTCCTAGCCTTCCCTTCATTTGAAATGGGGTAAAAATAATTTTCCGTTCCTCCTTATGGCCGCAACTCGCTACATGGTTTCGGCGCAGGCAACATAGAATACATTGCTTCCAACAGTTCTCCTGTTGTTGCTTGCGTATCCGTTGCCATGAACAAGCTTTTATCGGCTATTACCTAGCATTTTCTCTTAGTTAATTTTCTCTTCTCTTCTCTTTCATTTTCTCTTATTCTAGTTTCTTGCCATTATGTCATAATATTCCTTAATAATGATTCCATATTTCTTCTGTTACAGACAGTGTAGAGTGGCTGGATGTTGCCAACAATATTGACCATGAGTTCTATGTTATCCATAACTTGCGTCCATCTGTCACTTACCAGTTTCGATTGGCGGCAAGGAATCGCATTGGCTGGAGTGAGAAGGGCATTCCAACACCCCTGGTCAGGACCAAAGAAGCAGGTATGATTAAAAATATAGGCCTATGTGTGTGTGTGTGTATTGGTGTAGCTGTTCTTACCAACACTATCAGCTAGCAGAATAATTTTAATTAATATTAGCACTGTACAAGTAACATCTCAAAGCATATTTAGCCTACTTTCGTTGTCCATGCTGTCTGTGTGCCTGTCAGTCGCCCCTATTAACTTTTGAATACCTAAACAAATCTTTATGACACCTATTATGTAAATCATGGCACCTGAGCCCATCTCAGTGACATACTTCATAAATTCCTACCACTTGTCTGTGTGTATCCCTCCTGTCATTGCTAGGCAAAGGCTCGGTAAAGTGTATCCCTCCTTTCGTTTCTAGGCCTTGTCTGGGTACACAGGATCCCACAGCAGTGAATGAATGCAGGAATGGAAGAATTGTTGGATGTGTGTTCTGCGGGTCTGTCTATGTATCCACCTGATGTTGCTAGCTAACAACTCAGTAAAGACATTCCTGTGGCAATGAAGAATTGTTGGAGATGTCGTTTTCTATATAGTTCATGTCACATCAAAGGAAAGTAGTGTTGTGTGTAGTTGCATGATTAATATTTTGTTATTCAGGTGCTCCAAAGGTTCCTGTTACAAGAGCCATGAAACATCTGCAGGAGATCACCGAGTCAGGCCAAGAGATTACTGCAGATGAGCCAGTCACTCACTTGGATTATTCAGCAGAGAAGACACCAATTGAGTGGATCAGTGAGGGAGCACTTAATGAAAAGTACAGCTTTGTCTCAGAGCTTTCCCGGTATGTTGTTACTTTGTACAAATATTATATTGGATATTATTTATTGCTTGGAGTACGTTTCATATATAAAGTGCTTCAGAAACTGGACATTCTTCCATCATCAGATGTGGGAGAGGTGGCTGGGGATTCTATGAAGTTAGGTCCATTAGCATGAGCTTGAGATCAGTTATGCTTTCATTAGACTAGCTCCTTCAAGCAGATACAGCTGAGTAGGACCCTCCCCCCCCAAAAAAAAACCCTGATGAAGGAAACGGATCCATATGAAATATTGTGTATTTTAAATATACCTCAAACAATGAACATTATCCAACATAAATATTTGTATAATGGCTAGACCATTGTCAGAAACCTGCAGAAAGTCACATTATTACTTCATAATACCATTGGAGAATTGCAGATATTTTGCATATTTGAAATTGTCATTGGCTCTCATTGAAATCTGTTTGATTGCAGTGGTCGCTTCTCAGTGGTTGTGAAGGGCATTGAGAAAGCCTCAGATAGAGTTATTGTGGCCAAACTGTTGGAACTGAGGCCTGAAACTGAAGCTAAAGTCACAAGAGAATTCGAGGCCTTGAGGTCCTTCAGACATGAGAGAATAGCAACCTTACTTGCAGCATATAAACCTCCAGGTAAAAGGAAATAAATGGAGCTGCATTTTGCAATGAATCTGCTCATTCTTATTTCAGAGTGCTTTGAAGACTTCTGTTTGCTAACACATGAAGCAATGAAGATGATATTCAGGTACTGCATGCTATCAGTCAGTTCAGAATCTGTGGTCTTTCCGAGCTCTTTCAGAAACCTAAATTGTTTATGTGGATGTGTGAGAACAAAATAATGATAAGAAATTTCAACAGTAAGAGGAATAAGGTAATGGGGGAATGCAGAAAAATACATAATGGAAAGCTTAAATATAATTGTAATCTTCACCTAATCTTCTGAGGATAATTTTTCAGGGAAGAATGTGATAGGTGGAACATATGCAATGGTTGCAAGGGAACAAAAGAATGCATGCAAAATTTCTGATGGAAAACCTTCATTGGAATGTACCATGTAGGAAATCTGTCTATAGACAGGATGTTGGACTTCAAATGAATCATGCAATGGAATCTGATGACAGACCTTCATAGACATGGAGCGGAACCTTCAGGTTCCATGACAAAATTTCTTGACCGACTCAGTATCTATGAACTGCTTGAAAAAGACTCTGTTTCGTGCAGTTAGTTGTTCAGTTATCTAAAAGGATATTGATATTTGGTTTAGGTAAACAATGATAATCACCTCCCTCAACCCTCTTTGGCAATGTTACATAATTATTTTTTCTGATTCATAGAGATCTATGAATACTGTTACATATTTGTAGATTATAGAACTTGGCTCACATGATCCAATTTGCGTTCAGGCTCAGCAGTTGCTGTTTTGGTGCAGGAGAAACTGCAGGGTGCTGACATCCTCACATACTTTTCCAGCAGACATGAGTATACAGAACAAATGGTGGCCACTGTCATTACACAGGTAATTAAGAATTTCTGTTGAATTAAAATGTGGAATGCATACTATAGTTGAAGTAACACATCTTACACCCATTGTGATATCCAGCTGTTAAAATGCTGCAGAATAACCTTTTGTCAGAATATTCATAACTGCGAAATATGTGAAGGTGCTCAAGATATAGTTCTTTGTTTAAATATTGTGGTCATTTTCTCCACAATTAAAAAACTTTATCCTCTCCTTTGTGTATGATAAGATATATTACAGGTGAGTCTATTTCGTTTTGTGAAGGAAATTGATCAGCAGACATATTACAGATTCTTGATGGACTGCAGTACTTGCACTGGCGGGGCTACTGCCATCTGAACCTCCAGCCTGACAACATTGTGATGGCGTCAGTACGCAGTGTACAGATCAAATTGGTGGACTTTGGCTTTGCCCAGCGAGTCAGTAAATTGGGTACCGTTACTGACGCGGTCGGGGACTCTGAATACTCAGGCTAGTGTCTCATTTGCCACTCACAGCTTAGTACATGTTAATGAATGCAGCATCCTGTAATTTCTTGGTTTAAGTCCTGCAAGTATGTGCACAGCTTTTTTGCTAATATAAGTCCTTCAAAGTGATTTATGCGTAACGATATTTGTAAAAATAAATGCGCTGGTCATGCAGTTCATTATCAGTCTTCTTCAGGCTCTTATATACTTATATGTGATGAAGTAATATGAATGATAAATATTGTAGTTAATTTTCTCTCTTTCTGTGTTTTATTTTCCATTCTATTTATTTCATTCTATGCAATTATTATAGTGTTCAGACTGTAGTCGTTACTTAAAATCTGAACATGTAAAGTGCAGTTGCAGTAAATATTTCAAGGCAACTAAAAGGAGAAGAAAATCGGGTAGAACTGTTCACATGCGATTCACATTTTAATATTAAACTAACTCTTCTATAAATTGTATTGCTTTTTAAGGTATTATCAGCTTGTGTACTAAAACCAGACCTGACTCATGGCCAAATGGAGTGCAAGAAATACTCCATGAGTCTGACTTTCACATAGCCTTAGCCTTCTTGATGAACAAGGTTTAGAACTTTAATAGTGGCAACACTACTGTAGAGATACCATGCAATGGAACCAAATAATGTCACTTATACCACACGTTAGTTACATATGTACCTTACCTCAGAGCAAATCAACTCTCCCTTCCCACATCACACACATGCGAAGTGACGAGAAGAGCAGAGCCTCATGTTAGCTGGCGGTCTAATGTAGTGTTGTCACGATGTTCTCGAAACAGGAACAACGGAGTTGGATAAAGATTGAGTGTGCCAGAGGCCGTACAGCATGACAGTGTCATCAAGGTCTTCAAGAGGCTTGCGGGGAATCTGCATTGCCTTACAGAACAGTGGCAAGGTGGGTAAAAGCCTTCAACGAAGGACGCCAAAATGTGGCAGACATACATCGGCCAAGTCGTCCTACTGTCAGTAAGGAAGAAGTGTATGCTCTTTCCATGTTACTGGAGAGTGATCGACGCCATACGATTCGTGAGCTGGCCAGAGAGGCAGGATTAGCACATATGACTGTGCTTCACATTCTGAAGGAATGCCTGGGCATAAGAAAAATTGCATCACGATGGGTTCCGCATGATTTGACGGAAATGCAGAAATGGTTACGATACGACGCTGCTCATAACCTCTTGGAGCACTATGAGCGCAAAGGAGAGGCTTTCTTACGCCGTACGAGTATCATTACGCTGGATGAGACATGGACCAAATTGTATGAGCCACAAGTGAAACGCCAATTGAATGAATGGCGTCATTACAGGTCACCATGAAAATCAAAAGTTCGTCAGAACCCCAGCAATGTGAAAGTTATGGTGATTCTCGTGTACGACTGTGATGGTGTTATCCTAATGGATACCGTTTCCCGACAGCAGACCGTCAGTGCACAGTATTACTGTTCATTTTTGGAACACAAACTGCAACAAGCTTTGAGAAAGAAGCGGTGACACTTTCTGCAGAGTGACTTTGACTTGATTCCTAAGATGAAGGAACCACTTTGTGGCATTCGCTTCAGAACTGTTCCAGAGATTCTTCAGGCACTAGACCGCTCCATTCGAACTATCAACACAACAGGCGCTGCTATAGGTACCCTACAACTTCCGCATCAATGGCAACGGGTTGTGCATAATGCTGGTGACTACACTGAAGGACAGTAAAACTTTGAAACATGCGTCTATTTTGTGTCAGTTGTAAATAAATAGTTTCCACTATTAAAGTTCCAACCCTCATATAAATATTTTTACAGGCCTGATAGTCCATTGTTTTTTAAAGTCCAACTTCAGTATGGCTGTAAGCCTTCAGCAATATAAAAATAATTTTTAATCAAATCTTACACAGGATATAGGTTAGTTTGTTTGTATCACACATTGCTTGTGTTACATGCTTGCAGCTCCAGAAGTGCTGAACAATGAACCAGCTTTCCCACAGACTGACATTTGGAGTGTTGGTGTTGTAATGTACATCCTACTGTCTGGAATATCGCCTTTCCGAGGGACTGACAGTGAAGAGACACGTCAAAATGTGACATTTGTGCGCTACAGGTTTGAATATCTGTACAAAGAGCTGACGCAGGAAGCTACACGATTCCTTATATTGGTATTTAAGAGAGCACCAGGGTACGTAGCTCTCTACAATTTGTGTTCCATAGTATTAATATTAGTCAGTAGTACATCAAGAACTTTGATTTGTAAAGAGAAACCTGGGAAAGTGCATAATTTTGTCATAATTCTGTATATAAGGGGACCCCCAAGCTTTGGTGAACTTATTTTGAAGTTCAAGAAAGTCGTCTTCTGGGATCTGGCGCCATGTATTCTTGGTTTTAACCGATGTTTCGGAGGAACGTATCGCCTCCATCTTCAGGGCAGTTGAATTGTGTTGCGAATACAGAGAGCAGTAGCTGTAATAACCTTAAAATAGATTCATGTATAACAACAAGAAAAGAAAACAAAAACCCACCAAAACAAATGATTAGTTATGCCAGTATATACTAACACTTTCATTGCTTACTGAGAAGCTATGGGTCAGTGGAGTAACATATTGTTTTTAAATTGGAGAACTGACTTGTCTGTAGAATAGCATAACAATGAGATTGCTTCAGTTGTAGCAGTACTGTGTATTTTATTGTATTTTCTCCATTTCATTCATATAGTGGTTGTATTTACAGTAAGCGACCAACAGCTGAGGAATGTCATGAACATCGGTGGCTGTTACCAACAGAGTTCATGATCAAGAAGAGAGAGCGTGCTGTGTTTCTAGGAAGTAGGCTAAAGGTATGTAACATGATATATGAAATTGGAAAGTTTTGAGCATTGAGAAGGGAGGATGTTTATTTTTTTAGTCTCTCTGACATGCTCCAAAAATTGGTGGATAAATAAAATTGCATTACACATTCATATGCACACATACCCACACACACAAACACACGTATCCAGATATGTGCATGACAGTTACACACAAACACACACAGACCTACACACTACAGCCATGTTCCTGTTCAAGTGTAATGTGGAGTCGGTTATGTACCTCCCAAATCCAAAGCAATAGAAGAAGGAGAAAATAAACCCAGCATAGTGGATCCCTTTTACAAAGTTCTGCAAGTGGTTGAGAAATATGTACTTCTTACGTGACAAAATGTCTGAAAAGGGGCGGCAAGTTAAGAACAGGGAAACTTTACCTTTACCTGCCTGTTGTAAATATGGATAGGTAATGCAGTAAAATTGGGAGTTTTACTGCATTACAGTTGTGTGTGTACTGTGTAATACATCAATGGAAGTGCACAGAGTATAGGTTTGGGATGAAGTGGAAAACGGACTGTAGAAATGTCTGGCCTCTTTCAGTTTTCGGAAATATGTGTTTTTGTTTTGCCCAACAGGACTTCTCAGAAGAATACCATTCACACCGGGCAAAAGGAGCCACAAAATCTGAGTCACTCACTGGAGCCTTTGGGGGCCCCAAAAGTCTGGTGCGGTCTAGCAGCATTCAGGAAGAGCTACTTACAACATTTTAATTTCATCAAAGTGATAATGCATGGTTAGATTCAGTCCATGAAGGTGCTCCCACCACAAGCTGCTACTGGTAAGACCTTACCTGTCCAAAAAAGGTTGTTAGGACCAGTATGCTCTTATTAAATCAACAGTTGAGTAGAATGTTTAGAGATATAAACTGGTACTCCCTTTCAACCTCAACAAAGTGCTTACTTTTCAGAACAATCTCTGAACAGCTTAATATATTATAACAAGTTTTTGGTTGGTGGTTCTTTTTCTTTCTCTCTCTGCCCTAAAACAAGACCACTTTGTCTGGATGACATTTCCTGCCTTCAGAACCTTGGGATTTGATATCATGATTTTATTTTTCACGTTTACCTTTTTATATGTTTTATTTTTTATTCTTACTTCAGTTATGGCATTATTTTTTGTTATCAGAGATGCAGATGTGTTGTGAAACGCTGTAAAGAAATTGCACCTGAAGTGTGTTTTGAAAAAGAACCCCACTGTTTCTAGGAATTGGCTTGCATATTGAGTGTGGAACTATATTCAGTAGTCATCTCTCTTCTAATCTACTAAATAAATTATTGACATAATGGAATTGATCATCTAGATTTAAGACACTAGACATTTGTCAAAGAGGTCTTGGACTTGACCCTTGCCTCTGAGAAGAGAATTTTGTGTGTCATGATGAATACTAGGCAACCATCATAGTTTGTAACCTGTATTAAAAATGGGCTCCATCTGCTATCCATCATCTTTATTAACCTACTCTTCTACCTTGTAGATTCTTCCAGCCTGGAAATGAACTCCTTTCCTGAAGTACGCATGGGCCAAGAAAGCTGATCAGACCGTGACTAGAGGCATTACCCAAAGCTAGACTAACAATAAGGAATTATTATTTTCCTGACTTCTATGGGTATTTCGTATTCCTCAACATTCTGCAGATGTCTCTACTATCATATTTCATTTACTTCTTTCATGAGTCGGCAGTTATTGCCATGTGTTAACACTCAGTTAATAGTGTGCAATAACGAGTAATCCTCAGTTGTTCTCTATGTGCTCAGCTGATTGGAATGGATGCAAAAATGAAACGAACGAAACTGTTATCGATTAATGTATAATAATGTAAAAATAAATTATTTGAAAGCTAACAAACACTTCCCTCTTTCATAGTTTCTTCAAGGGGCAACCAACAAAACTGTATACAGAAATCTAAATGGCACTTGTATTCCAGGAGAAAAAGTTGTAATTCTTATTCTCATGCGGCTGTTTGATTCTAAATATATATTGTCGCTTTTAGTGACTAAACAGGGGATTTAGAATGATAATTGATTTTATTTAAGGTTTGTAACTCATAACTACGAGTGACTATAACAGTCTCCCTGATTTACATACACTAAATCACTACAACTACAGCATACACAAACTCTATATCTTCACTAGTTGTTGCTTCATAAAGGCTCCCTTGCTACAGTACTCACATCATTGCAGGCTGGTTGCTATCTCACAACTGACTGCCTCTAACCGATATGACTGCTAAATTGCTGCTGGCCCTCCCAAGCACAGTGATTCTTAGTTCCGAGACCCCTGGGACTCATGACCACATCTTACAATCTGACAGCTCTGGGAGCCTTGAGAACTCTCTAGCAAGTCAAAGTCACATTGCAACTGACGGTCGGTCAGTCAGTCAGTCTTGGTGTCCAGCCCAATCTGGGGCTCATGACCAGATATTTATTACTGTGTGACAGTTACTGTCTTGTTTTTGTGGGATGCCCTCTCTGATGAGAGGACAGGTCTGTCTTTTGTACATGCTGCTGGCCCTCGCCAGTATAGTCTTTCTTGGGTCCGAGTCCCTTGGGACTTTTGACCATTTTTTACTGTCTCAGATTTGAGATTTCCCTTTTAGTCTTGGTGGAGGTATTCAACCCTGCCTCCACAAGGGTTCTCATTATATAACCTTGGCACAGACCACACAGAAAACGTGCATTTACTATTTGTAGAAATTTGTACCAGTTTCTCAACCCATATTATACTTAAAATATGGAGTGATGTCACAGTTGCTGAACTGTATCTGTTCCATTGTGCTTGTTGATGTAACTTGAATAGTTTAATTCGGGAGCATTCACCTGTGTAAATACCTACGTTCTCCGAACTTACGGTATGGTAACAGTTATGTATGCCTCTTTTGCTTACATGATTGATGTAACTGAAGGAGTGGGGGATTGCTCCAGGAATTCCTCCACCCACCAATCATTCAGCAGGCTACATGCTCCCTGCTCGCTTCATTCAGTCTGGTGAACTGTCACTCCCACTGTTGGCTGATGGTAATAGTGTTAGTCATTTTATGGTGGGTACTTTCAGTAATGTTCATGGACTGCAGCACTCTGTGAAAAGCAAGGTGCCAGTGTCAAAACCTGAACCTAATTGCAGTAGGCTAAACAGTGTTAGTGGTAGTATGCTGAACACGGCTGTCATTTTTATTCCTGCAGTAAAGTTTAAATCATATTGTACTTCTTTCTTTTTCCTATTGAAACCAATAAGAGTGCATGACGTGAGCAATGAATGTCTTCACTCCCATTTGCTCATGTATCACATTCTTCTTTGGTCATGTTTAATTTGTTTTAGTGAATCATGTAATTATTCTCCCTTAGACTCAATTTATGTTATTACAGTTCATCTAAGTGAAAGATATCAGAGGGCTATATGTGTGAATGTGGGATTCAGTCTCTTCCACCTGTTGTTTCTCTCCTTGTTGTTCTTCATGTCTTAATCCTCAACATAATCTCTCTGGCCTCCATTGAGTTCTTAAAATGTTTTGAACTACGAATTACTTTCTGTTTGATTGAAATTTCTTGATGCTTTTCAATATAATACTTGATACAGAAGCTAGTTACAATATCTTTAGATGTGTATAATATTCAAGGGTGGTTCTATGAAAGGAGGTGTTTGCTATAAGGCTGCAGGAGGGGGAAAGAATGAAACAGAGAGCATGGCACCCAAAACATAATTTTAGTATTTCATAATATCCATTTGAAGATCTGTCCAAGGAAGACTTTTATTACAGGTATACATCACTGTCAAAAGAAAATATTTTGAATGAAGTTATTTCTGACCTGTCAATCCATTTCAAAGTGATGTGATGTAGTGTTATAGAAGAGCTTGGTTTGGGTTTATGAAATCCTACATGTGTTAGGGTCATATTTTGTGTATGTAAAGTTACTGCATACAATCTGAACTGTTTTACAGCTGTACAGTGGCCCAACACAAGAATATTGAACTTGGAAAAGTAATGGGGGGCACTACATATTGTTGCTACTGTAAAGGCTATATCTTATGTGGTACCTGCTCAGTCAGCCATATATCTGAATTTACATTTTATTTGTAATTTGTGGACCAAATATAAACAATCATAACTTGACTAACTATTCTTATTCATCCTCATACTGGGTTTTATGTACAGTTTATAGTCCAAAAAACAAATAGCAACTTACTGGAAGCTATAAAATATTTTATTGGAGTATCATGTTGTGCATTTAACAAATAAGGAAGTTATGTCAATATAACTGGGTACAATAGTAATCAATTATATAAATTTGATTAATATACCACGTTTCAGCCTGAGTGGTCATCATAAAGCTAGTTTTACATTTGTTATCCACATTCTTGTTCTGGCACGTTTTTTTTAGAAATGTGGCTTTATTGAATTAATTCTTCTTTATCACTTCTAATTACTGGTACAACCTGCCTGAAATTACCAACAAACACAATTGCTCTTCCCCCAGATAATTTGCCAAGACAGTATTTAGTAGCCCATCCAGATGCAACACTGTTCATGATGTGTATCTGTTGCATTACTGGTTTAGCACTTGTGGGGTAAAGGTCATATTTTGATGCCAAGAATGGATTCAACTGGCTCACAATAACATCTAGCGGTATGGTCTTGTGAACATGATAGTTAACATTTGAGCTCAATAGAAAATGGGGATTTTGTTAACCAATTTAAAGACAGAGCCTCTCAAGGAGGACTCTAACCTAATGCATTTATAAAGCAAAATTCATAGTTCATTCTTGATATAGATTTTCTGATACTTATGTAGAACCTATGCCCAATTTAATGTGGATTGACGTGAGCAAATTGTGATGTATTAACTGAACCAACTTTTGATGCAGTATGTTAGAGTATGTCAGATCTATTGTGCACTTTTATTTAAATTTTGTAATGCATATACTTTTATAAGACTAATGGTCTATATACCAGGTGGGACTGAAATTAAACGGGACACATCAGCTGTTGGTCTATGCCGATGATGTGAATCTACTCGGCAATAATATAGATACCATACAAAAAACACACACACTTTAATTTACACAAGTAAGGATGTTGCTGTCTCATCACCAAAATGCAGGGCAAATTCATGACATAAAGATAGGTGACAGATGTTTTGAAAATGTTGCACAGTTCAGATATTTGGGGACAATGATAACAAATCAAAACCTGATTCAGGAGGAAATTAAGAGGAGATCGAACTCGGGTAATGCTTGCTACCATTCAGTCCGGAATCTTTTGTCTTCTCCTCTGCTGTCCAAAAACATAAAAATTAGAATATAAAGAGCTATAATTTTGCCTGTTCTGTATGGGTGTGAAACTTGGTCTCTGACATTAAGGGAGGAACATAGACTGAGGGCGTTTGAGAACAGGGTGTTGAGAATATTTGGACTGAAGAGATGAAGTGACAGGAGGTTGGATAAAACTGCATAATGAGGAGCTTCATAACTTGTACTCTTCTCCAAGTATAATTAGAATGATCAAGTCAAGGAGGATGAGGTTTTGAAGGGAATGTAGCACAAAAAAGGGGGAGAAGAGGAATGCATGGGAATGCCAGAAGGAAAGAGGCCACTTGGAAGACCAAGGCGTAGGTGGGTGAACAATAATAAAATTGATCTTAGAGAGATAGGATGGGATGGTATGGATTGGATTGATCTGGCTGAAGATAGGGACCAGTGGAGGGCTCTTGTGAACATGGTAATGAACATTCGGGTTCCATAAAATGCTGGGAAATTCTTGAGTAGCTGCAGAATTGGCAGCTCCTCAAGAAGAGCCAGCTGCATGAGTAAGAGTAAGAATGGTCTATGTGAAACATCTCATTTGCAAGTATTAAAGTCTTTTGTGTAACCATGCTTTTTTAACATCCGTGTTTCCATCTTTTTCATAGAGGTTTAATTATGTGGCATTTTGTCTATATTTATATTCAGCAGTACCTTTAATATAAAATCCCAAATAAAGATCTACAATTTGATTATTATAAGGGCCCAAATGCCTCATCCCACACTGCTGCTCGTTCCTTCAGCAAAGCGTGTTGCATACCCATTTCCTTGTTGATATCCAAGTAAACAGGATCTCTTTTGGTGGCCGGGTTCCACTTGATGTCAAGTATTGAATTCATTTCCATTGTAGGGTCACTGAAACATTATTCAGCATGGGAATCGTGCCATATATCGACATAAATGCATTAATTATAGGTCTGCATAATGTTGTGCTGTTTTTTCACAGTATATTCACAGTACAGAGGAAGCAATGATTCAATATTCAATGCTGTTTAGTGACTACTTATCAGTGTACTGCTTTTATGTAACTATCTCTGTGAAATTGTATGCTTCTTTAGAAGAAAATACTTATTCATGTGGTTCAGAAATTCCCCACTTCTTATAAAATCTGAAAGTTTTTTACTATTTATTAAAACCCACTACTGGGCCCTATTATGAACCAGTTCAATCCAGTCAGCACCTTTACATTTTAAATCTTTATGTTTCATTTTAATATTATGAATCCCAATTGGTATCTTCCTCTTAAGTTTCCCAACTACAGATTTATAAACATTTCTTTCATTCCATATGCATGCTGCAAGGCCCACCCACATTTGTCCCGATGACAGTTATGGAACACTTCAGTGTGCAGTTTTCTCCATTCTCACATTAGTTTTCCACCCTTAAGCAGGCATTTTCTTTAAGGTGTTTAAGGTGTTTGTGTTTTTGCCCAAAGAAATGTCATTATCAGTATACAGCAGAAACTTAGTATCCATCCTCATTTTCTTGGGCCTTCCTTGTGACTTATTCTGAAGTGAACTTTGGGAGGAATAGCAATAATGTGGGTCTAAATAATTAAATAAATCCAGTATCAGTTTAATGTATCACTTTATGGAAGTGAAGAGAGAATGTGTAGGCCTATATCCATATTGACAGCATGGCATGTATTTAACATAACGAGTGAATGACATATTCATCACGCCATATTTATACTGGATGATCTTCCTTAAATTTATTTTGTCTATTGGCTGATGTGGGAAAGGTAAGCCCATATCTTGCATTCTGGGTGTTATTCTACCCAAGATTATTGCCCAGCCGCAGAAGTAGTTAGATGATTGTGTAACGGTTTCAGAACAGCTGCCATTAGCTTTAAAGTATTCTACATGATTTGTTTTATAAGCTATTCATAGGCTAAAGAAATGTTTCTGTACCCCTCTTTCAGTGCTGGCTAATTGGGCAGCTGTTCTGCACAGGGCTGTAGGCAATCCTCACTTCTCACTCTGGTGGCATATATAATTGCAAACAATTTTTAAAAGCTTTTTATGGAAATTAATATTTCAAGCTATTTACATTATTGACACAGAAAGAATCCCCAAATTTGGGATCCTCGACATCTCACAACCCAGTAGGCCTCTATACCCAGTGGTGTACAAAGTGACTAAAATGTGGATAATGCGTGTGTTCTATCCTTTTACTGTTCGTTTCCAAAATACTGGTTATAAAGGTATTAATCTAGATGAGTTCTTACCCCGTCTTGGCAAAATTGGTCCACATCTTCACTACTGTTGTCAGAGTTTTATTTTCCTCTGAACGTTCCTCTATTGGAGGACTGATTGCCGTGCTAAACAGATAGCCCAGCTCATCTCCATGGGCAACTCCTGAAGCATGAGGAAATGGCAGACATGTAACAAAACACTAAATAGGTTGTTAGCTTTTTAATGCTTTTGTTAGCTATTGCACTGGAACTAGTTACTCCTGGATACATATAGATACACTTCTCCAAAATAACAGTTTGGTGGCTTGCAAAAGGATTCTTAATTATTCATTTGCTAACATTATAACTGCAATGATACATACGAGTACAATATTACTTACTAATGGAGTGTTCAGATTTGTTATACTGCAGTACCAATGGGACCATGCGCTGCTCACTTCAGTGTAACGCAGAATCAATTTTTGCGAAATGGAATCACGGTGCTCTAAACATTGTATGTGGCATGAAAGAATTGGCACTGCTGATTGGATTAGGCTAGTTTTTAGTAAAGTTTTTGAGATCATAGTTGATTTATTGGTTAGTATGCAGTCAGTCACAAACAGAAATGCATTTGAATCAACAAAATAGCCAGCAATGTACAATATACAGTCTAACTGAAAGACAGATATTATCAGTGGACCTCCAATTCTGTGTTGCTGAATTACAGAAGATTAATTAGTATACTGATTTTAAAATGCTTGTTTCTAGTTGGTGTGCTACTTATTTTATACAAACCAAATCAGGGGTGGCAGTGTAAAGCTTGAAAACAAGTGGGAGTTTGTTACACAGGGAAGGCTTACACAAGAAATTGACTAGAGGGTTGGAGTAGTTGGTTGAGGCGCTATGCTACAAGCTTGAAGGCTGCGGATTCGATTCCGACGAGGTCATTGAAATTTTCAGTGACTTAATCCTTTCAGCTGCACTGTGGCCCTGGGGCTAAAGGGGTGCCGACACGTAAGGCCGACAACTTCACCGCCATCTGTGAGCCATTTGTCTAGAAAATGTGGGACCCTCAACATCTCACAACCCTGTGGGCCTCCACGGCCTGTTACAGGGATAGCTTTACCTTCAGGGATGACACACTCTGTATAGGCCTATAAAAACAATGGGAATTTATAGCTTAGCATCTGGCAGCATAAGAGAATATGAACTGAGGAAGTCAGCTAAAGTAATGACGCTTCTGGCTTGTATTTGGGAAATTCTCGAAACACGGTTAGGATACTGATGCTCTTAACTGAGAATTTCCGTTGCTTTCCTCAGTCCCTCCAGGCAAATGCCAGGATAGACGTTGTATGAGTATTAATGGTGGAGGCTATACAAATTTGAAAAATATCGTGTATTTTACTGATCTATGTGAAACCTCAAATGATTTTGTTAACATTGTAGACATTAAAGTAATATATACATAAATCTTTTAAAGGTCTCCCTTTGGGGCCTGCTGACCCCCAGATGTATTTCAAATGGTATGAGGTATCTTGATTAGGTGTAGAGCTATGCATGTCAAATTTTAATTAAAACGCTCCTAAACAGTCGAACTTTAATCTCCAAGTAAATTAATTTGTATCAATACATTAACCCTTTAAATACTGGACTTGTAAGTCAAATTTAAAAATCCGTTTCGTACCTCACAGGAAACACAGTAAATATCCGCTGCAAAGGCCATCCGGTTGATACTATTTGGGGGAACAACCGCTCTTTATTTTAAGAACCATACGAAACACAAATACACTCTGTGGGCAGAATGCAAAGTTATAACATTTTAAAGGAAGTGGTATCTGTAGAACCACTGAGCTTTACAGGACCAAAATGCACTGGGTAAAAATTTCAGGCAGACTGGACAAACTGATCAGAAGTAGTGCCATTATCGTGCGCATGCGTAGAGAATCACGAAGTGTCAGAAATGGCCGAACAAAGTCTGAATCACTGTCATCTCTTATGTAGTTCAGTAATGAACCCTTCGCCCTGTAATCTGTGCTACTGACAAAGTCGTTAAAAATCATAAATAAATACAAAAATATGGCCAAGAGATACACTTTATCTTGTGACCCAAATTGCAACAGGCATAGCGACGGTTTTATAAGAATGAAATTACCTGGCTTTGTGACGTTTAGGGCGCGTTTAGCCACTCCAAGGTCACCCTCAAACTCGAAGTAATAGTAATATACAGGGGCAGTTGAGAAGGCCGCGTGCTTCTTCACAGCTCTGTCTGCACCAATGAAGAAAGAGAAATCTGTAAAACACTAGGATATAACAACATCCATTATCACCCCTGAGAACAAATACAGCAGTCACGTGCCCAAATGCATCGTGTAACGAACCAGAGAGAAATGTACTACACAAAATATACCCAAGTAAACATAATGCTTCAGTAATTTATTCTTTCGCCAATTTGACCAATTGTATCATGCATTATTCGTGAGAAGTTGTTTCTTCCGCAGTTGCAGTTCTTTTTGAGAGCTGCCCACGTGACTGGGGTACTCATATTTACTTTTTCGCCCTTAAAATGAACGCTATTAAGGGGGGTTCCTCGACCCACATTTTTTCCGTAAAGAATTTTCAAGTGGAGATCACCCTGGCATTCATAAAACCTATACCAAATGTTGCAGCTTAAAATAATGAAATTTACACGTTTTCTAGATAAATTCTAAAGTTTCTGATGTGCGTATTAGCAAAAATGTTGATTTCTAAATTTCACCCTAGAATAGACCATGAAGTGAAAAAGAAAAAAAAATCCACGCGCCTCCCTGTTTACGTTGTGTTAAAGAAGAATTGACAAGGCGTTCAGAGCAGGATTATAATGCCCGCTTTCAGAGTGCACAGATCTCAGTCAGATGGATCTGCTACTTTATTATTATTATTATCATTTTATTTTTGTCAAGATCCTCATTCCGAATGCATCAGTTTCGTGGGCTGCAACGTCGACATTCCGCACCGTCGCCATGTTTGTTCCCTGTGTAATGTGTAAAGAGGTTTACAGTCTACTTCCATACCAAGTTTGACGTGCTAGTTTCAGTGGTTCATTGGTTATTACCATCAGACCGAAAAGTAAAGAAAATATCCGCACGGCCGCCATGTTATCATCTTACATCCTCCAAAGAAATTATCTAAAAATGTATACTTTTTGGCATCTGCGCATTGTTTCAGGATCCTGGGGAAAGTGTCGCGGATACAGCTTCCATCTGACAGGTGCACACGCCCCGTTATGTTATTAGTGGCTGTGGGAAATCTGAAAATGTGTACGGCTTTGGGGCGGCCTGAGACTTCATGACGTTCATACGAAGCTTCGTAAAGTTTAGAGAACTGTGTTAAGAAGGAAACGTTGTGATCTCATTTTTGTTGTGTTTACAGCTTTCCGCTGTAAACAATTTTCCTCAGGTTATAATTATATAAATTTCATTATTCCGAATAAAATATGTGAGCCTAAAAATAAATACACATTTCATCGCTAATATCAGTTATAGTTAAAAGATACTAAAAATTTCGGGTAATGTGTAACACACATTTTTTAAAAATTAGCATTGGAAAATTATCTGATTATAACATGTCGAACGTTCTTCAAATATTTTGTGAAGCAAAGTCTCAAGGTTACAGGAAGGTGGAGTGTACTGTTGCACACTATGCTAGGGAAACTAATCAAGTTACGGCTTCTGTTTGAAATAATTATATAGTTAAGTCATTTTGTTTCACTTCTTAACTATAGGAAGATGCTGGGCAGCTTGTATAAACATAATGTAATTCATTTAAAGAAAACAGTTTTTAGTGTTTCTTAACATTTCCTGTACACTTACATCTATAAAGCTATCCAGTGTCTCTTCGGAAGGCTTTCTATCTCCGAAATAATATCTCTTAATTCGTTCGGACACTTCCTTCACTCGCGAGACGTCCTCTCCCGTCACATCCGCAACCACTTTGTCGAAGTTTTTATCGAATTTATCCCAGAATGAAGGCTTTTCTGTGACTGCAAATTAATAAAAATAAATCGACAGTATTTTCAGTGTTTCTAGAATAGTTTTTAATATGTCACTCACAAAATAAAGACTTCATGTTCCACACACACACACACACACGAGTATATCAACTGAAGCCCGAGAAGAACACGGGAAAGTGGCATGCAGCTACCTTCAGTGCTTCTAAGCATCCTGCCTGGAGGATACACTTAAATAAACATCACCTGTTCCTTTCGAATAACCCCCGATTCACCATTCATGTTGATCGTTACAACTAGTAACCTTCATTTCATACAGGGCTGTTTAATGGCTGACGAACTGTCAGTCATTAGAAACGAGGTAAATTACGACATAAATAAGAGAAGAAGCACAGCTTAGTGTAAAGTATGCGAAGACGCCTGAACTCTTCAGAGTCACATATCAGAAAAGTTTTGCTAATGGAAATTATAGTGAGGAGAGGAATGTTACATTTAAAATTGTTTCTGCTTAACTGTGTTCCTGCGGGAGAGAAGGACGCAAGAGCCGGGATCAGATAGGTTCGAGAAGAACAGGTTTCGAAATGTTTCCAGTAATGTAGCGAGAAATAAATAATGTTTCGATTTGCAAGATTCTGCAGGGTTCATGCAAATGAAGGAACAGCCTAGGAAATGCTTATTAACAGAGAATCCACCGAAGATGAATATTATAATAATCAATGGAACTTTAGAAATGTGCGAAATTATGCTGCAGTGCTTTAACATTGCCGTTAAGGCTTTTGCTCACGTGCTGTAAATGTGAGGGCTTCTTTAGAGTTGATGCCTGTCAGGAAGGGTACGACGTGGAACTTCCTTGAGGAAACAAGAGCAGCTGGTCTTCCCGGAAGGAAAACTTCTTCCCCATTGACACTTCCGTCTTCCTTTGTTGGTCTGAACTCTCCTAGGGATACTCCTGTCTCATCCTGGAAAGAAAATTTTGATTGATATATTTACTAGCGTCTTGATACGAGAAGATAAGTCCTTGTCGGTTTCTCTGATGACAGAACTAAATGAAGATCACGACACTTAGACTTAGGTACGTGTTTGTTCCGTCATCAGTGGATTTTGTTCGTTATGGTTAGAGAACGTTAATCTTGTGTCCATGACCCTTCAGTTAACATAATCTGCTCTCTGAGTATATTTTAATAACTTCGTAGTTTCTTAAATTTGCTGTAATCAGCACTTTAAGGCATAGCGCTGTCTGTACCACTCGCTTTAACATTTGAAGATCCTGAGTTTTGCCCATATAGCGTATTTATAATGAATTTTGCACGATTTTCAGAATACAGTTGTCTTCGTGTGCAACAATCCGCTGATACACGTAATGCAGCACAGATCATTAAAACTGTACTTAAAGAGGTTTATTGGTACTGCAGTTGCATTCGGGGTTTCTATTTCCTTAACGCGCACTCACCCCATCAATTTTATTTCAAATCAAATAGAGTAAGCAGCAATATTTCTTCCCCAGAGAAGGTGTAATGCTTCGTACAATTTCCACAGCGCTCTCGAAAGAACTGAAACTAAGACGAGTGATATAGACTTCTAGACGCCCACGGTGGTCAGCAGCTCAACCGCTTTACCCCCGGTACCCATTGGATAGGAAGCTGGTTGAGCCCCAGAGCCGGTCTGGACGACGTGGAGAAGAGGAAGTTCTTGACCCTATCGGGACCCGAACTCTGACCTCTCGGCCGTCCAGCCCGCTGCCAGTCGCTATAGCGCCTGCGCGCAGCACAAAATGCAATTATAGCGATCCGAATGACTGTCCTGTTTCAGGTCAGGCCTCTTTGGTGGCGAAGTACACCACTGGACTGCGTTCTGTGACACACTTCAGGTTCCTAGTTAGTCTGGTACCTCATAACCGAACACATCGACGAAGTCTGTTGCAGGCGTCTCTCGAAAACACTGGAGCAGTTCCTTATCATCTGCAGCGTCGCATCTGATTTTGGCGCCGATTTTAAAGGCCGCTCCTCTTATGTATTCCGGCTCGGCGTAGGCCCAACTTGCAAGTCCAGTGCCGCTCTGCGAAATAGCTCCATGGAACAGTCCTGAAATGTGAGGAGGCTTTTAGGGCTTCGAAGTAATGCAGTTACTTCTTTGTGAACCCTATCAGCGAGATGTACGTGTATGTCCAATTTTAAACTCCGTTATCAACGCTATTATCATTATCATTACATTATTATTATATTCAGAAATAAGTGCCCTTCTGTCCACTGTGACTTATCCTCAAATGAAACGTGTAACAACGTAAATGTGTCTGTGCTGTGCTTTTAAAACATAAGTTATCGAATATTAACTCCAGAATGAAATGATACCATCAGAAACACAGGACAGTCATTTCCAGGGTCAATTTTAAGAAATAGAAATTAAATAATCTATGTAATTTTTTCTATTAACAATAGGATCAAAGTTATAACGATGTATAGTCCTTCGGAATCCTAAAGAATTCTATATCTATGGCTGCAGTTTCTTCTAATTCTCCTCCGTTGTATTTCCAGAGGTGTGTTTTGCTACCACGTACGTTTTCGTTCATCTTATCTATTTGAACTGAAGCGTAATCAGTGGGCCTGTTGCGAGAGTATGAAGGGTTGTTGCTTATTTTAAGTCGTTGCATCAAATACTAAGTTTAAATAACACCGAATGAGACAGGTGGAATTTTAATCATTACTGAAACGGAATGGATGCTGGAGGAAAGAGCAGCGGCCTATTTCAGGGAGTTATCCCCGGCTCTGCTACACTGACGGGCCAGAATTCGATTCAGACGCTCTGTAATTGTGACATCATGCAGATGTGCACGAAGGTGAACATGTATATTTGTTGTTCAACTTGACGAATCCTTGTGTAAAATAGACTGAATTCTTGTGAGAGGGATTTGGGGAACAAAACAAAATGGAGTCATAAATCAGCGTTCCTTCTGTTGTCCTTAAGGACCCGTTTTAACTGTACCTGTAGACATCGGAGACAGTAAGTGGAAGTGGGCACTGGCACCCCCGGCGCTCTGCCCGAAGATGGTCACCCTGTTAGGGTCGCCACCGAACTTTGCGATGTTCTTTTGCACCCACCTCAGAGCCATCACTTGGTCCTTCATGCCGTTGTTACCGGGAATTCCAGCCCCTGGCAGGCTTAGAAACCCTAAATGTAAGACGAACACATAATCACATAACTTCCCGAAGGACATTGAAAATAATGTCACGAACATAAATACATGTACTTGCAGTTTACTTTGAAACCTGAAGGATGTCTTTCCATGTATGTACACAGATTAGTCTGGTTAGGTTCTGTGGGTTAGTTTAGTTTAGGTCCCCCCCCCCCTTGGAGTGGGGTCAAACTGAGTCCACTTGGTATGTCGGCCACTAATTTGCCTATTGTACCAGCCCCGGATGATAAATGATGAATGTGGAGTAGTCGCTGGAATGAAGATTGTCAGGGAAAAGCGAAGTACTCCGAGACAACCTACCCCAATATTACTTTGTCCACCAAAAATCCCACATGACCTGACCCAGACTCGAATCCGGGCCGCCGGCGACTAACCGCCGGAGCTATGGCACAGTCAGATCCTGTGGGATAGGAAGGATTCATTTCGATAATGAGGTGTTCATACAACAAAGGCATTTCCGTGGCTAGGGTCCAAGACCCTCTTTGTGTAATTAAATGAACATGTGACCTGTTCTTCCTGTCCATCCGAGCAGTTGCGAAACTGACTCCATGGAGCAGAGTTCTTGAGGTGCCAACAGTCGTTTAGCTGGTCTTTATGTTCCCCTCTTTTGTGGAAGCCCGAGGTTCGTAACCGTGTTCTCGGAAGCACACCACTGGACGCTGTCCTTATGATACACAGCGGGCCTGATTATCGGAGCTGCTTCTTGCAAAACGTCGGCCGTCGCGTCCCCAGCGCTTGAAATGTCTGTCTTTGCTTGTACAAGTTTCCGATGGAACCCGTATTCAACGTAGTTCACGCAGCTGTAATGCATTTTCTTCTGCGTGACACACAGTGAGCGGTGGGCCTAATTTCAAAACCACGGCCTTGTCATAAAGGACCGCTCTGTACACGAGTGCGTACATACATACATACAGTGGCTTTCCAAAGGTAGATACTGGTGTTTGAAATACCCAAAATTCCCAGGCGGTAGTTGATGGAAACGAAGACGATATCTTCTGTAAGCAGGTGGTCGGGCCCAAACATAACTGAAGTTGCAGATCCTGCTACGAAAGCTCCTCCATGGATCCACACCATCACGGCTTTCAGATCATTGGGGTCTTCAGGCAGCTGAGACCATATACATTATTATTATTATTATTATTAACCTCTATGTGTGTATGTATGTGTATTGTTCTTTCCCGTCACAAAATGGCATAACCATTGGAAATGTACTTATTTTATTTTCTTGGAATTATTATTAATTTATTGCCATTATATAGACTGTCTTATTTTGTGTTTTGTTTTTTAGTTATTTTTATGTTTTTCTACGCACTCGTGCTAGCTTTGTAACTGACCTTTGTGCTGTTAAGTTTGCACGTAAACAAACAAGAATTGAAGAAAGCAGCCTTCTGGGATATTGTGTTAACTGACGTTTCGCAGGAACGTATCGCCTCCATCTTGAGAGCAGAAGAAAAGAGAGGAAGATCCGCAAGCGAAGAACCAGCGTGAGCAGAAGAAACGCACGCACAGACACCCATTCTTTGAGTGGCGTCCCAGTTACGTGTACATACATGGGCCAATCAATAGTCGACCTGTATAAACCATCAGTTCCGTGTTGTGTGCTGAGCTGCCATGTACTTCTTCCTTCATATATATATATATAATTCTCGAGCAGGGTCTGATAACATAAATGCTAATGTTGGGTTCTTACCTCAGCACACTGCCGATCCCAGTGGCCGCGCGGTCTGAGGCAAGAACTGTCTTCACTCGCTCAAACGCTGGGATCGTGGGTTCGGATCCCACTCAAGGCATGGATGTCTGTGTGCAAGTAGCGGCCTTACGACGGGCTGATCCCCTTCCAAAGTGCCGTACGGACTGTGTAAAAGATTAAGAAACTGAAAAAGCGGCCAAGGCCCAACAAAGAGTTGTAGAGCCGTAGATAGACAGACAGACAGGTACGTAGGTAGATAGATAGATGGGTGGATGGGTAGGTAGGTAGGTACGTAGGTAGATATGTTGTAGCCCCGTATTCAGCGAACAGAAGTTTCTAACCACAAATGCAAATCCGACTGTGTGCTGTTTAACACGTGCCTTGTGGTTCACTACTGCGGTTGTTTCATCCGAGCCGTTTGAAGTGTTTGTGTGCAATTACCTTGTTAGTAAAGACGTTTAAGAAAAGACAGTTTTCATCTCCTTCTTTCTTTTGCGACATCAGACCAATTTGCGGGCAGCTGCTGCCTTCTTCAGTGGCTTCAAAAGTTCCATTCCAAGGCTCCGGGGGCCGGGGAGCCTAAAATTATACACACATACATACATAGGCGTTAGTGATTCCCACTTTGTTCGGGGTTCTTCTTGCACCTCGTCATTCACGTATTTTTCTCTGGCTGACAAACTTGCGATCTGTGTACTGGTGAACAGAAACTGCCACTGACCCCACAAACACGTTTTTGGCATCAGCTGGTCAGTTCTTCGGTATCTGTACACAGAATGTGTGGCCTAAGAATATACGTGTATACTCTCTAGATAGAAAGAGCCGGTCACGGTAGCCGAGCGGTCTAAGGCATGGATGTTGTGTGTGTATGCGTTTATTCTGTGTTTATGTAGAGGCTCTGCGACGAGCTGATCACCCATCCAAGGAGTCATACCGGCTCTAAAGATGATCATGAAACTGAGAAATCAGCCCTATGCTCCAATTGGGAGCAAGGGGAGAGAAAAAAAATACAAAAAGAAAGATTTTAGCAAATTTGCTTACCCATTACGAATTGTGGGTAGGTGTGTCTTGTAACATAAAATCTTCTTGGAATTAGGAACGAAATCGCGAAATTCCATTCCGACAAATATTTCCTTATTTGTTTTAATCTGTACGAGTACGACTTTGCTTGTATTCGTTTGCATAATATTTTAATAATGAAATTAATTTATGAGAAGGATGCTGCAAAGGAATTCGCTTTTAAGGCCATGAGGTATGCCATTTCACTTAAAATTGAAGAAAGTTTGCCTCCGAAACACAACATATATGTGTATTATGCATGAATTTATATGACACAGCGACAAGCTTAACTTATAATTCAGAACACATTTGTTTCTGAAAACTGTAAATGAAACTTTAAACCGCAGTTCTTACAGCCAAGTAGGGTGCAAGAAGGCGGGCTACCGTACTTACATTATCCCAAAGTACCTGGTTAAGTGGTCCAGAAACAGGGCGAAGCAACGCACTAAAACGGAACGGAAGTTAGCGTCCAATCCTGAAGCTGAAAGCTGATGAAGAAGAAGGAGAGACGCATGCAAAATTCCGTGAAGTGTGTTTACCTTCCTGTTTTGCCTCACCTGAAGGTTTGTTAGTTTGATCTGGCCCCACATTCAGACATTCTTTATGCAGAGCGGAAAGCAGCCTAGCAGAGACTGGTTTCTACTGATAGCGAAAAACCTTCATCAGTGTCGATTGATAACTCTGTTTATAGACTCTTCTGTTTTTATGTGAAAGCACATTCTACATCACTGTGACGGCAGTCCGTTGCTACAAACAGCACTATGGCCGCTGGATCAGAAGGTAGTCACTAGCCTACACCGGTATCAGATTATGTTATTTAGTTTTAATTTCAGTTAATTCCTTGGTGTTACCCATAGGCACAATACGTGTAGTTGAATGAAATTTGAATCCTTTAATCTATTCGCATTGATTGTTACAACGTAAGGTTCTTAACAACATACTGTACCTTGAACCTCAGTTCTCCAGTGGGTGGTTTTGCGTAAGGAATGCCTAGGAATGCAAGAAATTCTTTCTCTCTGACGGATAGCCCTCGGAGTCCTCTGAGGAGCCCTTGTTCTACTTGAACGAGGGGCCCCTCTTTATCTTCCTCTTGCACTCTTCCACGATTACTCATAGAAGTGAGGAAGAGGAACAGCAGCGCTGTGAGCAGCAGCGCCGCCATGATGCACTTGCAGACTCCCGCGGAACACGGGGCTGCTCATACGTTTTATTGCCTGTGTCATGTGAACGCACTACCGGAACACACGCATGGTTATGCAATGTTCACAGGGCTCAGATCGCCTGATAACAGAACCCTCGTGACAAAGGAAGATTAGGTTCAGAAATGGGCGGGTGAGGTAGTTCTAATAGTCGCAGTGTGCAAAACACATTTCGTTCGTCCTGCCTCTTCCAGCGACTTCTGTCATTTTCAAGCAAATTTTAATACGGAATTTAACTTACGTTAATTGACTCTTTTTTAATGTGAGGGTTAGTAACGTGTCCAGGAACAGGTTCCTTGACAGCGGTTAACAGAACCTTTGGGTTCCGTTACCAGGCCTATATTCAGAAACATGTAAGGACACATTAAAGTCTACCTAAATGTACCTGATTTTAATATTTTACCTTCCTTTTATCACAAATTAACATAGATTATTTTTGGAGTCGTATTGGTAGGTCTATTAATTAATATATTTTCCCAGCTTAATGAGAAAGTAGGGTTTTGAGTTAACCATACTGTGTGTGTGTGTGTGTGTGTGTGTGCGCGCGCTTTCAGGGCCAGCAGGGCCAGATCTGAGGAGGAGCGACCGGGGCGGTCACCCCCGGACCTCCTAAAAAATTGAAATGTGATCCACACATTTTACCGAGACATCTGCTTCTTTAAGGTTAAGAAAAGTTACTCTGTATTTTTAGTCATTACATGAAAGGAAAAACAATATCATATTAACTTAAATTTATTTTTACAGTTAGGGGTGTCCCCGTACTGTAATCTCGGGCCTGTACGTGTGCATTTTTGACTCTGTACTCCATTAAAACTTCTGAAAAAAAAAGTAATGGCAATAAATATGGTAAATATTTCGCTTGGAAATGTTTGTATTTCATTTTTTCTTCACCCTAGAAGGCTGAAATGAAAGTCTTTTGTCAAAAAGTTATCGTTAACTGCAAAATGAAAAAATGAAATAGATTACAATGTGAAAATTTGAGAGTGCACAGAGCTCAAAACATTAAGGCCATCGAAACGAAGTATGACAAAGTGCAAAAGATTTGATTACAAAGCTTACAGATATTTTCTGTTACAAACAGGTTCAAAAGCAGACATGAAAAAGTTAATTTATCTCGTACCGTAATGGTGAAAGAAATAATTAATCTTTGAGGTTAAAACTAGTCACGCTATTGACCAAACCCAAAACAGGCGCTGTCACTTTGCTCGCAGTCAGCAGCAGTCAGGCTGACACGCTCTACGCGCACGTAATGACAGCAGCACCTCCGTAAAGCGAAATAGTCATGTAAATGCTACTCGTGTGACCGGTCTAACACTTGCAGTTTTCCAGTAGCTTACAATTGTACGCAGTTTTGTTCAGAGACTGAGACCTCAAGCGGAAGTGATCAGCAGTCAACACACCCACTTCACTTCCTTCAGAAACACGTGCAGTATCAGGGTCGACATGCGACTTAGCGCCATAAAAATCCGCAGGGTTTCCCCAGGATCCCTAAATAAAAAATAATGTCACGTCCACTTCATGAACTTACGGATTCTCACTCAGGCCTTCTTAGTCATTTTAAGATAGAACCCTTTCCTAAATTTTGAGTAGTTACGCTTGTTTTGTGCCTACCCCCCTAGAAAGCATCATGTGGGCAATGATCTGCCAAAAGGTAGTAACTTTTTCTGCTTGTTCAGATGCCACTGCGCGCATTCCACTCGCTCGTTCGTGTCAGCGTAAACGTCCTGTTGTCCGTGTAGCATTATGGCTTCCGTAATGCATCAGTCATCACAACAATTCTATAAAAACAAATCAACACTACTGTATTAGCCTTCGTTTATTGTGTGGTAGTACTGGTACACGTTTCGACCCTGTTGGGTCATCTTCAGGCATTCATTGCATGAATACGAATATGTAACTCGTTATTGGGTTGTTTAACGACATGAATCCAAATAGATGATTTATAAATATTTCGTTCGATTTGAGCATAATTTCAATCGTTAAATTATAGAAATGTACATCTCGCTAAAAATAAAATTCCAATTTAACATAAAACATAACATTTTCAGTTCTTCTGGTTATTTTCCAGGTGCAATGTTAATGCCCTACCTGTACAGCTTGTGTAGACAGCCACAGCAAGGGAACGGCAACAGGAAGACAGGCACTCCCGTAACATAATACACTATTAAGTAGAAAGAACAAAACTGAAAAGATATATAAAAGCATACACAAGCCACTACACGCGCGCTCTTCTTACAGAACAATTGTACCACAGTAGCGCAAATCATTATGAGGAAGTAACAGAATATATCATCACGTAGAAAATCACCACACAATATTGTAGGTAATTATTTGCATCATATTATTTGACCATGCATTACCCATAAGTAAGTAAGTAAGTAAGTAAAGTAAAGCTATCCCTGTAACCGGGCGTGAAGGCCCATAGGGTTGTGAGATGTTGAGGGTCCCACATTTTCTAGACAATCGGCTCAAAGATGGCGGTAAGGTTGTCAGTCCTACGCGCCGGCCGCGCTCTATTCCCCAGGAAAATTATTTAATTAATTCCTGGTACTCATTTCTGTTAGAGGCTGAGTCGACCCAAGGGCCGTAGTGCGGCTGAAAGGATTAGGTCAATTGAAGAAAATGCAATGACCTCATCGGGACTTGAATCCGCGATCTTCCAACTTGTAGCGTAGTGCCTCAACCAACTACCGATACATTGAAATATATGGAAAATATTTATGACGCCTGTACTCTGCTGCCAGATGCATTAATAAATCGAAAAGAAGATCGCCGACCCCCGGGAAGGCTCCATAATATGCAACATATCATTTTACGAAACGATAAAAGTAAGCAGAAGAAATTTAATTTTAAATTCTAAGTTTTAAATTCTAATGGCAATATGAAATAACAGCGAAAGACAGGATAGAAAACGGGTTTCAGGTTTACGGTACGATAACTGTCACGATATTCAGATGTCGTCTTCCGTGTTGCTGCATAGCATTCAATTTGACCTTGCAGTGTTTCCGGTACCGGTTTGTATTTCATGTTTATTTCATTGAATATTCCATGATGAATACTTTTATATGTGATCGTGAAAAAATGAATTAGAGGAACCGGATGTTACTGATATGATCAGAACATTATATTCTCCCTAGCCAGCTGAACCGGGAAATTATCTTCATTGCAGAGTCACAGGAGTGACTATGAGGGGGGGGCGCTTTGTGTAGGTGGCAAAGCTGAAGAACACTTCGAACGGGCAGATCCTACCAAAAATGACTTGTTCGGGTCCAGACTACAACCGATATCGAAACTTTAAGCAGAGAACATACATGAGAAGGAAATCCTAAACCGGTCTTGGGCCTCTTGGGCCCTCACACTAGCAGCAGTAGAACAGATTGTAACGCTGTCCGGTGCGATTGATAAATGTTGTGTTATTTTAATCTTTCCTCCTTTGCATGTTTCGGGCGGAGGGACCATCTTCAGAAAACCTTAAGGTATTAATAATCTTTTTTAAAATCTTAAACAACTTCAAAATACAGAATGTCCGGTTGAAAGGTATCCAAAATAAAGTAAATAAAACAAAATAACATCTCATAAAGTATATATTATACATATTTATGGGTTACACCACTACAAAGGGAAACTTATCAAAGTTTTTCTTTTCTAAGTATATAACTTTCGCAATAAATTTCCATGTGGGCCCCCTCTGGTGGCACGACAAATATCCAGACGATACTGGACCTCGTTCCACGTTGCTTGAAGCGTGTTTGGTGTTACCGTAGCCTCATGTCCCTTATGTGGCCTTTCAGATGTTGAGGGTCATTGATCTTAATCTTGTTGATAATTTCCTTCACATAACCCCGGGTACAGATCCAGAGGTCCGGGTTCGATTCCCGGCTCTACCAGATTTTCTGAGAAGTGGGGGGTCTGGGACGGGGTCCACTCAACCTCGTGAGGATAATTGAGAAGCTATTTGAAGGAAATAGCGGTTCCGGTCTAGAAAACCGAAATTAACGGCCGTGGGGATTCGTTGCGCTGACCGCGCGACACCCTCTATCCACTAAAGTGGGCACTAACTTCGCCGACAAGCGGCGGTGGCCCGGTCGGTATAGTTCGCTTGCGGACTATAGGCCACGGAGTTTGTTTTCTTGTTTTTTGTTTTAATCCCACAGCAAAAAATGCAATGGAGTTAAATCTGGCGACCTAGGATGCAAAGCAATTGCCCCCCCCCAGCCATGTGAGTTCTAACATGGTGGCAGAAATGTGTGTACGAGTGTAACGCGTATAACGTCCACATTGTCTTCAGGAACATAAAATTATATTCCGCTTGCAGGAAGAGAATGATGAATAAAGTAAGTTTTTCACTTGGGATTCGGCATTGAATTAATTCTAAAATAAGCTGTCATTGATTAATTCGAAGCGACATCCCACCATTTGGCTCGAGGGACCGAGGGTTTCTTACCCTGTTCACGAATTCCAGCAAGCCACGTGGGTTCAGCCTGCACCTTAATATCACATTCTTTGAAGACCAAGCTTAATGTTATCCTCCCATTCACTCCTCTGTCTCTTATGGTCTTCTGTCTTCAGATTTCCTGACTGAACTTCTATATGTACGAGTATAATACAAACTTCGTCGTAAATGTAACACTTTATTGTAGTTCTTGTCCCCTTCTTTCACGCTACATGTTTCGGCCGCAACCGGCCATCATCAGGTGTACTGAAGAAAAGCAGTGGCACGCAAGTAACACGCGAGCTGTGCTGAAAGCAAGAGCACATATAAGCATCGAGCAGGTATCTCTGTGATTTTTTATTTTATATTTAAATTTAAATTTTAAATATTAAAGCTAAATTGAGAATTTCAAATTTTTAACCAATCGACGTGTGAATATTAATAAAGATTTTGAACATAATTGACAAAACCGACAAGGGGAGCCCTGGAATATCGGGTTCCGAGTGACGACAGAGCAGTGAGCAATAGTAAATCTGGGCCGTAAATGTTAATATTGAGTGCAGTGTGACAGCTACGTCAAGTGAAATACACCTGATGATGGCCGGTTGCGCCCGATACATGTAGCGTGAAAGAAGGGGACAAGAACTACAATAACGTGTTGCATTTACGACGGTATTTGTTTATACATATAGAAGTGTGGCATGTAACACGATGCTTAAATGTAATATTCCTGACTGAAACTTTGTGTTCATTTTTCATGCATTCCGCGCCTGGCCTCAGGACCTCCCGAACAGGAAGGTGTGCCACCCGATAGACCCGATAGACCCGAACGGCGTTCAGGCAATTACTCTAACGGAGTGTAAGGCTACAACCAAGGACCTCATTATATTGTCGTGGATTTTAAACAGGCGGGTTCGCGCATTTGGCCCACTTAAGCCGGTCGCAGTAGCCGCGCTGTTGGACCCTGGGATCGTGGGTTCGTATCCCACTCAAGGCATGAATGTTTGGTGTGTGTGAGCGTTATTATGTGTTTGTGTTGTCCTGTGTTTAGGTAAGCCTTGCAACGAGCTGATCACTCACCCAAGGAGTCCTGCTGTCTGTGAAAACTGATTACGGAACTGAATAAGAAGCCAGGACCCTGAATGGGTTGGAAGAGCCACTGAAAGAAGAAGATGAAAGTTTTGCGTGATTATCGAAGCCATGACCGCAAAGAGCAACTTCCGTCACTACATGTGCGTGTGATAAATATTTCTGTAACTACTTCCGCAGATTGATATCAATATCGTACCGATATCCGAGATATTTAGAAGTGTATCGATACGAATCGTTTTGCGTCTTTCAGGGATTTAAAATTTTTCAAATATCTAATTAAATTCAGTCTTGTATAGTGTATATCTTATTCATTTGTGTTACATATTTCAGCGACAAACTATTGAAATAAGACAATTCTGCCTCAGCCGTAAACTTTGCATGTTGATTGTCTGCTTTGCCTCACTGCCATAGCAATTCGTGCAGCTCTTCCTCTCTGATAACCAACTGTAACGTCGTCCCAAATTTTGTGTAAACTTTCGTTTTTCGACAAGTTAGGGCAACTGCATGCTACGAAGGGCTCATGCAACACATCAATACAAGGAATTTACATCAATGCTGAATAATTGTGCTCGAAGTGTCAACATATTTATCTGACGTCACATCCTGCTGTCAGAAGAATAAAGCAAGCCAAACTTATAGGATTAACTCATAAGAAACACTCAAAACAGGACGTCCTCCACTTTGTCATGCTTTTTATTTTGACATTTCAATGACATACAGAAAAAATATACAAACATATATATATTAAACGTTAATGAGCAAATTTAGAGTTTGCATGTGTTATAGGTAGTCTACACTGGATTCATTCGGCTCTGGAAAGGGGAGAGTAGAGGGCTTTTGTGAACATGGCAATACATTTTAGATTACTTAATTAAGTGTCTTATTCTAAATTTAACTGAACTGTTTACTGTGCGTTGTAAGGGACAATGCAACTGTCTTAAAGCCTCCATGAAGTGCATATCAATATATACACATATGAGCTAGTCCTAGCCGTATTACCGTCGAAAATTTTTACTAAGACTTGGAGTTCTCGGTCACCAGAGGTTCGTCTCTGTAAATGTGCCCCATTTTATTAATTTTTCCTACAAATATATAAGTTTTAAACATTCTACTGTGGTAACAAGATATCAACTTCCCTGATATTTATCTCTGACAATTTATAAATAGGATTATTTTGCAACCGGAAGATACAGTCACATGTCTTTCATATGAAGTGACGACATTTGCTCCATCTGTGCTTGCATTTTTTTCTGAAAGTTCTCTAGATGTGGTGAATGTTCAAACTGACTGCAACTGACAATTCAAATTTCTTTCTAGTTTGTTTATATTATGCCAGAAATCATTTAAATTTTATGCGTATGATGTACATTATAAAAGAAAAACAGAACAATATCAGTTTGTAGAAGCCATTATCTCTTCCCACAATGCCATGCGTTCTTTTTGCAGGTCGCGTTGCATGCTCAGTTCCTTGTCGATCTTCAGGTAAGCGTCATTCGCCTTTGTCATATGATCCCACTTGACGGACAGCTCCGAGTTCAGCTCCCGTGTGGGGTCTCTGCAAGCATAAATTTATGTAAAGGTCACGGCGAGGTGAGAGTAGTAAGCGGTAGAAGGGCTGGACAATTATCCATATTTAGTTTAGAGAAGGCTAATTACCTCACATTGGTTAAGTTCCGAACTCGGTTCAAGAGGTTTGTAGAAATTGAAAGTGTTTCTAAAGCTTAAGATCGAAAAGTCTGTGTCGATGACAGGTCACTACAAGTGTTAGCTTTCTGGAGATTATCCATCGCCTGGGCTCAGTTTGTGGCCACCTGCTCAGCTGGTTCCCGTCGCGGATTTTTCTATCCTGAAGATGGAGGCGATAAGTTCCTCCTAAACGTCAGTTAAAACAAGATCTACACGGCGTCATATCCTAGAAGACAACATTCCTCATCCATTGTCCTGTTCCTTGTTAAAAAAAAAGTTTCGAAATTGGGCTCGGTCTTCATCCTCAGGTAAAAGCCTACTTAGGCCCAGTCTATAGAGCTAGTCCTAATCTCCTGGGATAGGATTTGCTCTATTTGCTCCTAACAGAGTAGGATTTTTAGCTGAGGACGGATACAGAGCTCAGCCTCCGAAACTTTGTTATTAAACAAGGAACAGTTCGATTGAGAATGATGAGGAAGTAAATAACTGTGTTTTCTAAAACTGCTTTCAAAACGTGGGCCAAAACACTTCGAAAATATAGTTATAAGGGCCCGTTACAATTCCCAATGTGTGAACGTCCGTCAAGTGCAACAGAACAGTGTACAGTCTTCTGCATGGAACCTGTTGCACTTGTGGATATTACCACACATTGGTGTGCTCTGAACACACTAACAGCACATAATGATACTTCAGAAATGTGCACTGTACACACTCCCACAGTGACTCAGATTAGAGTCCCTACTATCCCGGGGAGATGGGAAATAAATTTCTCCGGATAACTGGGAACCCCGGATGATTAGTAAAAGAAATATGTAATTGATTTGTAAATATGTATTTGTAAAAAGACACAGAATTACACGCTCATTTTACTCGGACTCTATCAGTAAGCCTCCCGTGCCCTTCCGACATATCAAAACGAAAAAGAAAACTAAGAAATTTTTGTCCAGTTTTCAACTCCGTATTCATAAGTGAAATAAAATATTCTGCTTTCGTATTTTTTATTATAAAATTTCACACTAAGTTTATCTCTTGAAATTGGCACACTCGTAATTTTTCGAAAGGAAGCCCGGGATAATTCGGTCACGTTTATTGAGGAGTCTACTGTAGTCTGCCACAAATATGTCTACATACGGCAGAGGATCAGAAACTGGAAGTACAAGTATCAGAAGTAACAATATACACGCTCAAGAAGTTAGAAATAGGTTCGTGATATTACTCCAGAGAATTCTCTTTAATTGGAAGTGCTTGCGGAGACAGAACTGCCGCGTAGTCACGCAGTGCGGATTGGCCGTGTCCTTAATGAAGCTCTTATCTTTACCTTTGTCTTCCGAAGCAGCTGATTGTAGAGCGATACTCTGATATCTGTAAACTAAGGAAGGGAGCCAATCGGTGATTATTCTGCTAGTCATGTGGGGTTTAAACAGTGTGATCAATTTGTGGCAATTCTGATTCAAGTTGCATGTTCAGTATTCATGTTTCGCCCTATGCCCTGTCCGCAAATTTTGTTATTATTAGCCCTAAATTAACTAATAAGATTCTTCCAACGCTTAAATAATTTACATTTCAGAATAGTAAGTGTGTTTTTCTGGAATCTTAGTAAAGGTAGCAAAGGTGTAGCCCTTATACCAAGTTCTTAATTTCCTCTTATATAAAAGTCTCCTTGGCTTTAGTCCGCAAGTGAACTATACCGACCGAGCGACCGCTTCTTGTTAGCGAAGTGTGTGCCACCGCTATATAAACAAAGAACAAATCTTCTGTGACTTTTTTCGGAACACTCGCCCTAGTTATGATCACTAATTTATAAAAGTTAAGCAGAGTAAACTCTTGTCCAAAGCGGATTTACTTTTACTCTCAAAAATACCAGAAGTTATTTACAGAGAACGAGAATTTCGAATACACGCGTTCTGCCAAACACGGTCCAGTAGGGTGTTACTGCAGACTCGAACACGCGGTCTGTGGTATTGTGTCCTGTCCCTCTAACATTCCCACACCATTCTCGGTTCGCCCTTGTTTCAGTGTCGCTAGGATCAGTAACATTGTGTGTGATTCGTTTCGCCGTATTTGCAGCTACACTAACGCTAGACAGCAGGACTGCATTGAAACCTAAATATCAAAGTGGCAGAGGAAAGTTGTGGAGTAGTCGAAAAAGTAAGGATTCTGGACAATTTTCTTGGTAGAATGTGGGTAGCATTTCTCTACTACGTGTATCAAGTGAGGCATCTGCACTGTCAGTGTATTTGAGGCTTCATATAGGCACGCTCTCTTATCAGCATGTACTTCTAGGTGAGGCATGTCCAACGCGTCGATCGCGGGACGATTTTTGGTCGATCTCATAGGCCTATAAGGAAATTATACGTGAAAAACATGTAAATTCACTTGTAATATAATATGATTGTATTCAGATTTTGAAGGGAAAGTACGTGTTAAAGTAGTCTATACTTTCAGTGTATGTTGCTTTTACAACAAACATGTGTCGTGTTATTTTTACCAATATTTTTGCTTAAAGCGAGGTACGACGATAGGAGGGGGTTGTAGATCACTGGCAGTTTTACACTAAAAAGTCGATTACAACCTGTTTGAAGTTGGACATGCCTGTTCTGGGTTATTAAGACTCTGCAAAGATTTACCTGAGGCGCCATTTCCGAAACGCTAAGCCCCGCGCCGGACGAGGGTTTGCTGAACTACGCGCTGAGACCTCAAATGCCTAATGTGAGTCCTCACTTATGTCTATTTACCCATATTTGGCGAAGTTAGCCCACAGCTTCACCATTCTTCTCAATATTTTACTGTCTTCGGACTCGACATCCAGCTCTGGAGAGAAGAAGGCGTGGAACTCATACCCAAGTTCGTCAGCGTGAGTCGGTCCTGGAAGGTGTTAGTCAAGAATCGTATTAAATTGCTTTGCGACTACTCAGTCAACGAAGTTAATGCAACTTCTGCATGAAATTGAAGCGGTAGGAACTTCCTCATAGGACTGATGCAGGTGGTGGAAATTCTTTGGGATATCTGTCCGCGCCCGGAGTGAAGGGGTGATGACATGCAGGCTCCTCGCCACCCCAACATGTGACTTGTTACAGAAGCTGTAGAGCTACGGTGGTGCGTCCAATCCATCTGAGAGCAAGAGTCTCCTTACTGAAATTAACTGAATAGGCCTATACACCTGGGATCGCTATTTGTGTTACAAGGGTTTGTGATCCAATTCATTTATTAACCAATTAAGGTTGTAAACGCGCACGTCTTCTACTGCAGACCGCTCCGAACAAATTAGCAAGGAAGCATCGTCTTTTCTGGTTTTACTGGACTTCTTCAAAATAAAATAAAAAGGGCTTATAAACTGTAATTTCAAGATCGCTCTACCAGTTTCGCCACTTTATAATTTAGTTCAGCACGACATAATTTCATGTAAAATTTTGGTACAGAATACCAGATAATTATTGTTTCAAATGCCGTGTCATTCCTACTTTGTACCAAGGCGAAATTATAGAAAACAAACTTATCTGACAGTGAAAATATTTGCAGGAAAACAAATGAAGCTTGAGAAAGTTTTGTAGACGGAGCTTAAAACAGATGTTTCCAATTGCACGCTCTCTCATACCAGAAGAAAGTTATGAAGAAAAGCTTTGTGTTTTCTAGAGCTTTTCACAAACATCTCCCCCTTTCGTCTTCCTCTTTTCCTGATTACTTAAGCAGTGCAGCATCTCTGGACGTTGTGTTTACCTCGTATTGTTATAATTTATAATTCAAATTTCAGAATTTCACATTATATTGTAGCAAAGTAAGCTACTCCTAGTTTGTTCAGTTATTAAGCAGGAATATCTTAATGAAATAAATGATTCTGCAACTGCAAACCAAAATATCCCAGTACCAAGCTTTACCTTTCCGAGAGAACAGGCCGATTTGTTTTGTGAACGCCAAGTCCCCATCATATGTGAAGTGATAATAATAGACTGGAGATGACGACATGGCGGCATGCCTCCGCACAGTTTGGTGCGCTCCAAACAGGAACAATAGGTCTGTGAACAGCTGTGTGCATGACACAGACATGGTGTTATCAGTGAGACCTGTCGAAAGTAGTCACCGATGCCAAGGCGACTTTACAGTTTTTAATGTCATTCTTACTAACAATATGTAAACATTAATGTCTGAAGCCATATATCACAAGAAAGTTACATTAACTGAGAACTTAGCATCAAATTGTAATGTTTAGAGCAAGTCACATTGGTTCTAAGTTTCATTTGAAGTATGTTCTGGAATAGCAGAGGAAGCTTTCCGAAAAGTTGATACTTAGACAAAGGGATAAGAAATTATTGCCGCTTCATGGAAACAAGATGGCCGTCGTTACTGCTCACATGAGCCCATTATGTATGAAAGTTTACCTGAAAATTCATGCGAAGTTGTAGACTAGTTCAGTTAAGTTTCGTCCATATATTTCGATGCGGATTCTAACATCGGATTTAACCAGACGAACAAGCAAAGCTATTAGCGGTTGCACATTACACACCCCTCTTTGGGAAAGGATGGAAACAAATGATAAAGAGTGTCGCACTTACATCTGTCGTTCCCTCTTCAGTTGTTGTGTTCCTTTTGTAATATGTGCTCTTTATTTTCGGAAGGAACTTTTCTATTTCGGCTGGTTCTGGTAGATTGGGAATTAACCCAGCAAAAATCCTTAAACAGCTGACCACATCTTCGGTGTGTGTTACAGACAACATTTCTGATATTGAAGGAAATATACATACAGTTAACTTTCTTCCGAAAGAAGCTGTGATTGAGGTACATAAATATACGACTGCAGACATTGCTTTGCATGGGTCTGCAGCTTGGCCCCTTACATTATGAGCAGAAGACACAAAATGATCTTTGAGAACAAGGCAATAGGGAGAGGAAAGTGACGGGAAACGTATATGGAGGAGCTTCATAATGTCTACAGTTCACCTGATTTTAATAGGCTGATCAAACAAAAATATAAGATGAAATTAGCAGGGCATGCCACACACAGGGGGAAATGAAAAAGGTTACAAAATATTTAAGATTTGAGGCTTTCACGGCGGTGACTATGAAGAAAGCAATCTTCTGGGATTTGGCACAGTGTATATGTGGTGTTAACCGACGTTTCGGAGGAACCATTCTGCTTTTACCGGTTCTCGCGGTCTCTTCGCTTGCGGATTTCTTATATTTTTCCTTCTACCCTGAAGATGAGGCGATACGTTCCTCCGAAACGTCGATTAACACCACATATACACTGTGCCAAATCCCAGAAGACTGCTTTCTTCATTACAAAATATTGTTCGAAAAACTTGAAAGAATAACACAGCATGGGAGACCTAAGCGTTTTTTGTTCCGTAGAAGATGGTGAAATGTAACTAGTTGAGCCACTACTAGCTTCTCACGAAGGACTTTATGATTTTACTGAAATGAAGAGTTCCAGATGTTACGCAGAACCGGAACTTGCAAGAGCGTATGTCGCCTTAATGAAATCGCCCTCCTGCTAAGCTCTGTAACCCCAGGCGTGCGGTTTTGTTTGGAAGACATACATTTCGAGATATGGCGCCCTTTTGACCATACAGTTGCAAGAGGGACAGGGGAGTCCTGTTCTGCGAAATCTCTACTTAACCACATGCGGGTTTGGGTCCTGTGTATCGACTCTCCGCACAAGGGCGCTTCCTCTCGGTTCAGGGGTTCTACGAGTATTTACTTCATTGCTGTATAACAAGATAAAAGTTTAAAAAAGTTGGGGCGGCGGGAACTTATCTGCTATTTGTATTTTTCCTAGATCCCTTCACATTTACCTGGATCATTTTGAAGGTGACTTAAATGACGGAAACTGATTAGCAACTTTGCTGGAAACTTACCCAGGAAGAATGCTGACTCATAGAGGATTGTGCCCGTGACGAACGGAACGTCCTGGAATTTTCCAGCAGAGATTATATTTTTTGGATGTTCTGTGAGGAAATTCTCCTCGCCGCTTTCACTGGAAGATTCACGTGTTGGCACGAACTGCACCTGGAATGAGCCACTTGCTGACAATAAGACTTCAGTACTTTAGCCTCCCGGCTCCACTTATTCACAAAACCGGTGTGTCCGCGCGTGCGCATGCTGTTGTTTTGCATTATCTTAATAGAATCTGGACATTTTACGAAAATCTTTCTACGACTTCGAATTTCACTACATTATATTAATATGCGTTAGTGTTCCTCTCACAACAAAAATTCGCGTGGCCGCCATGTTGGTATTTCTGATACTATGAAAATGGAAGTCTTTGGAGTCTTAATTTTCAAATCAGATTTCATTAAACTCTGAATGCTGGTTAAAACGTTCTTAAGGTGAAACACGTGTGGATATAATAATTCCACAAAGATTGCTACGTTAAGAATTTAGGACAGCGCGCTAGAAGCTGCCAGACATTGTCTGCGGATAGGAAGGGAATATGGAACATGGAAAATAAGAAAGATATATTCAAGTGTAACGCCATATTAGCAACAAACATTACTAATTTCTCGCCATAGACGTTGTGCAAAATGAGATTTATGCAATTTGGTGTTCTTAGCATAATATTGTAATTACGATCAATATTATAATTTATGTTATTATATCAATTTAAATAAATGGACGAGGATTGTTATGTGAACTGATGTAGAAACGGACAGAGCAATCTTTAGATCGCTTCGAGTGATGGTACAACTGTGCTCAAGTTCAGTGTGTTGTTCTGTCGAGTGACTGGACCTACATACACAAATGTAGTTTACTGACTTGAGTGCCCAATGACAGGTGTTTCTTTTGAACTATATCGTCACAGTAGGTATGACCCACACTTTCCACTAGAAAGTTATGTTAATAGAAAATGGAAGAGGGACGCAGCCCGAAACTGAGCAACCATCACTCTTATACTCGACTCTCAGATTCCTTTAGAATTTGCTTGGAATGGAAGTGTCTGATTTCTGAGTATGATTATTATTATTACCTTCATGCTTGCCTCGTCAACCAGCGATGTCTCCGGCTGTCGCAGTAAGCAGTGATGCAGTTCAGTGGCGTTATTAGTTTCACAACCCACGTTCTTGCCAAACTCGAAGGCCGCTTTGCTCACTGCTTCAGGTTCCGCGTAGGCCCAGGGCGCTAGAGCCGATCCACTCTGTGAGATGGCTCCATAAAACAAGTCTGAAGTACAGTAATGTAATGCGAAAATAGACTATGAAATAAATTAAATATAATTTAGTAATTAACATTAGCTTGAGTATCCAGTGACAATTCAGAACAGGGCAATACAGTGTGTTCTCGAATTGTGTCTGCCTTGAACTGAAAAGAGTTTGTCCAAGTTACAATTATCGCAACTGCGTTAAGTTTTTGGGCACACGAGAACATATTATTTCGTATGTTGGTGCAGAGAATCATGAAACTACACACACGAAAAAGATCAAAATATTTTTGGATTCTTCTGACAGTAACCACTAGTCTGTTACTTTCTTCAGTAGAGCTTAAAGTTGACAAAAATATATTTATTCCACCTGGATACTAACACTAAATTTACACGAAAGAACCACATACGTTATTACTAATTACTGTCTTATAAATATAATTCCATGCATTCCTTACCCCCCCCCCAAAGGCTCCTTATGTAGAGGTCATATCTATAGGTTGGTGTGGACCAGTAACTTGCACATACTTTACGCTTCAATATCTTGGATTGATGAGTGACCCAAACCTAAGCTTCCACCTAGCACAGCGATTCTCAGGCAGAATACGAAAATTGCTGGTACTCATTTCTGTTAGAGGCTGAATCGAACCCAGGAGCATATTGTAGCTGGATGGATTAGGTAAATTTAAAATTCCTCCTCATCGGGACTCGAATCCTCGACCTTTCGGCTTGTAGTATAGTGCCTCAACCAACTACCCTACCACCTACGAGGACATAACCTAATTCATGATTAAGAAACGAAGCGAATAGTATATTTAAATATAAACTACGATATTAGTGCGTGTGCTCTAGAATATACAATATAGTATTATTCAATCTGTAAAGTCAACATGTGGTTTCCATTACTATAAGTGTAAAAATACTTGTAGGTTCTACGTTTATCAGAACGTGCAGGAAACAATGTTCAAAAGTGCAACTAAACTTGGTAATATTTTAAATCAAGTTATTTACGTGTAAGTTGATCGGTTGTATTAGAGTTCGGGGAATCCTCAGCATATGTTGGATATGAGCACGGCAAATTCGCCAACAGAATAACAAAAGCAAAATGAAGGCTTCTGGGGTTAGAACTTATTGAACAGCAAGAAGTCTGTGGTCTCTGTTACATGATGAACTAAAAATTATAATTATTTTGTCGTGAAAGGGACCTGCAGGCCTACAAAGACGTGGGGCTGTAGCAGGCAGGCACGGTTTTCCGAAAGCTTCATTCATGAACGCCCCACTTTACCTGAAGACATCGGAGACAGTAAGTGGAAGTGGGCACTGGCACCCCCGGCGCTCTGCCCGAAGATGGTCACCCTGTTAGGGTCGCCACCGAACTTTGCGATGTTCTTTTGCACCCACCTCAGAGCCATCACTTGGTCCTTCATGCCGTTGTTACCGGGAATTCCAGCCTCTGGCAGGCTTAGAAACCCTAAATGTAAGAAGAATATAGACATTTTGTGACACGAGGTATGTGTTCCACAATTTCAAATCTTCATCAGTTCTCTCCAGTCTTTGTTCTATGAAGATTTAAAGAAAAGTACCTAACCACACTGTCCCTTGAGCCGCTTGTATAGAGCCAAAAATTGAATGCACGAACAGTTTATTTTCACACGGACTTCCAACGAAGTGGGTTCCTTGCCGCCATAACACGGCATGTTGCCAGATGTCAGGTGGAGGGGATGGCCGCTAGATACAGACATCTGAACAAGCAAGTAGTCGCTAACACGGGACATATTTCGGTATGCAGTTTCAGAATTCAGTGGGCAGGAAAAACACCCTCACCATAAAATTAACGCACCACGAAATGTTGCATATTGTTCATTATTATTATTATTATTATTATTATTATTATTATTATTATTATTATTATGTCCTTTAATTGTCTGCAGCACGTGTGGTTGTTTCCGTTCTCAGTTCTCCAGACATCTGTAGGGTCTGGACATTAACACAATTACGTTAAACTCCGTCTCCCAAATGTCTGGATTCTCCTGGGTGTGGTGCATTTGTACGTCTCATGCTGACCTTACAAAGACTGGCACTGCAAGATCGTGGAGAAGTTACAAGTCGTTTTAAGTGAGAGTGTCATATGTCCAGAAACTGACTAATTCTAAAGCATTTTGGAAAAAGAAGTGACACCTGCTGTTTTGGGACGTGATGTTTCGACAACCGCCGAAAGCTAATTTGCAGGCAGGCTACACGCATGTTTTTGATCCATTGTCCTCTTTGCCAACCCTGCTTCATACTTACTTGAAAATACGCGATCCATTCCCTGAAGAGTGGCTCTGGCATGCAGAATTATTGGGCCTAGGGCTGGAAACGGGAGTGGACACTAGCAGATGCCGTCTGCTCAGTTTCACAGGTTTCATTTTAAGGAAGTTATGCTCAATTCATTACGAAGTAATCATTATTAATTGCCAGCAACCGTAGGTCAAGCGGTTAGTCGCTGGCTTCCCACCGCGGCGGCCCGGGTTCGATCCCGGGTCTGGTCAAGTGGGATTTTTGGTGGATAAAGTGCCAGCAATGACATGTGTGTAGGAACAGACTCATGAGTCCGCCTTGTAATGATTCCATTTTAACATGTGGTGTTCGTTTTCTCGCGTTTTGCTACTGATCTGTAGCTATTTCGGTTTTGGGGCGTCTATGCGGTTCTGAGAATCCATTTCTATTCCTGATAGAGCGTGTAGGAATTGTGGGCGTTTATATCAGTCTAACAACTTATGTTACACAGAAATGAAGCATTCAGCCTTGCTCTGTGATTACCGGACCTAAAATTCCAATGCGGTACTGAATGGTTACTACGACAATGTCCTCTTCAAGGAAGTGGTCAGGCCCATACATGGCACTCGATCCAGTTCCCAACTTGAAAGCCCCGCCATGAATCCACACCATCGCCGCTTTCAAGTCGCTTGCATTCTCCGGTAGCTGTGAAATCAGAATTCATTTCGAAAGTGAGTTATGCTAGGGGACATTACGCTTAAAGTCTCATCGCTAAATTTGTAGCAATATGAAACCGTCCTTCATTACGGAGTGGTTAACTCTTCTTCGTGTTCAGGAGACACAAGATTCAAATATCGTTTCGGAAGTCAGCTATCCTGACAGATACTTTCCACGGATTTCCGCAGTTCACAAACTCCTCTGACTGCCAAGTTGCGCAACGCCTGCAGGTGTTTAACAAGCATGAGATTGTGTGGCCTGTAATGGTATAACGTTTATACCAAAGTTTGCGAAAATTGGACATTGATCGAAAGTTGAAAGGTGAGACATACACAGAGACAGATGCAGATACAGACAGCGTGGCGATCTCACAAATTTCATATTCCTTTTTTTTTTTCTTTTCTTTTTGAGAGGGAAGGCTGATAAATTTATATTTCGTTAGCTTAAAGTTTGTAACTGAGTTGTTTTGTATGTGCGCAATTGCAGATGGGCCATGTTAAGCAGCCACTGGCTTCAATCGGCCAGAAAATGAGGACTGCAATAACTGCGGAATTTTTACGAAATTGGACCTAATGTATAGGAATTGTGTTAACCGTCAACACAACACACATACTCAGTTTTACAATTCCATCTTTATTGCTGCTACATGTTTCGGCCGTACAAGACCATCATCAGGCAGTTATATATAGGAATACGTACAGTTACTGAACTACCGATATGGATCCCCATCGGTGCAACGTGTCGTGTTATATACTGACACAAAGTTTTGGTATAATTGTTACTACTATTATTTGCATGAACAGAAACAACAATTAAACTGAATTATTATTCTTTCTGAATATCTATCCTTTTAATTTCTCAGTTGTCAATAGCAACTTAGATTTGTTGGTTTAATTACATGCATTAATTTGTCTTCCTCCAATAATTACCTTTCATTATTCCTTGACTTTACGCTGTGTTTCTCCAATATGGAACTACTTCTGTCTGCGTTGTGCTGAGTCTGTAATTGGCCTTGCGGCTGTGGGTTCAGCACATAAATCATAAAGAATTGAATTGACTTGAACTAACGTTTTAACTATATTCATTTAATATGTGGTGTACAAATTTTGATGTAGTTTATAGTGCAGCTTTCGGTCTGCATGCATTGAGCTCTCGCCTGTTATAGGCCACTGGATGTTGGTAAGCACTTACATAGAGAGACCGAATTATTACAATTTGTGGCGATGAAGTAGAAACACATGAAATGCAGTTTCTCCAACATCTGTAAAATGATTTCTTAATGTACAGTTAGGGGCTACATTTCGGTAGGCTTTACCCTAAGAAATAAATGAAGTCTAGGCCCACCTTGTGTGTGTATATGTTCAAGAAAAGGCAGTCTTCACTGCCCACGTACGTGTTAGCCATTACATGGCGCTGAGGACACCAATCTCTCTCGACGGTGGCGTTGTATATTCCTTCCCATGATTCCGGTGGTTGTGGTGCCTAAACAAATGAACAGCCACACGTCAGCAGGAGAACAGACTCCAGACATTCCCTTCTAGCGAAGTCGTGCCTGTCCTTAAAGCGTAGGTTATCTCCACGGAAGCGTTGCTCAGAAAACTGGCTATGTAAAACTCATGTCTATTGGTTTCGATGCGATGAATATTTCAGGAAATGCAGGGAAAATAACTTTCAACCGAAAAATACAGATTTTTGTTGTTCATTAATTTTTCTTGCTGGTGAAATCATGTAGTTACAGCACGACAGCAAAATTAAACTTGAGTACAAAGCCGCGAAGACAGAAATTAACAATACACAATCCACTGAAATGGGGCATGCATAGAGTTCCTAATTTCTTCGCTAATTTCAATTTCCGAATGTTTCTTCCGAATATGGAGAGATTGTGGCTTATACGCTATAGACGCAGTACCTAGGGACAGGAAAGGGGCAGACAATCAAACAATTACAAGTTTTACAAAAATGTCACAGCCAAAGAAGACACAGATGAACGCACTAAGGCGCATGTCGTCCTATCATCTGCTACAATTGCATATACTGCAGTGACACGCAGGAAGGGTTTCGTATATGGTCTCAGGCTTCGTTTGTGATTTCCAAATATTTGTAATTTATGTAGAATTTCAGTTTATAGCTGCCGTGATTAGGAGCAAGCTGTCTTCTTGGTGTTACATGTTGATTTCAACAAGGAGTTATTTTTAGATTGTTATTGTATGATGTACAATACTCTGATAGACTCTGGGATACCCATGGATCTAGTTAAACCGATTAAAATATCTTCATGATTTGTTTAATCCGTCTTGCAGTGCGTACACTTATCTATCTTCTTCTCTCACTCTCACTACATGTTTCGGCATAAAAATGCCATCTTCAGGTGCTACTCAATTCACGTCAAACTAGTACATTGTATGCCTTGTCTTCACTTTAAAATAACTAAAATATATGTCCATCATATATATTGACAAATGTCAATCGTAAAAATATTAAAACTGTTCAGGATTCCCGATCGCTACGTCGTATCTTATTACGCCAGTCATGCTCATCCTACTCTGTTGGAACTCTTATTCCCTATCGTGTGTATTGTGTTTCTGTTGCGTCTTGTTCTCGCGACTGCGTGCGTTATGCTGTTGGGTCTGCCGAAACATGTAGTGAGAGTGAGAGAAGAAGATAGATAAGTGTACGCACTGCAAGACGGATTAAACAAATCATGAACTTAAATCAGTGCAACAGGACGCTAAAATATAACACGATTAAAATGTGTTTAAACGAAACGTATAGTAAAGTGCGTGTAGGTAAACAGCTGTCTGATAAATTTCCTGTCCAGAGTGGTCTAAAACAAGGAGATGCTTTATCGCCACTGCTCTTCAAGTTTGCTTTAGAATATGCTAGGAAGGTCCAGGAAAGCCAGGTGGGACTGAAATTAAACGGGACACATCAGCTGTTGAGGAGGTTGGTCTATAAGTAAACACAGAGAAAACTAAGTACATGTTGCTGTCTCGTCACCAAAATGCATGACAAAATCATGAAATTACGATAGAAAACAGATGCTTTCAAAATATGTCACAGTTCAGGTAGTTGGGAACGACGATAACAAATCAAAACCTGACTCTGGAGGAAACTGAGAGGCGACTGAACTCGGGTAATGCTTGCTACCATTCAGTCCAGAGACTTTTGTCTTCTCGTCTGTTGTCCAAAAACATAAAAATTAGTATATACAAAACTATAATTTTGCCCGTGGTTCTGCATGGGTGTGAAACTTGGTCTCTGACATTAAATGAGGAACATAGACTGACGGTGTTTGAGAACAGGGTGTTGAGAATATTTTGACGGAAGAGGGATGAAGTGACAGGAGGTTGGAGAAAACTGCATAATGAGGAGCTTCATAACTTGTACCCTTCTCCTAGTATAATTAGAATGATCAAGTCAATGAGGATGAAGTGGGCATGGCATGTAGCACGAATGGGGGAGAAGAAAAATGCATATAGGATATTGGTGGGAAAGCCAGAAGGAAAGAGACCACTGGGAAGACCAAGGCGTAAATTGGTGAACAATATTAAAGTGGATCTTAGAGAGATAGGATGGGATGGTATTGATTGGATTGATCTGGCTCAGGATAGGGAACAGTGGAGGGCTCTTGTGAACACGGTAATGAACCTTCGGGTTCAATAAAATGCTGGGAAATTCTTGAGTCGCTGCAGATTTTGCTTCGCCTCAAGAAGGGCTCAGCTCCAAAAGTAAGTAATATATTTTCATCAGTAAAAGATAATTATAAATTGTTTGGGGGATTTATTCAGTTTTGATTTAAATTATTAAAATTCTTCACATTCCTACAAAGAGCAATGATTACAAAAGCTAAAATTTATCGCTACTTGTAAGCAAGTTTGCAACAAAAGTTTACAAAAGCGACCTATTATTTTCGTCACGTGGGTTTTCGAGAAATTTTTGAATGGCGAATCTACAATAAAATTTATCGATGAGACCGAATTTTGATTTCTTAAGTTTGAAAAATTTGTTCAGCAAAAATTATAAAATTTAAAAATGTAAAGAGAGTCCACATTACTCGTGCTCATGCTCGAGCTCGTGTGACTCGCTATGCTCACGAGTAATGTGGACAATATGACAAGTTACGAGACAGGCAAATTTTAAATTTTTAATTCAAAACTGTATCCAATTAATTAAAAATTACGACTACAGCCTATATACACTACGAGTAAATATACGGACCCGCACGCGCCGAAGCCTGGCGAGCAACTGAAGTAGTGTGGACGAAGATTTACGAGCACAAGCAAAAACCAGACGAGTCTCCCGACGAACACAAGCCTGGCGAGCCTTAAGAAGCATTGACAATCATACAAACACGTAAAACTGCAGCCCATAATAATCGCATCCCGATAAAGTTCATGCCTTTGGAAACTGTTCCCGAAGGAATTTCTGATTTTCCAAATAATCCCCATTTAACTGACATTGGTAATGCAGTATGTGCTAAAACTCAAATCTCACTGAGCGGATCTTGATGGAATTTGGCATGATGCATAGTAATGTTGTATATGTGTGCAAGCATTATGTTGTGTCGAATTGTAGAACTCAAAATTTTGGTGAAGCGAGAACTGCAGTCTTTCCTTAGCAAACAGCCGCCTCTCTGTCTACTGGTTTCCCCTGCCCGCCTCCCTATACGACATAGCTTCTTGTATTTACGAAAGTCTTAACACGACATGGCTTCCGAATGCAGATATTGTCCCACATTTATGATCGCTATATATACTCTATTGGATTGTACCAACGCGTTGCTGAGCAACAATAGAAGAAAAACTGTGTTTTCTATGCGGACCGCGCCGAGAAAAAGCAATGAAGCGGTAAACATGTATCCACAACAATGGGAGACGGTGTTTTCCGAGGAGTCCGTGCAAAGGAGATATCTTAAGAGAAACGGTGCTACGATTCAGTTCTGAGTTCGTCGTAGAAGAGGAATAAGTCGACCTGTGAAGTGTGATTGGGAGTCTTCATTCATGTGTAATGCTTGGAGTTTGTGTTTCAGTGAGACTGTTACAGTGCCCGTGTTATGCACCCGTGAAGACTAGTGCGTAGTGCTTATAAGGGAAGTGAATAGGAGACCTGTGAAGATTTCACCTGTGTTATAATTAGAATAATCTTGACAGTGGTACAATTATTTGTAGTTACAACTAGTGAAGATCCAATAAACCGATTCGCTAATCCAAACCCGCATATGTCACTGTGATACGAGACGATACTCAAGAAACGGGGCCCCAATTACTTCATATATCTGGCATCCATCTTTAGGTTCCTGGCCTGTATTCTTTTACGAGGTGAGATTTTAGCCTCACGCCCAGCACAACCTGGAGGATTATTTGTGGCCTACAGTTCGACCTGTCTAACATGGATGATCCTACCAGGAACTGACGCTCTTCATAGTGAAGTTCTTCAGGTGATCTGGACAGGCAGATCTCCCCACAACATTAGGTCCATAGCCTAGAGGAAACGGATTTACATATATATATTAAAGAAACGTGTTACTCTACTACTCGCAGTGAATATGACTGATAATGCGATCTTGAATTGTAACTTACCCTGAATCGGAGATCGGCAACAGGTGGCTTAGCATAGGGAATGCCCAGGAAAGCGAGACATTCCTTGCCCCATACGGTCTGGAAATATGTTCCTTGAAGGGTTCCCTGCTGCACCCTGACTGTGGGAAGGTCTGTTCCCGTCACACTGCAGATTGTGAGAGTTAAGATTGCAAGTTTAACCGAAGCCATAGCCCTACTGTCGTACATCTTCACATTTTCTGACTCATATAAATATTGCCTGGCTAGTCTTCTCTTTGTTACAGCTTCCGGTTCTGCGCGTTTTTGTAATGATATTCAGTTTTATAATTACAATACAATTGACATTTTTTTATGTTCCGTGTGTGACAGAACCACCAGTTCGTACATCCTACAGACAGCTGTCAGTCAGAGCGTAATGCCCAGAAGTTTTTGTTGGGTAAGATGTTCCAGATACGAGTGGCTGGTCCTATACCACTTTGATTTCACTTCAATATCGGCCTAGTTTCCGTACTTTGCACGGGAAGGTAGCTTTGTGGTATCGCAGGGCCTATGTGTGTGTATTTCGCCTGACAACTTTTACTTCATTCGCATGCTCGTTACTAGAGGTCACGCCAGTTAGTAGGTTTCACTTTACTTCCTGTAGTAGCATGAACGTAACCGCCTCTGTGGTCTAGTGGTCCCGGGTGCGATTCCGGGAGCTACTAGATTTTTTCTGAGAAGTAGTGTGCCTGGAACGGGATACACTAAGGCCCGTGATGATAATTGAGGAGCTATTACAAGGAAATGGCGGCTCCGGTCTAGAAACCCGAAATTAACGGCCGTGGGAATTCGTTGCGCTGACCACGCGACATTCTCTATCCGCTAAAATTGGCACTAACTTCGCCGACAAGCGGCGGTAGCTCGGTCGGTCGGTATAGTTCGCTTGCGGACTAAAATCACGGAGTAGCATTGACGTGAGGATCACGCCACTTTCTACAGTAGAAACGAAAGAAGCGACCTTAATATGTGGCCCTGAAATACTGTGGAACGATGTATAAAGAAAAAGCACGCAGCTTTTATTGAGATCACGTTGAGACCACAGCACGTGGCGTCCACGGGTTGCGGACTGCAGCTGCGAATATGTTGGACATGTGGCCTCGAACAGCCGAGAAAACATGGCCCTCAGTCCAGAGACTGGCGAGGTCTCACCCAGGAAATGTGAGAAAGGACTTCGGCCTCAGTTCGAGCTGAACAACGGAATCACAATTTACAGTTTGCACTCTTCATGTGAGGCAGAGTTGCAATATTTGGAAGCACCACTTGATAGAGCAGCATGTCACAAGACAGAAATGCTTGGTGGTTATCATTCCGGAGAGAAATGGGGCTTAAGTTGATTGTGTGGTGTCAGGAAGACCACAATAGGCTTGTAATGCAATATTGCTTATGTATCTCCATGTGACTCTCAATTACTTGTAGCTTAGAGAGAGAACTTTCTACAAGTGCTCTTCGTCGTGCAGTTTACTTGAGCTAAGGACACTTAAAACAGGATGACTTGCGTGTAGTTCGTAAAACTTGTTTCAGGCTGGAAATAACTTAAATTTGTTTTGTGGTCCATTTTTATTGTTCTAGATCGGAAGTAATCCAAGCTTGCGCTCTGCTCTTTGCTGCTCCTGCTCTTTAGGAGAAGAGAAAAGCGCTTTTTTGTGTGTAATCAAATAATCATTAACGCTGAAATGTTTTCAGCCGTTCCGAATGCACAAATGTCACTGATTTCATGGTCTGAATAATCGTGTTTCAGAATCTCTGCATTAATATTTCCCATTTTTGTTGCCTCCAATCTCCAAATTCAATCTAAATTTCCCCAGAACTTACTTTAACTGCCAATGAATTCAAACAAACCAGCAACCTTTGTTGGAATAGCAGTAGAATTTCCCTCAGCTCCTGCCCATGGATATGGATGCAATTTTTAAACAGAGCGCAGTTTGTAAAGGAGCTCGTTTTTTGTTAGATTTTAGGATGCCACGGCGATGAACGTGGTCATCTGGGAAGTGATGCAGCAGATCCTCGGAAATGTTGACACCTGTTTACCAAACTACACGGCGTCGCATTCCAGAGGACCGTATCTTCATTGTTGTTTCAGCTGATCTAATTTCTTCTTTTCAGTAGTCATGCCGCAATGCAAAACTAACTGTGCATTCAATGAGTTACTAATTACTTTCTAGTCGACTTTACTATGCTAATTGCCCACGACTGTCGGTGTATTAAGTAAGTAAAGCTATCCCTGTAACAGGCCATGGAGGCCCATAGGGTTGTGAGACGTTGAGGGTCCCACATTATTTAGACAATCGGCTCAAAGATGGCGGTAAGGTTGTCAGCCTTACGCGCCGGCCGCGCTTTACTCCCCAGGAAAATTATTTTATTAATTCCTGGTATTCATTTCTGTTAGAGGCTGAGTCAACCCCAGGGCCTAGTGCCGCTGAAAGGATTAGGTCAACTGAAAAAAATCCAATGACCTCATCGGAACTTGAACCCGCGATCTTCCGGCTTGTAGCACCAACCAAATCCATGCTAAAATACTAAAAGTTTGTTAACTTATGATTTTTTAAATTCTCTTCTGAAGCAGTCTGTTGCGTGTTTACAATACAGTAGACTTTGTTGTGGGCTACAGAATTGCTTCAGTGCAATTTTGAAATTAGCTGTTCCATTAGTCAGCACGTAACATAAACGGACTGCAGATGGCAGATATTTCTGGATTAATGGAATACTGTAACTTCTAAAATACAATACAACGTTAGTTAGGCAATATTAGAAATATATTGTATCAAAATGTAGGCGGTGGAATTTATCATACATCACGTACAATGGTAATACCGCCATGGCACAGCGTCATGACCTCTTTGTGGAATGGATACACCGCCAAAAAATGAAGATGTTGCAAGATGCTGTACAACTGGTGAGACAGCTCGCGACTATTATGAAGTTTACGGCTGCTAGGTGCATAGTCTTCTTAATGGAAGAAAAACAAAGTATGGAATTATGCATAATAATTGCATGACGCATTAATGACGCTGAAGAAGGAACCAATTATTTTGTGTTTTTTGAAGCTATGTATCCGGACATCCGTTTAGAGTCACTGGAGAAGAATTCTAAGAAGATGAACAAAGCGGACGCTCCGTTTAGATCCTGTTCCGTTGACTGGTTGAATGCTAAGATGATTATCGAGTTACTGTAAATTAGAAATGACTGAGAGGAAATGTTTGTGGCGGGGAACAAGTAGCTACTCACCTGGAATTCTTCGGAAATGACTGAAAAGCTATGAATATTCTGGTCAGAATAGGACTGACTGGTCCCAGCTGTGTCCGGACTACAGGTGCTCAGTTTGCCTGTTCTTTGGCAGCAGTAGCTTTCGTTAGTAAAAGGTAAGGTAAAATTGGGCCTGTGCTTAACTAATTAAGCACTACGCCATGAAGGTGTACGGGGGAGTGGGTGTGTAGATCCACATCCACTCGGCACTAGTTGTAGGTGAGTGGTCAGCCTCGCTTTACCCATGGGGAAAGAACCCCCAGTACCCATTGGATAGGAGGCTGGTTGGGTCCCAGAGTCGGTCTGGATGACGCGAAGAAGAAAAAATCTTGAACCTACCGGGACTCGAATATTAACCCCTCGATCTTCCAGCCCGTAGCCAGTCGCTATACCGACTACACTATCCCGGCTCAGTTTTTGTTAGTGCCTATGTAAAGGTTGCAAACATTTAATATGTATATATATATATATATGCAATTGAATGTTTCTCAGGAAAATTTTCAACATTTTTGGAAGGCTGTTCTATCAGTAGTCCTTACTTGAGTCTTCGTAACACCAGTTGAAATTGGTACGAATTTTTAACATTAGAATGGCTCTACCTCATGTTAAGAAGACGATATGTATAACAGTCATACCGATGAAAGTTCTTAGGAACGGTCCCAGGATTTAGATCGATCTAGATTTTGTTTTGCCGTAAATAGGAAGCTGTTTAAAGAACACCGCGCAAAGAGTTGCATGGAGATTGGTTGAGTCCCCTGTCAGGAGAGAGAAGGAAAACGAATCAAATCAGTACAGCACCTAACCCCCACCCCACCCCAATAACCAATAAGGTCAAGGTATTTACATTAGTCACTGTCGCTGGCTCACAAGAGACGGAAATGTAAAGCAAGAAAGCGGGAAATGAACTGACCAGAAGTTTCTGTTTGGCCAAAAAATTTAACGGACCTAATCGAACTCACGACGCATTTAGTTGACACCGGCCAGATCAGTGTAATACGTAGAACAGCGTGTGTTTTAATAGTAAGTTGTGTTGGGGTTATCCAGTTGCCGTTTCATACTGTGTGTGTGTGTGTGTTTCGCAAGCTGTGTCTACTCTCCCCGAGCATCCGACTTACATCCTTCATTACAGCAATGTGATTCTGCTGTGGTAAGTGAAACATTATATTTAACTGCATGTTGCCCACTTGAATACAATGGGAGCTATTGACTTGAGTAGGTCCCGAGCTCAGGAGCTTGGTGTGTAGGGTTCGTTAACATAGGAAAACAACTTCAGGTTGCGTGTACTGACACTGTTCAGTTTACGAGTGCGTTTCACTGTTTGCAGTGTGTGAGAAATCTGATCTGATTTTTGAAGTGAAAATGTTAATACTGCCTGAAGACAGGAACAGAACCAATCTGAATCGTGTTTTTGGTAGGAATCCCAGGTAATATCTAAGATGCAATAGCTGAACTTCTGCGGGTTTTATGTACATGTGGCTCTGTTGATAATTAATGAGACTCCACTGTTAGAAACGTTTGGATATCGATGGCTTGCGATAGGAAATATGTCAGAAACGAACACGCAACAAAACAGTTGGGTGGGTGCCTATCACCACGGCATGGCGCGTCCTCAGGTTGCGGAAGGAAGCTGCGAATATATTGGATAAGCAGTCGCGGACAGCCGACACTCCAGCTTTGGGGGTTGGGCGTGGGGCTAACAACTCCTCACCGTAAAATTCATTATGTTACGCAAATGAACACAAAGCCTCGGACCTGAACGGATTCATTGCATAAACGACCTAAGCTAATGTGACGGTGTTTGAGAACAGGGTGTTGAGAATATTTGAACCGGAAAGTGATGAAGTGACAGGAGGTAGGAGAAAACTGCATACTGAGGAGCTTCATAACTTGTGCTCTTCTCCAAGTATAATTAAAATGATCAAGTGAAGGAGAATGATTTGGGCAGGTCACGTAGCACGAATGGGGGAGACGAGGAATGCGTATAGGATAGTGGTGGGAAAGCCAGAAGGAAAGACCACCGGGAAGACCAAGGCGTAGGTGGGTGAACAATATTAGAATTGATCTTAGAGAGATAGGATGGGATGGTATGGATTGGATAGATCTGGCTCAGGATAGGTACCAGTGGAAGGCTTTTGTTACACGGTAATGAACCTTCGGGTTCCATAAAATGCTGGAAAATTCTTGAGTAGCTGCAGAATTGGCAGCTCCTCCAGAAGGGCTCAGCTCTATAAGTAAGTAAGTGAGTGATGGATGAGCCCGAGCGCAACTTAATATCTACTTGTGCTACCCAAAATGTATCTTTCTTTGTGGTGCTCTTGACATCCAACGTATGAAACACGAATGTTTTATTCATATTCCACGGCAGAAGCTTTCGTTTCAAAGAACACATACCCACATTCTACAAATCAGTTACTGTGTTACTTGCATCGTATTTTTATAATTTGGTTGCGCCGAACTGTTTGAGCGGTGTGGGGTGATAGTACCGGTGGGGACCATGGGAGTTTGCTAGTAGCCATACAACATGAGGAGCTGCCTGGTGTTGCGTGTAACAAAAATATCGCGTCGCGATTTTCGCTATATGTACAGCCTCGTCGCATTTATCGTCTGGGAATACACCACTTCAAATCCCCCAACACCAAGGATCTGACGACTAGTATTGAAATTCGAAGTAAATATATTATTATTAAAGCATAAAGCGCTCGGCCGGCTTGACTGTGCGAATGTGCTACTGCTACGCACAGCTTTAACCCACTTCACCTGAGATCCCAAACTGAATATTCCCCAGCGGGATCAGAAAGGAAGTGTCAGTGAAGTGAAGTCAAACCACTCAGTGCTGCTATGGTGCATTATGTAATGTCAGCAGATCAGATACTGTACGTTTTAAGAAGCGCCGTGTAGACAATATCTGTGCATTTCCACAATTCAATTTCCGAACCGACTTTCACAAAACTTTGAATGAACCATGTGCCACTGAAGACCGACCAAACGCCCTACTTTCTAATTAATGCCCAAATTTGTGTGATGGTAGCTTGTCATGTTCTGCAAAGTTATTAAAATTCATTGATTGTTTCGAATATCTCCATTCTCATAAAATTACCAGAATTTCCAGGTTTCCAATATTTTGAAAATATGCGAATTTAGGAAGTGTTATGTTTTGTAATTCTTTATATTTTTGAAAATTAGATATTTTATATAACTTCAATACTCTTCAGTTCTCAATATTTTCTAAAATTGTCGGACCAAATTCTCAACAATTCATGTACTAGTACATTTCACTCTGATCGACCTCACAGCGTTGCCAGGTTAGTTTTGGTTTGTATCAGGATAAGTTAGGCTACATCGGAGTTACCCAGAGCAACACACTGCTAGACTGAGCTGCTCACTGTTTCGTTGCCGAATTTGTTGAAATACATTCAAGAGTTGTAAATTGTGCCTTTGATCACTTTTATTATCCTCTCCTTAATTTGGTTTCGGTTCCTTTAAAGTACTTATATTACCGTTAGTAACAATACTCACGTGTTGACGTAACATCTATGGCTGCACTACGAGTGTCGGGTAGGAAAACACTGATTTTGTTCACGTTCACAGATATATTACACATTTAAATTAAATTTAATCATCTTTGCAGTGTGCAATAAAACACACGTTTTAACATCGCTATATGTACAAGTATACTTATATATGACAGAAAAAATATTTAATGATATAATTACACTAATAACATTTAATATGATCAAATCTTTTACGATGTAGTGTGTATGTTTCTATATACGCGCATTTGAATAACCCTGAAAGATTTTTAGAATATTAATATTTTGTAATTTAAACAGGATATACTCGTGTTACTTTGCATTGGGCTTGGTTTGTGCATTATGTTACTGCGCAACCACACGCTCATTCGGTAGAACTATGTCAGATCGAGTTCCTTTCCGTTGTACTTGACGCATTGTTTCATTCAGTTTCTCTCTGAGGTTTTACATTTTCCAACATGTTTACTTTGTTTTATGTTTCAAATGCTTTAAAACGTTTAAAGTTACATGCAGGAAAATGTTAAAATGCCTGATATTTTTGAGGATTTTATCACTTTAGAAATGGTATATATTTTAACTTTTTTATATTTATGAAAAAATCGGACGTATAGAATTGATGTAACATCTTGAATTTATAAATTTTTCTAAATCTATCTGCTTGATTCTGTTTTCGATAATACATTCATGACACATGTCACCATCAGCCCAAATTCGCCTCTGATAGTCCGGGGCACGTCTGGTTTAGATCCCTGTGTGTTAGGGTTTCATGACGAACGGAACGGCCAACATGGCGACGCGTCAGGGATGTAGTTATTGTACAGTCTGGCCCACCAGGCTGCATGCCCATTATTTAAACTGTATCTTACTTTGAGGTCAGTGTCAATACTCAAGTAAGGGAAATTTGATTTGCTGATTGGCTTCCATGAGGCATTCTGCAGCAGAGGGTCTGGCTCGGGTGTGGGGTATCTGTAATAAGAATTCCGTAAATGATCCTACAATCGTTATGAAAGGATCTGGGTACAAATAAATCCGAAGACATGTATTATGGAAGTGTTAAGTGAAGAGTACTCTCTACCCGCCATCCGGCTCAGCAATAAAATACCCTCCTCTGACTTAGCCATAATGTGACTGTTTTTTAAAATCCTTATAAATTATAGATAGTACAATAATATTAAAAAGTATCTTTAAAATTAAGAAGAGACCATATGGCGTGGATTAATTTGGCTGGATAATGTTTATGGGTGGACTGCTGCGAACAGAGTAACGGGCCCTTCACTTCCATTAAACGGACAGAAACTCCTCGACTAGGTGAGAAGCCACCAATATCTGAAGAAAGATTCTTAGTCCATGAAGTTTTTTTTTAATTCGCTTAGTGGGGGGGGGGGGGG